TTAATTTGGCTACTGAAATAAGCAAAAACGCGGTACAGATAATGCACCTTTTCGTGAGTCGAGACTGCAATAAATACTGTGATGATCATATTGAGAAACCCCAGCAGTCCCGAACAATACACCATAATTTTCGTCGATGCATCGATAGCTATAGTCGAGTTCTTCTCCTGCGTGTTTTCCGAAACCTGTAGCGCTGTACTGCATGCAGCAAACAGGCCAATATATTGAGAAACACACACCACCAGCACAATGAGCGAAAAGATTTCATCCACACTGACGATGTGACACTGCAACACGCGATAGCGTTGCCGCATTTGCTTGATCTCTTGCAACATGAACGCCACGCTCTCTTCTGATTGGCCACAATTAGTCAGCGCTTTGATTCTGTCGCTCACTGCGCCATAACCGGCTCCTATCGCCAGCAGGAGAATTTTTAACAGTGCTATACACACGTTTTGATAGATTAAGCAGATACACAGACACAATCCATTGGATACCGGCGCCATCCATTCCGGCACAATATAGTTTGGATCTTTTGTGGTATACAGAGCCCATTCCTGAAAAATGTTGCGAAATGGTTGCAGAATGGGAATGAACGACTGCCAAAAACTTGTCACTTCAGCGCACACACTGATCCACGACCAAGCAACAATCAACGCCACTCTTCGGGAGTTTCCTATGCGATCCGCATCCCAATGGTCACTGACCATTTCTGCTAAAAGGTTGGGTAGCTTTTTAAATTTGATAATAGCGAGGGCTTGAATAAGCGGACCCTGCAGGACCAGCGCCACTTTGAAGAAAACCGATATTAAGACGAAGAACTGCAGTTGTGCAAGTTGCTCCAAGTAGACAAGGACGTATCCGGTAATCCAGGTGAAGGCCAGAGCCAACAGACCAAGGAACAGCGTAGCAGTCCACAAAGCCAGCCACCAGTTAAATTTACAAGATTTTTCGGGTGTACAAGGAGTTGGGACAATATAAGGACAGAGTCCGATTAACTGGGTAAATCGTATAAAGTGGGTCGGTATGACGGAGAATAACCTTGGTGAACTATCGGTCAGCTTAAAAGAGTTTGTCAGACTGACGCGCTTGTTGCTTGTCATCGTGGATATTACGAGTATTGCATTAAGGTCGATGCTGTTCTACGAACACAAATTCCAGGTTACCAATTCGTTTCGCCAATGGAACAAGGAACTTGAAGGAAGTTACGACAGCCGTATTTTCATACTTCTGACTCGTATATGCAATTATCAAACGAATAGTCAGCAACTATGGACTTACAGACAAACATGTACCTTCCAGTACTTGCTATCCCAGTGTCCGATATTCCCGTTATCGCTCGCAGACTACTGTGCCATGCAACGCAAAATATAAGCATAATACAATCATTTGGGTATAAGCATAACGGGTTTGCATCTGCAAACTTGAAATTAAAACATTGTCTTCTTTCTATCACTGGGAGATGTACAGTACATTCAGCATTTAAAGCACATAATATCAAAGTCCCTAGGTATTTACTGACTATTTGCACTAGGTTCCCATACAGTTTCTGGTAAATTCTGCGAAGTATGTTAATCCTTGATCGGCTGACCCATCTTACAGTGAACCAGACAATGACACCAAAGTTGATACAGTACTTTCATGGGATTTTTAATGAACATCTGGAAATTCTGATCCGGTAGATTATACCCAATATACATAATATATAAACAAATATGAGAACGATCGAAGCACAACTCTGTTGAAATGGTTTTATTTGTCTTCAACTGACCATGTACTTTCCTATGACAGCCCCGCTTACAGGACAGTCTCGTTGCAATATAAATTTTGGTTTTATAGCACAGCATAAAACACAAGATATGAATCTATGATCAGCGGAAACGGAAAGATATCAGCATTCATATTAACCAGCTATCCGGACATAACGGAATCATTCAGATAAATTCAGATGTACTGGTCCGTTTCGCCAGCTGCAGGTATATCCCACAGTGATCGCCTGATTTTCTAACAATCAGGTCTTTCCGGGTGTCATTTGCTATTCCATTCAAGTTCCATCGTTAACCAAAGCCAGAATCACATGACCAGCCATATTAGCGAGTTATTTTACGAAATTTCCTGTCAATAAGCGCCGTTTGTGTAATTGCAACTGCTAATGCTAAAAAGTAAGTTATGGTTTTTCCGGATAATCGCGCCTGTCTTCGGCCTACTGGTTGTTGCAATTGTGCCATATTCCGGGTCTGACGGGCCAAAATTGACCGGCTTGACCCAGCTCCAATAATTTGCCGTAATCGAATCCACATGGCAGACACGCTGGACACGTTCATGCAAATGGAAACATGGAAGAGTAGGGATCTTTGCCGAGAATAGGTTTGTAATTAATGTTTCGCCGAGTCGAATGGAGAACCCGGAAATGACGACAAAGTAGGCGTTCGAGAAGATGATGTGGAAAGTCTGCTTAAGAGCTACATTAAATATTGGTGACGCTGCAAGTAAGCTGTCCAATTAAGTTATCCCCAACGTTCGTATTTTATATCACCCACTTTGGGGTTAATATATAACATAAACATTTAACAATGATAGTAATCAATTGTAAGAAAATGACTTCTGAAGGCAAATGACGGCCATCGCTCGGAGTTATCGGACACTACTTGATAAGATTCAAAGAAGTGTTGCTCAATGCACGATACGCAAAGCACGTTTTGTTTTTGATAACTTTCTTTTTACTGTGTACTATTAGATTGTTATGACCTGCAGTGTCCTACACTAAAGGCTACAACACTTAAGGAAAGAACCGGTGTCAAGGTCATCAGTTTGCCATAATACCATTTATAGTTCGGACAATGCAGACGTCATACGAATTTCTATTATATCGGTCAAAGGATGTATCTCCTACAAGTACTGCACAATAACATTCATTGATAAGGGTGCAGCTAAAGATAGCTGTTCGCAGTTCTGCAAAAAGACCAAATAAGTTTCTGATTGCCACTTCCAGCACTACCTACAAATGACATTACAGAACAAAAATCCACACAGCCGACACTACCAGGACCAGCAACATTTCTCGTTTGACAGAAAAACGAGTTAAAGTTGAAAAAGTAGTAATTCGAATATGCTAAACGAAAATGTAAATTGTGATAGAAAAGACTTTCTTGCTTCGAACAATTTAGGCACATCTACTACAGAAAATTATAATTTCAAATGGACACATCCGCGCTGAAACCGTGAAATCGCGGCTTTATTATTGTGGAACATTCTATTGAAAAAGAAAAGCTTTACAATAATTTCCAAACAGACCGTTATCGCTGGGACGAATCAAAAATTTAACCCAATGCGATTCAGGAAAAGAAAAAATTTCATAGTGACCACAAAACAAGAATGCAATCCAAAAACGGTTCAATAATCGTTGACATGCTTTCTGTTATTATTTGCTTAGAGATCAATAATTATTCCGTATTGTGCACAGAGTATTGCATAAAATATAAAAACAAGGAACAACAGCGTTCTTGCAAATATACCAGAACACCACAACCGGTCAACCCTATATTAAATCTATTAACACAGACAATTATAATGAGAATCTGGTAAAGTAAAAGCAATACTTTTTTAAACGCACACAACAGAACGCTAGTTAATCTAACGGATTGCTTTGCGGAATTTTGAATTAACGAGAGCCGCCCGTGTAAATGCAGCTGCTAGGAAGTAGAAGTACACGATGGTCTGTCCGGCCAGTTCCGCTTGTTTTCGACACTGTTTAAGCAGGCTTCCTTGGGAAGTTTTCCAGGTCGGCAGAACGACTTGGGGAACAATCGGTTGAACCATCTTTACATTAGCGAATTTTCTCTTGATTTGGTTGAAATCAAAGCTGTTGCTGTCCACCTCCACTGCATCCTGTAATGAAAATTGAAAATGAAGAATTTGTTGTACAACGCACCGTAGAAATTTAATTTACTGGGAGCTGTCTTTCGAGGAAGCTATCACAGCTTCAGGTCGTAGCGAAACTTACGTTAGAATAATCTGAGATCGTCAGGTAATGTGATGCAATTAATCGTTGTTGCGACTGTACCACCCGATCCAGACCGCGTAATTGCCGGGCCCAAACTGACCCCATTCCACCAATCTGTCGTAGTCGAGTCCACATGGTGCTGGCTATCTTGGCAAAAGGCACTTAATTCGCAACGTCAAAATATCTAGCGAGATAAAGCTTTAGAAATTACGCTTTGTTGAGAGCTTGAAATGTCGTTAAAATTGTATTGAAATTTGTTGCAGAAGGAAATGATGATGAACCGGCTAGTTAGTAGCAGCTTTAAATAGCGTCGACATACCGTTTGACAATTAACGTTTGACTCATCGTTAACGTCTGTCCTTTATCGGACACATTTGACGATATTAACTGACATGAACAATTACGATGATGACAGCGTATCATGAGTAAGTAAAAGCATCACTCGCTAATATGTACCACAAATATGTTATCAGACACCATCTGATCAAATTCGCGGAAGTATCTGCGAAATTACTCAGCACATGAAAGACCAGGTTCCGTGTGTTAATGATTCATTTTGTTTGACGTTTACTGTTTCATGCAAGCTTGATAAGAATTATCACAAATTTCTAAAGACAAAGTGATGAAATTGCGGTTGTAGATGCACGATCAAGCTCTCAGCACAGGAGAATTATCGGCCAATGCGTTATCTATGCTGTTCCTACTTATCGCTTATCGTGCATTGGATGTCTCCAATATACGCTTATCGCTCCCGAAAAGCTACAGCAAGCGTTCCGTGTAAAAACTTAATGTTAATAAGCTAAGGTGACCATCAAGCTTTACCGCTATGGTGCATGTATACTTCAAGAAGTAAACCGTTTGAAGAATGTAAGAAATACCGTTTGAAGAATGTTATACCGTTTGAAGAATGTAAGAAAACTGCTTGTTCCTGCCTTCACGTTAGTCATGTACCGCATACCTGACTTGTTATTGCAATGTTGATATTAATTTTGCAGTTTAGAAGCTCGAAATCGCAGTATAAAGTCGTTACACACTTTGATGATGGCGGTTACAGTAAAACACGTTTAAAATTATTAAAAGGAGTAAATACTGATACAGAATGCAAGATATTCAAATTTCGTAAAGGAAATCTGTTATATTCTTCTTTTTAAGCAGCACTTGTGAAACCACGTTTGAAAAATGATTATAATGGAAGTACAAGTAAAACAGGAAGAATGTCAGGTGTCAAGCCAGTACGTTTTCGTATCACCGATGCCCTGCAAGATAAAATCCAGTCAAGCACGGCACACTCAAATCCGGTTATTGGTTGCGACTGACGTCGTTGGCTAGACAATTACGTAACACTGGAAAAGGGAGTATGCCATATTGCCAATCGTTCACATGTTTTACCTTTAAGAAGGTCAGCCCCCGTTCGTGTATTTTGAACGATCCATCCTCTTCGAGCATCTTTGCTGCCGCACCACTCACATGAATTTTCCCAGATTGACTTGATGACGCCAATCTGGAGGTCATATTGACCGAGTCTCCGAAACTAAAGTGCAGCAAATAAGCAAAATCAAAAGCCGATACGAGACGGGGATATTATGGAATTTGTTAGTGGTAATTGCATCGATCGATCATTTTTACGTACACGCAATATCGCGGTCGAGCAGTCCCAATAACACCGGCAGCACACGGTCCTGCGATAACATAACACGCATATTAATTTTTCAGAAAAAAATGTGTTTCGCTATAACGGTATATTAGAATTCTTCAATTCCGTACTAAGTAATTTATCAAGATATTAATGAGGTTCTATTTCAGGTGTAATTGTAGTGCTTTTGATGTAAAAATTAGTTGAAGCACGAAATATTTACCGGTGTGAATGCCGCATTGAAGGCTCTGCTGATTGGTCATTAAACTATGAAGAAACGCGTTCCGCAGTTCGAGTGTTAGCCGAGCTATTATGGCTACATGTTGACCTTCGTTTTCGATTGGAAGCCCGCTTGCTACCTGCATTGTCAAACGACGCTATTGTGCATCAATGTTCACGCCGGTTTTGTGGCACATTACATACCAGGCAGCTGTCATTGACTGTTTCCACTTTGTAGCAATCACATTTTCCAATAATACGATCAAAATTAGTAAACATGGCTCCTAAGAACAGAACAATATCCAGCGGCGAATCGTTACACCGTCGAATAAATTCATCGAATCCCGTGACGTAGGTGAAGGTAAAGGTCACGGACTGAAACATCTGCGGATGAATAATGTGGCCAATCCGCAGTTGTATTAAGATGTACCTGCAATAAATTTATGATTTTCTACATAGATTTTGCTTTGGAGCGGAAGAACGGGTTTGCCGAATAAGTGCAGATTGTTTACAGATACAACGGTTCACCTCGGCAACATTTCGCTCAGTAAAGCGTCGCATCGTTCTGTCTCCAGTTTGAGCATTTGGGTGCGCGAAGCTACCGCTTGTTCTAACTGCTGAGCGTAGTCTTCCAGTCGCCTGAACAGTTTATCCAGAAATTTCCCGGAATTCTTCAACACTTTATCAGTGCTTTTAACAATCTGCCCAATTGTGGGCCGTTTTGCCGGGTCTGGGTGGCGGCACAACTCGATGACAGTGGTCAGAACTTGCTGAGCAGTCAACGGAATGCTTGAATCGGCTAGAGTTGTCACGTGACCATTGCCAAATGGTTCTGCAGTATGAAAACACAATAAGTATCACATTACCCGACAGAAGCATTACCGGTGACCTTTATCTTGGTCCTGCAGAATACAGTCCATTAACTCCCCCACAGCGTAGATATCCGCTGAAGGCGGTGTGATATACAACGCATTCTTCCGCAGTTCCGCGCGGACTTCGGGCGCGAACCAAGTGGCCTGGTCGGCAATGATATTCTCTGAGATTTCCACGTGCAGTTCGCGCAGCATATGGTGGAAGCCCACTTCGCTGATTTTCAATGTTAATCGATTATCCACCAGACATTTGGACGGCTGAAGATGTCCGTGACTTAGCAGTTTGGAAGCATGGATAGTGGAGACGCCCTGCGGTTATAATAACCAGGAATACGTTATCTACGACGCCAATCATATTATTACGCAATAGTAACCTCGATAATGTCGGATATCAGAGAGCTGCGCAACGTCCAGTCCAGCGGGATATCTTGTAGTACGTTTAGAAGACTGCCGCGCGAACACAACTCCGAATAGCAGATAATGTAGTACGGCTGCAGTTCAATGCCCACAAGCGGATTGATGTTGTTGCTGCGATCCATGGCTGCCCGTATCTGCAGTTACACATTTAATAACTATTGCTGTAACCGGTAATTTTTAAAATGCGATAATTATGGTTCTTAACAATCCTTGATACATTACAGTACATCCTGTGTACAGTGTTCAAAATCGATATACAGCACTCTGGTGCAGTTCGTGATAAGTTGGTAACCATACCTCCACAAGAACCCGCCTGAACCCGGGAGTTATGGGGATGACCGTGTTGGTGGTGTGAAGAAATGTCTTTCTCCGAATAGGAATGGTTTTGCTCCATACCGGTTTGCCTTTGTAAAACATGTTTGTATGCTGCTCTTTCGACAATTGCTGAAAAATAATTACAATTTGGTTTTCTTTTGTTACTTGGATATAATAATATTCTACAGTGCAAGCAAACGCTGAAAATACAAAACTTGCCTTGGCGCTGCTGGTGTGAATACGTTTGCTGAGACAGCTGGGATCGAGTCTCCACCATTCGTCAGCCGTGCCAAGGTGTTGCGCCCGCCTAAAATACACGTTCTGCGTAAGTAGCTACAGCGGCCTTTCCGTCGATATCCAGATTAACACTCCTTAATCCTTACCAGAAAAAACACCCAACTAGCGGAATAATTACTAGCACTACCGAGACGACGATGCCGGCTAACGCTCCAGTGGACAAGTCTGAAAGCGTATGGAGGAACACATTAGGCAGTGTTTATGCACCGAAGCCGACTGCGAGAGTAAGAGCTCCTCCAGCAGAAATCAAGAAGCAGCTGCGGCGTAAGTAAATGGTGATACAAAAACTCCCGTGTTATTAGGTACTTCTATTCTTAGTTTAGCTTAATCGGTAGCGTGCTGGAATTGCACGGTACTCACAAACAAAGACAATATCGACAGTTGTCAGATGACTTTGATGTGTGCGATTTCTGGCATGTTTGTTTAACCAAACAGCCATAAAAGTACACTGCCAGTAGCATAATGTACAAAAATAATTGGGCATACGAGAAATTCTATGAACATAACTCCAGGCTTTTTCGTGGCGTACTTACAGTCCTGTCTTACACAAGGTGGCCGATCCTTGCGATAGCCACACAATGGCACATTTGGTGGTGGATTATTGTCCGGTGTACTCCAGTTGACGCGGGCATCGGGAACGTAATGCAACGATGTCGTTGCTCCGTCATAAAGTAAGAATTTCTGCAACGCGGGTTTTTTGTCAACTGTTTACTACGATGACGTGTTTTCGTCTTACTTCGTAGGACCGAGTATCTTGCTGGTAAGATAAGAAACAAAAAATATTCTGCCGCTCGCCATATTGATCCACGTAAACGCTTCCTACGCGGGGAAACGTCATGGTTCGGTTAAGTATGGATTTTGTTATCGAGGTGCCATTGCTGGGATCCAGTCCGGCGTCTAAATGTTCTTGTACAACCTGTACGCAGTTAATATATTACCAAAACCAAATATTTGTTTGTAATAATATTACTTTGTACATTGTATACAAAAAAATAGAGCTAACAAAGTTTCGCATATACACCCTACTTATTGCCAATTAGATGTATTTTGCTAACTGCAAACTCACTTGAGCGTAGAGAAGTACAGATGTGTACGCCGTCATCACGAACTCATTAGGCTAAGAAAACATGCAACTATCGTCATTAATCCGTTTATCCGCATAATGACGCGTTGGAGAGAATCGTCTTACTCGGTTACCAGGAGGATACGACCCGTTATACCGGCTTTTTGACAGACTCATCATTTGATCCTTCAGATCCGCCACCTGACTTTCTTCATGATCAAAACAAATTGTCAAAAATATCACCGGCTCCAGCAGGCGTTTATCTTCCTGGAACAACCATCCAGAACATAATTAAACCAGAGTTAAAGCGCATTAAACCAAATCACAAGTAAAGACCTTCGTCATATTCTTGGCATTATATGATGGCTCCAGCGGGCTGGTTTGCCATCCAGGGATATCCAAGAAGATGCGCGCCTAAATTAACCACGCATTAACCGGAGCTTTTTAATTCCTCTTATATGTGTGATAAGTAATGTCGCCTTACGTATTCATGTGCCGGCTCCCCAGATGCCGCGAAATCACGCTGCATTTGACACAACAAAAACACCAATCAGGCATATATGGTGCACTTTATTCCTGCGCCGTCAAGCGCACTATTATCACTCGTCACTCACCAGAAATTTAACGGCATCTTTGGAGGGCAGCGAAAGGAAAATCACTACAATAGACAGCATTTAGGTGACGTTCTTCATTAGCGTTAAAAGTTTCAGCTTGACAGACCTCGCGATATGGCCGCTATTTCTTTGATCACACTGAAGTAGTCAGCGGTGGCGGTAACATTGAGAGGGTACGGGTGGATATCCAGGGTGTGTTGGTTGTTCGTACGGAATTCCAGCATAATGGATTCGGCAGCGCGCAGATTGAACACCGTACCGCCAGAGGTGTCGTAGACGAGGACGGCGCTGGTCCAGTTGTAGAACTGCATGAAACGGTAGACGACTAGACCGAAATACTGGTACTGCCAGGGTCCAAAGGCAACTGCGGTAGGGAAAAGCTCACGGCTGCGCAAACTGGACAGCATTGAACCACTGCAAAATCCTTAAAGTTAATTGTGTATAAAAGTAATATTGTATAACGGCTAACACAACATTTATGTGGTTTGTGTTGTGAACGCTTTATACGTACTTTATCAAACGAAATCGACATTAATTTTTCTGTATTTTATGCGCGTTTTCGGTATTCAGCAAAGTCCACCCGTAGTCTATAAACGTTAGTTGGCAGTCGTTAACATAAACATCAGTTGGCAGTCGTCGCCTTTAAACGGATTTGTAGTGAATGGTCACAGAATTAAAATCTGGCATAGTAGGGTATACTGTATGTGCCCTTTTGTTCCCTAATCTTCTCAACCCATCCAAAACCTTATCAGTAAGGAAGAAGTAAACTCTACTCCTCCCATCCGACTGCAAAGTAGGTCTAATCCCTGTAAGTACAGATATGTACCCAACAAGCAATCTGCAATGGGAGTGCCAATGTAGCGTACGGGACAAGATAGTGGTTTAGCCGGATCTAAAATGAGCTTGTTCTTTTTTCCGGCAGCTGAACATCTTCCTTATGAAGTTCTTGAACACATATGGTAGCAAAAATCCATCGCTGACTACAGCGATACATATCGCTAGAGCCGGACGCTTGAAAGGTCGTTAAATATTAACTAACGACATCCTGACATGATTCCGTTTTCTCCCTTCAAGAAGCGCCAAGTGCAGAGGTGACTCAAGAATTCCCATTAAAACATCCATTGTACTAGGAATACCGGAAATTTAGACCAGCCCGCACCCACAGAGTGAGCAGTCAGCTTCCGCAAAGTACTTTGTAATCGTGTTGCCAAAGCATGGCTGTGAAAAACCTGCGACGAGTTTTATTAGGCAAATCCCTGCCCGAAAGTTTGTCCGGTGACAATCAGAGCAGTCCCGTTCACAACGCATGTACACGCTTTTCCAATTACGCAATTACACCCAAAGAAACGTCCCGGTAGGGCGCCTTTCACGGCACCCCGCCGGGTCTCTTAAGCTTTCAGGCATTATGCATCCTGGCATATGTATTCAGTTGGTATAGAAGTAAGGATGGAATGACCAAGCACTTACGTAGAAATCGTGAACATATTCCACTCTGCAAGAATACATAAAATGTCGGTGAACACCACATTATAAAAATAACGTTATTAGCTCAAGAGTTATTAGCTTAAGAATAATCAAACGGCCATCGAGGTGAGGCTGTATCTGTATTAACGGGGAACAGTTTGCCGCAAAATAAAAAATAGGTGTTCATCTCATTTGCACACATGTTTGGTCTGTAACGCGCATTTGACTTCGTATGGGCACCGTCGTGCGAATATTGATCGGTAACGGGTTCAAGATTAAATTTCTATCTTATAATGTGTAGTGCGATTAGTATCCTCGTCACGGAAGATGGCTTTGATAAGTGTCGTTTTTGCATAAAATGAATAATTTATTGCTACTTGTATTCCTCAATTTCTTCCGCATTGCTGCCAGTGTTTACTTCGGCAAAAAAATCGATATACAGACAGGTAACGCACGCTCTATCTTATACATAGTGAAAAGCGACCAAGATATAATGGACATATAAAGATAAAGTCGGTCAAGCTTGTAATATTATTATTACAAGTAGGTAAGGAATAGTTCTTGCTTCACTAGTTTACATCACCATAATTTTCAAGTTTAAAATAGAAACATTTAGTAAAGAAAAAATCGACTAAATTCGATACTGCCATGAATTTATGAATTACTGTATAAAGGATTTACAGCAGAGACTGGTAACCTTTAACGCCATGCAGAATTTACGCAAAACAACGATTTCGGAGAGTTGTAGCCGGAATGGCGGCCGTGATGGTGTCGTGCTTCCTTAGTTGTGCTTTTTGCGCGGTATTCCATTACAAATCAGTGCCTACCGGAAGTGCAAAGGTCATACACCTACCTCGTCCAAAATCAGCCAGGACCGTATTGGTATCACACCCTACGAGCAAATTTTTAATAATTAACAACTGGGGTAAACGTCCAAACACAGTGAATTTTACTCCGTGTTACACAAAAGAACTTAATTAACATGCAGCTGCAAAGTATCTTAGCATGTATTTTTGTTGATTCATAAGCATTACAACAACAAAAAACAGCAACAGCCAGTAACGAAATGTCAAACTGCGCGGTGAAAAACTTTCTACTTGTACACTCTGCAGCCTCATTTTGAAGTATCTGTACGTAACCTAGATGTACTTGTAAAATATATCAGTATAATACAGAAAAAGCCAGCTTTTTTAATAATTATTTGCAAGTGCAAAAGCTATACTGAAGTATTACTGTTCGGATAATGTTCGATAAACTAAATCCTCCATACATGTATGAATTTTGAAACTGCTAAAGAAGTTGTTTCGTAAACATATAGAAATAATTAATTAAAAACTTTTATTCAGTCCCAGAATTACTCTACTTAAAAATATATACGTATCATTCATTCCATTTGCATCCTAAATTTTAAGTTTTGTAATTGTAAACATTGGTTTCTTAGGTTTCTCAGTTCGTGTTGTCATCCATCCTCCTCATGACAGATCAAACAGATGAAAATTCTTAAGTAAACTGAGCAAGCAAAAACACCCCGAACACCTGCAAACATGAAAATTATCCGTGCATTAGCGGGGACGATCGGTGCCAAATAACCAAGAACGGATAAGACAAGCGTGCAGTAATGTGATAATGTCATACGCACGGAAATGAAATGTAAAGTTAGGTAATATAATGCACGTAAACGCTATCGATTCCCGACTGCCAGCTTCCTGTTAGCCACACAAAAGTGGCCTTGTTTTCCTTAGTTATGCGACTTACGGTCAATGGAGTACGAATGCGTGCTATAGCAGAAACAATTCATATTGTTGCTATTTCCAGAGTTTTGCCACGTATTGCATAAAAAAGGTTTATCTTTGGCCATTCAAATCAAACACACCAAAACGTTAACGTTTCTGATAATGCTAGCAAAATCAGTCGCGCCTCTTTAAAATGAATTAACCATACAATAGTATTCCCAAATCGATGAAATGTAAACACAGCACATATCTGAAAATTATTTTACAAATAATTTCTGGCAACATTATATTCCCTGCTTGAAAATTTCGATGAGCAAAGCTGTATTCGATAAGAAAATCATACCGCCGCTCATTTATAACGCTGTTCAATTATAAATTAAAAAATTTTATACAGTATTTGGTGACGGTAAGCGTAACTGACCAGCAAAAAAGTTGGCAAATATCCTGTTGTCATCGCGCAGCATCCGCCGATAATAGTACATGGCCACCTGATAATAATTGGCCGGCATATCGGGGCAAAACTTTACAACGTCCGGGTCGGAATCCGGTCCCATGCGCTTGGCCACATACACCACCTCCATACTGATATTCCCCCCGTACAACGCATTGGCGCGCTGCACCCCCAAATCAAATCCGGGCCCGGTGAAGATAAGATTCTGCAGATAGCCCGGCGCCCACATCCCGTACACCATGATCGTGATGTTCATCGCCGTAACATAATCCGTAATGAAGATAATGGAGAGGAAACACCGGAGATTGAATGTGTACATTTCTTTACCCAGATATATGTTATGTTATTACGAGTGCGCATCGATTTGATCAGCACACACAAAATATGTACAACGTGGCGCGTTAAGGTGAGAAAGTCGCGGGACGCGGGCGCGAGTGATTAGCGCCGGTCATGGCCGGCGGGGACTGTCTTTAAGCAGGCACTGAGGCGTAAAAGATGCCGGGTGGAGTGTAAAATACTAAAATGCCGGTAGAGGTGTACAATGTAAGTTTCGTCTGTCGATTCTAATGACGACGTAATGTTAGCTTTTATATACACATATGTTGCCGGTATAACGAGAGACCGGATACGGCACACAACTGCCGTGCCGGTTGATAGATCCTTGGGTGCAGATTCAAGAGACTGGAGTTGCCGGCAACGGCACACCGGTTGGGACTGAGAATAGTTTCCGCCCTGCGTGCTGGGAAACAGCTGTAAGATTTTATTTCCGTTTTAAGCTGATTTCTCCATGCAGGTTTGTATGGCGTTTGTGAAGTTGTCGTTTTCAGTTCACGTAGTTCCCGAAACAACATACGGTGGAATTGTTAAGAAAACATAAGAAAAGTTGCTGTTATAGGAATTACGCACCAGTGGTGCGCGTTCCCGTGCAGGTTTATGCTGGATTTCGCATCCTGCAGCTGCTTGTAGTTCGTAAAATGCCATTATTGGGAAGTCGGGTACTGGAAAGCTGTATCAGGCGAAACATCCGGCTGGCCGTTTAAGAGAGAAAAAACCACACGATTTTTCCTTTTACAGAACTGCTGTACTTTCACTATTCCGGTATATACACAGAGCGTTAACAAAATAATCCCGAATTCCGCGGCGGCGTCACGGCATTAAGCGAAATAAAACAAGAAGACACACATTTTGCCGCGTGCGCGATAAAATAACAAGGGCGCGACGGCTATGGAGGAAAACATCGTAACTAATACATAATCAGGAACCGAAGAGAATTCTACTACGTCATTTTATTATTAAGCGGTCACAGCTTCATCAACAGGAAAATAGTACAAGTCAAGCGTGGATAATTGCTGCAATCATACTCATATAAAATCCTTCCATAGAGTCTTCTCGAACTTTCGTCCGCCACCCTTTGGGAAGATCAACGTTGCTGAAGAAATAAGCATCGGTTTTACAAATTATTCACGTCACATTTTGGACATTTCTAGTCAGCATTATTAATTTTATTTAACCGGGAAAAGCATTATAATTCATTTGCGCGGAGGTATAGTTCACGATCAAATTTGGCTCATTCACCGGTCGGTCATTTAACGGCGGTGACCGGCATATATGTGTCCATTGTAAGCAATAGCAAGGTGACGGTGTGCAGAATGGAGTTCATATAACCGTAAACATTTCATTACAGGTCAAGTACGTATGGTCACCATCAAATTACGTCAATTGCTGTCTATCCCTGCTGGATTCCGGGAAATGGTCTCTGCGGGCAGATGCTGCTTGATTACTAGGTGATATTACGTTGCCCCTACGGATAACTACCGACTTACCACTTAATTAGTTTTTTACGCTCGCGTGAATCGATAGTAAACAGGAGCGAATTCTTTAATGCTGGCGTGGACATATTTTTTCTTCAAACAAGTATTACATCATGTTTGTGTGGCTTTATAAAAAAAACGAGGGTTCAACCAACTTTCTGGCAAAATACTATCCTACGAAGGGTTTAGTCACGAGGTAAAGGGCAAGGTGCACGACATCTGCCACGAGTATTCTGCATCAGAACACCGGGATAATTGCGATTAAAACGTGGAGCTTTTGTTCTGTTTCCGGCAAGTTGGGCCACCTCCCGATCTACTGAGATTTCACCGTGCTAATGCAAATGTCGAGTGCAATTGCGCCGCACTGCAGAAGTCGAATACTACAGCGTCAACTAGGATCAATGGAGATTTTTTTGTCGTTTTGGCAGTCCGCCTTGTGAACAACGCTAGCGTTGAATCGGTCTAAAAATACGCAGAAATCCACTTAGCTGCGATACTTACCCGCACGGTAACGGTCAGGATGGTGGGCACGCACAGGAAGCGATCTGTGGTGGGATAAAAACGGTAATAAGCGCTGGCCATGATTAACTGTTAAGGTGTTGGATGTAGATTGCCGCACGCGGCCGAGGCCGTACACAATTCGGCAGTTTTGGTAATCCGGTGAATGAGTGGTAGCCTGGTAGGTTCATTCTTACAATCTTGCAGGTATGTGCGACGCACCGACGGTATGATCCAGACGGTCGCAGTGTCGTAATCCTGTACGATTTAAACAAAATACATAATTATAATTAACGACACATTCCAGCTGCAGTACACTATTATTATTGTTATTTCTTCGTGGAGCAGGTAGCCCATTTCCGGCTAGGGTGACATACTAGCATGGGATTTTAAACCTGGCCAAACAGTAACTGCACAGAGAAATTCCCAGCACGCTTAAACAAAATTTACACTGCGCAACGCATGCTTAAACGCATTAACAGATCGAACACTAAAAATATCAGAAAAATTAGAATCCACGAAAAATTTCCACATTTTATTAAGCTTCCAAGCCAAGGTTGTTTCGCCAACTTTTTTCTTTGCTTTCGCCTTGATTATGGTCCGGTTCCCTTTTCGAAGATTGTACGGTTTCACTTCCTCTTTAAATTCCACCATCTCGCTGATGTACTGCGGCACATGGAATTTTTCCGGATGCATGATTTTGTACAACCACGTCGCTTCGTTTTGTCTCCATCTTGTGAACAGAGAAAGGATCCCGTGCTTGGTCATGAACGATTCCGTGGATATTCCAGAATAGTTTGCAGCCGCTCGCAGGCCGCTACGATGCATGGCGGCCAATTTGTCCCGCAAGCGCACAGATGCCCCGCTCCACACTGTAGAGCAGTAGTCCAGATGAGACTGGACAAAGGCATAGAAAAGCGCAATGCGTTGGGATGTTGGCAGGCCAACTTTCACACGATTTAACAGTGATATGCCGTACCGAACACTCTTTTGGACCTTTTTAACATGGTCAGTCCAACTGAGATGTTCATCCAGCATCACTCCAAGGTGTTTCACTGACTTTTCTGGTTGCAACTGATGACCGTTCAGCGATACGTTAACGTTACTTTCGCAGTTGCGAGCTGAACTTACCATCAATAATTTCGATTTTTTTTCATTGACATATAAACGGTTAGCTTTTAGCCAGTCACAGATGTCCGGTAGTGCATCCGTTAGTATTTTTGCTGCTTCTGTTTTCGAGTTAGCAACTGCATAGCAGATGGTATCGTCAGCAAAACTTTCTAACTGGACATTTAGTAATCGCAATTTCAAAAGTTCGTTGATATATATCGTGAATAAAATAGGACCAAGTATGGACCCTTGCGGAACGCCGGCCATGACGTTTTCCCAAGAGGAAAATTTATTGCCATGGTGTACGCGTTGCGAGCGGCCGGTCAGGTACGAATAAAACCATGTTAACGCTGAAGTTTTCGCTCCGATATCACGAAGTTTCTCCAGCATAGTTAGGTGGCACACTGACGGAAAAGCTCGCTTTAAGTCAAGAAAAACTACTGCAACGCATTGTTTGTTATCAACCGCCTTTTTCCATGCCTCCGTCACTTTCAACAGTAACGTCTCGCAAGAATGGCCGTTTCGAAAACCAGACTGGTTCGGTGCAAGAATGCCTTCGTTCTTCAAAAATTTGTTCAGTTGCAATTGGGCACATTTTTCAAATAATTTCGACAAGTTACATAAAAGCGATATTGGCCAAAATTCATCCGCTGTTGCCGGATGAGTGCATTTAGGCAATGCGATTACATCCGCGATCTTAAAAATTGATGGAAAGATACTTTTTTTGAAACACTGATTTATTAAATGGGTCATGGGTTCAACAAGTATGGGCGAAATTTCTGATAAGAGCCTATGGGGAATTCCTTTCGGTCCCGCGCATTTCCTCTTAGTAAGAATTTTGCCGAACATGTCAACCACCTGGTCCGGGGTAATCTGATCGAATTCGAAAGTCGCCGTGTCAGCCTCCTTCGGGATGACAGCTACGGGGTGCCGTTCACCATGCTCCCCCATTGTAGCAAAATGCGTATTCAATGTATTCAAATCCACGCCCACATTACCGCTTTGGTTTTTCTTTCCCCGCAAGCGATTAATTTCGCGCCACATCGCTTTAGAATTTTGCGCATTTTTTTCAAAATAATCCTGTTTCGCGTTCTTGATTGCAGTAAACAAATCTCGTTTCAAATTTTTGAATTGTCGATTATTACTTTCATACTCGGAAGCACTTTTCGACATTTTTCTTCTTTTGTATGCGAGATTTTTATTTTTTATTAAACGTCTGATGTGACTGTTAATCCAAGGTGCGCTGCTGTTTGAAGCTCTTTTCGATCGCAACGGATAGCACCTCTCAATTATATCAGCCAGACCACCAACAACATTCGAAACTTCTTCGTCAACGTCAGGATAATCCACGTAATTTACATACTGCTTCATAAAATCGAATACTTGGCTCTTAAAAGACTGACTACTAGTCGCTTTCCAGTCTCTATAATAAACCACTCTGTGCTCCGGTTGCGCACACTGAAATGCAGAGACCGTTTTGCACAGCTTGTGATCCGAAAACCTTATATCTGACGGCTGGCACGATGTATAAGAAATCTTAGGATTGCATAAAATTACATCAATTTTGCTGGACGATGTAAATAAAGTATTATCTGATTGTCTCAGGCGTTGAGCTACCCGAGTATATCCGATTACCTTATCTTCGAAAGAAAATTCATCCACAAAATCTCTGAACAGTTTAACATAGGGGCTCGACGAACCAGGGGAGGAATCGATGTTAAAGTCACCCATGACAATATGATCGCAGTCCGGATGTTTTAGTAAAACTTCCCGCAAATGATTAAACAAAGCTTTTGTTTCAGTGGAAGTCGAATCTGGCTGACGATAAACAGTACCAATAATAATTTTCCGATGTGAAACAGACAATTTTAGCCATAGACACTCAAACCCCTTAGAACGGTACTTCAGCTCGACGCGCTCAGCCGTTATATGCTGAGGAACATGGCACAAAATTCCACCACCACGAGATTTACCATGAATATTAGGACGATCACAACGAAACAAACAGTATCCAGGAATAAAAAATAGTTGGTCAGGATCCGAAGGACGAAGATGAGTTTCAGTAACAGCGAAGAATTTGGGAATATTATCATCAGTGCAGAGATAATCTGACAGTAAATCAAGCTTATGATAGCTGTCATAGGGCAGCCCCTGGATGTTTAGATGGTGAAACTCTATGGGCGACATTTTGGTCGACGACATGTTACAGAATCAACACAATGTTTAATGCCATATATCAGAAGAACAAGCAAAAAATTCTACGCTTTCTGTTACCAATTTTTAAAGAGAAAAGTCATAAAAACATGCATGAAGTAAGATTAAGCGCGCTGGCTGAACGGATCTAAATTAATCCGCCAGCCAGCCATCCATCTGATGGCTCCGTATTCCACTGTTGCAATACGAGTATGAAATTTTTTTAAGATATTGCCCATGGCGTATCTTACTGTAGACCGTTAACAGGTCCGTTATGCCGTTATGAGACTCATGCCGATACTTAGTTTTCGCACTGTACATAGTACTCCTTTGCTCTGTAGAGCATACACTGTTTATTCTAATATCCTCAACAATATGTGCAATACTGCAATGCGTAATTGCAGTATAATGTATGTTCACTATGTTATACTATAGAACACTTGGTTGCCGGTACAAATAATTACAAACAACGGACTTGGTACAAACAGACTGTATTAGCCAGTATACTTTACTAGATTGAACGAACTTATAATTACTTATGCAATTCATTTTTGCCCTGTGTAGCTACAATTTTGTTATACTGGTATCATAATTATTATGTCGTCATTCTGGTCGATCTGACAACTAACAACTAACAAGCTATAAGTACTCCCAGTCACAAGTACTAACAAGGACTGCGTTATTGTCACGTGACTGTAGCCAATGAAATTTGTTTGCTGCGGCTGCGCAGCATGACATTGAACTGGTGTCATATGTTTATAATTTACGGCAATGCAACTTGACACATTCGTTAGCAGGCATTTACTTCATATGTACCCATAAATTACTGAGAGTACATGTGGGATGAATGCGTCACAACAAACATTTCGTGGAAAGGTTTTGTCCGACGCCTGGCAAGCCAAAACGAAAGGGATAGTCTTTACTCGTTTGTCTTCAGTACTCTTTACTCCCTGCGATTTGCCGAAGTGCAGTTTCTTAGTATTTTGCCGGAAGATGTGGTTCGTTTATGAATACGTCTACGTAATACGTATCCAATTCGCAATTCGATGCGCATTTTGGCATAAACGACATAAAAGTGGCGGCTACTGCGTATGGATTATGCCGAATCAGGTGTCATTGCATCCATAATAACTAACATTATGGGTTGTTACTCCTTACCACGTACATTTGGAATACAAAGCGCATTTTTTTCTCACTTTCTTCAAGGGTGTGTGCGCGCGCTTTCGTCAAAGGCACTTTTCAGTATTTGCAATGTTGCTATTACGAGAATAAATGTGGATACATAAATATTTTGGAATGGTAGGAAATAGTGGAAGATGGCACTAACCAATTACTCGTAGCAAAACAGCAACTGGTGCCAATTCTTTTCTGACGAAAAGTCCAAATGGAGAGCGCATTTTCTGGCAGCATCGCTAGTCCTGTTCATGTGCCATATGTTTGACTAAGCATCACGGACGTACCGGTCAAGTCAGCATCAGAACAATGAAGTAATAATTAAGACACCATTAAACAGTAGGGTGTGGCAATGGAAATACGTACCTGGCGCTAAGCACGCTATTGTATGCTGAAAACTGCAGCGCGTTGTAAACTCCTGCTGAATTACTTGTAACCAAACACCGTTAAAACTACGAGTTTGTGTACTGTGTTATACACTTTTGTAATACATGGCATAATGTAGGTTTCTATTATACATACAAGTGATAAGTAAGTACATCTGTACATGTAAGTATCTATCATATATTACATACGAGTAAGTGCTTGGAAAGTGCTTGCGTTTGTTCAATATTTCAGCTAGGAAGAATAGCTAAAAAATATGAGCATCTAATAACGGATGTCTCCCAAATCAGCAACCTTAACACTCGCATTTTTTCCAAATCTGAAGAAACAAGAAAACAAGAAAACCAGTACTCGTAGACGGCTCACTCCCGTTTTACAGTAAGAACTTTTCCGATATCATCTACGGAAGATAACAGAGAAAGTATTTATTAGACGTACTATCGTCCCAATACGCAGTAGTACTCTAGAGCTCGCCCAAATAATATCCAATTTGGGTAAAATGTGGCAGTGGTCTTTGGTCAGCAACTACTGTCATAATTATACGGTGTATGAACAGCAGTTACCAGTGCATCAGCTTGGACGATGTTGTCTGTGCTAACTTGATCGATCATGCGTTGCCATCTTAGGATAATATCTGTTCACATAAGAAGCTCGTTCAGTAGAGCAGTTCGATTTCTATCAAAATGCACATCCGGTGGACCAAAACGCTAACATGTAAGCTGTCATTGAAGCCAGTAACTATATTTTCAAAGGTTGTTGCAGCTGTTTTCAAATCAAAACATTAAGAAACGTACAACTTGCACTACCACGATCATTCTCAGTCTTTCAAGAAAATTGAAATGTTGTTTTTGATTGCTGTATCTTTATGTTTTAAGCATGTTCTTGGGGAGCTGCCACATTCAACCTGCCAGTATCATTCAAGTGCGATGTTATTCTGCGAAAAAGCCAATTTACAACTTCCATCCATGTTTTCCGCGGATCTCCTTCCCGTCGGTGTGGAATACATCAAACTCACCTGTCCCGATTTTTACTCGCGAAACTACTGTAATACAATGGAGTCCAACACACTTCTCCCGCTACCGTATCGACCTCGGCTTAACCGCATCGATCTGGAAGGGTTTCGCACTGTGGATGGCAGCAGGATCCCCGTGGGCAAGTTCCTGGCGAATGTCAAGCAGAACATTGCGGTGCTCATCATTAGCTACTCGAAAATCGACTATGTCGATCGTGATTTCCTTACGGGGTTTCGTTCTCTAATAACGTTGGATCTTAGCAATAATGATATAACCAGCGTCCGCCATGACGCTTTTCAAACCCTGTCGTATCCTATGCCGACCGGTCCCGTTCTGAAACGATTAGACTTATCCGGAAATTCTCTACAACAGTTCGATTGGAACAGCATTGAACCATTGGCATCCACTTTGGTAAATAATATGTAAACACATATATGCATCGGAAAAAATAGCATTTTTACAAACAATTTGAAAAATCTGGATCATATTGTGAACACTTTTGACATTTTGTTCGGTAGTAAACAAGTCCCATTAATCTACCTATATAAAATCCTTTAGGAACAACTAAACCTCCAAAATCAGTCACCAAAACTTAGGGCACTTCAGCAAAGCGGAAAGCCCTTTCGAACATGGCTGTCGAGACTGAGTTTATGGAATAACGGTCTGGAATTTGTCCCTGCATGGATACTGACCAACAACACATTCCCGGATGCGGCTACCGGTGTCGACATTTCTGTCCACAACAATGCGTTCTGCGTGTCAAGTGGCCGCAGTGAATGCGCTTGTTGTGAAGTGGCGGAATTTATGCATTGGATGAAATCTGTCGGCTCTACCGTTTCCGTACCGGTGGACATTCGATTTTCTTGTGGCTCGGCATCAACGGAGTACCGGAATGATGCTTACGGTCTGGCGTTAGCTGAGCGCTTCGGACATTGTAAGTACGGTAGCACCGGTTATAGATGCCTCTGCAATCAGCAAAAGCGTCCGGACGGATTAACTGTCGGTTGGATAGTTTTGCCGTTAAACCGGCAAAATCTATTACGAGTTCCAAAAACAGTTTGCTGGAAATTTTGTCCGTCCATCAAACGGTTTGACGCTTTTAACGGACTTTGTGTAGATGTCGGATTTAAAAAAGTCTCTGGTTTGGTCCGACTTACCAACTACAACACTTCTGCTAATAAACCAAGCAGAAGAAAAAATATCAAATCATAGTAGGTTTTCTCGTTTTTTCTTATGGATTATATACAGAATCTAAAGGGCAAGAGCGCGCCCAGTTAGCAAACCTTGTCGAAACTGGTTCGTAAAATAGTTTGGTGTTTTAGGTTTTTCCACAACGCAAGCACCTGCGACACTGCCGCACACACGTCCTCCTGCGACGACGACAAATGTACCCACCATTAAAACAACTAGTACGCCATGCACCGAACCAAAACCAATTGAAATCAACTGCACAGCTGGTAGTATGAAACTCTCTCAGTCGGACTTGCAACGCGCAGAAGGTACCACCGCAGTTTTCACCAGCGACGGAACGTTTCCTTGCGTCAGCAAACTGTACGATCTCCACACAATGGCACTGGAATTATCGAACATCCCAGCGCAAACCAATACCACAGAGAAATACGAGACCATCGATGTGCATTGCCAACATGGTCAGGCTGCCGTCAACGCGCTTAATCCGGATAGTTGCGGTGCCAATAAGTTGGTTTTCCGCACTGATTTGGCGGTTGGCTGCTATTCTCGATTTACCCAGTTTTTGTCGTATATTGATGAAAATCTAATTGGAGATCAAGATAGGAACGTTCAAAATCTTGCCGCGACACCAGAATTTTCACTGACTTCTTGGATTAACAGCAAAGTGTGTTCGCGCCGGCCTATGGTCAGTGTAAACTGTACAGCGGGTATATTTGGTTATTCGCATGGTAACGACACCGCTATAAGTACGAGCGGCGTAGCGGTTCGCAGTGATCACAGCTTCGATTGTCGGGATACATTTCGCACGATTCACGAATATCTGTTGGCTGACAAACGGACCGTGGTGCAGCCCGTCACTTCCCCGGAGCTGGATACCATTGTGGCTGTTTGTCAGAAAGGACGCTTATTTATTTCAGATGGCAATGCAAGGAGGTCAACGAAATTAAAGCTACAATATTTCTCCAGCCCGAATAGGTCATGCCGCAGTGCTTTTCATGAGTTCTTGCAATTTGTGTTGCGGTTGTGAAGCGTAATTTAACCACACATGTACGTATCACCGGATGACACTTAACTTGCCACTTGTAAATTGTGTTTGCTAGTAGTAAATTTGCAATACAGTATTAAAATATGTACTTGTACTGTAGCGGAATATTTGTTTTGTACGTAAAACGACAGCGCAATGGTGTTATCCGCATTATGCGAAGAAAGCAAATCTATCAGCACAGCTTCATTAGGCTTTACTGTAATGGTATCGTTTCATGATTTATTAAGTTAATTGATGACACTCAATAACAGAATAACGCAACTGAACTGGCATTCTGGCTTTGCAAAAATGAGCGTAATTGGAAGCAGCAAACGGCTGAAGGTGGAGCACCTGGCGCATTTATACGCTAGCACACGTCAAATGACTTCACGACAAATAAGGAAATTGCGTAGCAGGAAATCCGCAAAAATACATATTATGTCGTGTCGGCAGCAACTCGCAGTCGCTGTTGCAACATACAGTAAATGAGTCCTGTCAAAGTATCTATGAAATCATATCAACATCATGCGGTTTCAGACGTGACGTGGTTTGGCCAAGGCTAACGTCAGTTAAAGATTGTGTACTTTTCTTAGAACAGTTCAATTTTATTTTATATCTAGTAAATTATTTATTTACTGTTAAATAATTTGCAGAGCAAAATCTGTATTTACACTCGTTACAATGCAGTACATAATAGTGTTTTGCCTCGCACTGATTTTTCTGCAGTTACGCGGCCCAGTTCTTGGCCATCTGTCCAAAGATGTTTGTAGGTACCATCTGGCTCCAAGGCTACTCCAGTGTGATGACCGGAATCTGTATATATCCAGCACTTTTGTGACTTCCGCTATTCCTACTGATATAAAAAGTATTTCTCTAAATTGTCCCGGCTCTGAGATTCGCATTTACTGCAACATCATGCAGTATGACATGTCTCCGCTGCCGTATAGAATCTACTTAACGGCTGTCTGGCTATTGGGATTCAAAGCTGCTGACGGTGGAAGAATTCCGGTCAAGCGATTTCTAACGCACGTTAAACATAATATCACCACGCTTGTAATTAAATACTCCAAGATCGGCTACGTCGACCGCGCCTTTCTTATGGGGTTTCGATCTCTTGTGATTTTGGAACTTAGTAATAACGACATCACCAGTATCCGAGTCGATGCCTTCGAAAGTTTACTGGAAAGAGAACCGGCTTTCGGTATACCGGGACTAACCGCTCTTTGGCTAAGCCGCAATGCCTTGGAAACATTTGACTGGAGTGTTCTGCATCCACTGCGAGATTCTCTAGTGAGTTGTTATGTTTTCAAAGAATTTCGCTTTTTTCTAATTAAACTCATGCAAGAAAAAAAATCAAGATACCTGCATCAAGCCTCATTCTGCATTCGTACGTACAACGAAATTTAGTGACAATGGCACATTATCGTCGTTCGTTTAACGCGGCAATCTTTTTTATACTGATTTGATTCTGCTTGTGGTTAGAGGTCCCTCGAGCTTACAGAACAGGATCCCAAACTGGCGGTTCTCCTCCACAGCGGACCCACATTCCGTATATCCCTCGGTCATCTGCGCTTAGATTATAATCGTTTAGAATTCCTACCAGATTGGATGCTGCATAGCATCGACACCAAACTGAACGGTTTGACTAAAGTACTGTATGATTTCCGTGGCAATGACTTCTGTGCGAGTCCATGGAACGTCAAGGACGAATGCACATGCTGCACGATGGAAGATTTCATGCGCTGGATGATTGATACCACCATAAGACAAACGTCCGAAAAGGTCATTATCGGATTTTCCTGTGGACCCAAATCGACTCCGTACACTAATAGTGTAGCCACTGCAGTAAACATCATATTGGCCAACCCATTTGAACGTTGTAAGTTGTTGTAAATGAAGCAAGGTCAAGCGTTCGATATTGTGAAGAGGTACTAATTTACAGTTCTTTCAGGTTTTAAAGTAACGAATGTATCAGTTACCACCGAGTCACCGCGCCGCTTTGCTAACACTTTTAATATAAGCAGTAACGTGAATACTACCACCGTAATCAGTACCACCAGGTTAACTACAACAACCGGCGCTACGCGGCAAACTACAAGCGATGCACCGCGGATTCCCTCGACGACTAATAAGCCAATCACTACCAGTGCGATACGTACTAGCACGACTACCATTACCAGTACCAGCACGGCGACATCAAGCACTACAATAACAACGGTTCCAAAAGGAGAAAGTACTGCAGCGCATCCTGGACTCAATTCAACATTCAACTGCCACGAAATAAATGTCATTGAGATGAAATGCGGTCGGATTATGTCTTCCCAACCTGATTTGCAAAATGCGATGGGTACGTTAGTGGTGTTCACCGGCGACAGCACCGCAATATGTATTAACACACTCTCCGAACTCCACACCATGATGATCGAACAATTCAGTCCTTCTCTGCAAAACCGTTCTACTGATAAAGCGGTGCATGCGCAGTGCCAAAAGGGACAAATCACGATCAGTTCGCTGGACCCGGCAACATCCGGCGCTAGTCAGCTGGTATTCCAAACCGATTTGACTCCGAGTTGCTACGAACACTTTACGGTTTTTCTTCATTATGTTGACGAAAACATGGTTTCCGATTACGATAGAAGCTCCGCCGTTGCCGAAATCGTGCCACATGTAAACTGGATGCAGTTACGAGAATGGATGCACTGCCTGTTAATATCTCCTGCCCATTACATCGTAACCGTCAACTGTACGGCGGGAGCGCTTGCTTTCTCTCATGACAACATTTCTACAATGGGTGCTATTGGTGTGGCTGTACATAGTGACGACACCATTGGATGCAAGAATATTTCGGATGCCGTCCACAAACACGTTTTGGCCCAAACAGAAACCACCATAAAACCTTTGATCACGGCATCATCGACATCGGTTGTCACTTTCTGCGCAAAGGGGCGGGCACATTTGTCAGAAGGTCAACGTAAGCAGTTAAATAAGATGAATTTTGATTACTTAACAACACCGGACAAGTTTTGCCGCAGCGCCTTCCACCTGTTATTGAATTTTTTGTTCTCTGTACAGTTTATGTAACAGATGGCACCGCACTAGTTCTCCATGTTTAAAAATATAGCCCAGTAATGCGAACGTATGGATGTGTTACTTCGAACAATATTATTATTACACTTAAGCCAAAATTGTGATATTTCGTAAATAAACGTTGTGCGAGAAAGTTTCTTTACGTTCATCAAGTGAGTCCATGCTGCGGGCGCCACGACACGTCCGTGACGACTGCCTATAAAAGTACAGTTTAGTTATAACTCTGCACGTTCCTTAAATTTCTGTGCCATTCTGTTGAAATTCAGAGTTCAAGGGTTCCGTAAATGCTTGCTTTAAGAGTATTGTATTCCAACGAGACAGACAAAATTATGTAATTACAAGAGCAAAATATCTGTAAAATGCATCTAATTATTTCTCGTATTACCGGTACCATAGAAGAGCTTCTCGGATTCGCTTTGTGCTTCTAAAACAGTCGGTATGATGCGACATTTTTGCAGGTAACTCACTCATTACTTTGGTTTAAATACCACAAGGCACAAAGTGAATGTCAGACCGGCACTCCTTATTTGATTTCTGCTACGAAGAACGGAAGCCAGCATTCTATTCCAGGGAATCAGATCGGGTGGTGGTATAAATACATTATTATTTGATGCTTGATTAATGATGTTTGCTACCGTATGTAATAATTCACAGAATAGATTATTAATCAAAACCTGAGAATACGGAATCGAAAGACACTAAGATTATTAATGTAAGGTTTTAAATTTTTATCGACGAAATCACCTCCTTTGGCGCTCCTTTTTCAAGGCTTTTTGATTATCGCTATCCCAGTGCATCCTTCCCAAAAAGCTTCGCGTTTACAATACTAGTACAGTACAATTACGTACGTATGGTTAGCGATAAAATTTTCAGGGCATTGCGCAGGCAGAATGGGATAACTGGAGCAGATCTTTTTCCAAGCCACACATTTGTAATTTGAAACGATTTCCACAGTTAATTTTGTATATTCTATTATTCTAATACGCGTTACAGGTACGCTTGAAAAAACGACTCTACAGTGGGTGGGCAGTGAAAATCGCAAGTTATAATAGGAACAACGAACAGACACGCAGTATCACCAAATAAGTACGTACTGATAAACGTACCCAACGTGTACGAGTACATACTGTACTTAATTAATAAAAGTGTCAGTAAGTGTGCTGTTTCGGACTTTCTGAAGTAAATTATAAAAAGCTGCGACTGGTTCCACAACATCTAAATAAAAAATCCCTTCTAGTTAACAAGAGAAGGAATAGTTCTCCAATACACTTTCCGACGGGTTGTTACGTCAAAGATATACAACTGCAATAATCCGCACAATGTCTTCGCACCACTGGGGAACCGCGTACATGTTTCATCCAGTAATTGAATGTCTTTCTCCTTAATTTCTACATGTTTCGTGACCTACTCAATGCAATTGCCGGCACGTCTTCACGCAGCCTTTGAATGCCACATGCAAAGCAACGCTCATCGGATGTCTTATTTATTTTCAAAGTAGCCTCTTCCACAATCAAGTATATTACCAGATGAAGCTATAGACACAGAATCTGGTGATCAAACGGTTGACACTGTCAGTCATAAAGCTGGGATTGTACATACCTATCAGTTGTGCATAATTTCTTCCATGTTTGTTTCTTCCATGGTGTAGGGCGATCACGCTTGCAATTTCTCTTTCCTCGTCAGATTATTGCTCAGCAAAACAACAATTCCTATATGATGTCCAAAATATTCTGCCCTCTGTTTGCCTTATTAACATTTTGTACCGGAGTCCGCGGTGTGCTGAATGTGACTGTGATGATCCATGGAATGTGGAACTCCATTTACTTACAAAAATTACCCTTCACCGCGCCTGGTTTTGAGATGGGCGCGGCAGTGGCTAATGAAATATACGCGGACAACTTCAATATCCAGCTGGAGTTTGTATCATCCGATTTGGTTCAAACTTGTCCGGATATTTCCCCAAATTTCTACCAAATTGCGGACCGATATTATGGCGTACCAGACGAAGAATCGCGCGTCCTGGCGGTTATGTACGCAGGTATATGCGGCTAAAATTAGCCGAACCATATCGCACGTAATACTAGAGGCTTTGAGCAGAAAACACCATAACCATACCTTAACCATCCCTTATCGTGTAGTTGGACGACCGCCATCGAGGTAGCAGTGTACAAAGTACTCAGCGAAGGCGCATAGCTGACTCTGGGTCCCTTCAGATTTAATTTGTTTTCTCGCACTGCGTGAAACGATCTCTTTCCAAAAAATTACATTTACATTCAAAAATGTTTTCTCTATTCAAAAAGTGTATATCTGGGGAAGTTAAATTGGGCAGGTGTTAAGGGGAGCCTTTGAAAGTCCATCACCATACGACACGTTTGTATGGTATTCACACTTACCATACGCTCGCACTTAACCATATAGTATGGTTAAGTGTATGGCTATGGTTAAGTGGAGCAGTTGCTCAAAGCTTCTACTGTAATAACATACTAGCTTAATAATAAATGTGTACGAAACGAAGATTTATTAAGCGGTAATGCCGGTCATTATAATTATATTGATCCCATGATTTATGTTACATGTATACGTACGTTTACCTGCTTATCAATGAACTTTAATACCAACTCAAAGCCATTTCAAGGCGCTGCCATCATTGCGCTGAATAAAGTCACGTTTGCATGCAGGGTGTGACCAAGCCACAACAGCAGCTGAATTCGGGCGAGGTGTGGTAAATCCGGCATGGCCAACGCTACCTATTCCATTCTGTACTAATAATAACTAAATTTTGTTTTGCAGAATGGAATGTTTTAACGATGAATATGTAAGATTTTGCTCCGGGACGCAGTAGCGGTAATTTTAATCAGAAATTATGGCATGTTTCACCGTTGGTTTCGATATAGTGGAACTACCTTTTCCCAGTTCCGAAACCGAACAACGTACCCAACCACGATCGCTTTCGGTCCTGGCCAGTACGAAATATACGGTGTTATGGTGGGCCAGTTGAGTATCGCGTACAGGTGGACGAGTGTCGCCGTTATCTATGATGTCTCTGGGGTGATTTTATTCCACTTACGGGTGGGCCAGGATATTTTCCGCTACATGCGTCAGCGTTATGAACATATCGATGTTCATGCATTTCCGGTTAATTTGACAACGAGCGTGGATTTCCCGTCGATAATTAGAGAAATTTCTCTGCATACTCGAAGTAATTACCAGCTTCATTGCTTACCCTTTGGTTGCCCATGTTCGCTCACAGCACAGGAATCAATTATTTTATTTTGCTTTTTGCAGTGATCTTTTTTGCGATACCTTCCAAATCTACGCAGCAGTTTTTGGTAAGACATTAAGAACCGCAATTTGGTACAGCAGTGCAAAAATATAATAACCAATAATATCGATGTTGTTGCAAACTTTTCGGCTTTTCAGGTTGCCTTTGCGGAATCCGGTGAACTGAGAGAAGAATACGTAAGACAACTAATTACAGTAGTACATTAACTGCTGTTGTAACCGTCAGATTTTAACGCACAGGCTGTGTACGATTCAGGTGTTCCTCTATATGGATTATGTGGGAAGCATCAAAAGTCCCCTATATTACAACTATACAGACACTAATGATGTAACTGTTCTGCATTCTTTGTTTTATAGCATTAAGAGGAACAAAAATTTCAGTACATGTTGTACATGACTATATAGCTGCTCTTATCAGGTCACTTCTGCAATGTGGAAGTCGGTCTTCGTTGTTACCATCTGTTACGATCATCCCGATACGATTAAGGAGCTTCGACAAGCTTTATATAAACTTGCCGTGGCCAAGTACAACGCCACATTCGTTGGTCCTGACGTAAGCCATAGTCGCTAATTCGCTGTGTTTCTTCTGATCTGATTACTTACCGTCGTATTACTCGTATTACACAATAACTGAATCAATTTCAGCCAAACGAGTACATTACAACAGCGTATACAGCGGTTCTTGTTTACGCTCAAGTAAGACAATTTCTTAAACACTGCCTGGAATTACATAAAATACACGAACGTGCTTAATAGGTCTTGAACGAAACAATCAACGCCGGATATGATCCGCGTGATGGCAGCCGCTTAGCCGGTGCTATGCTGGACCGTACCTTCACGTTTCCCGCTGTGGGAAGCGTGTATGTCGATGAAAATGGCGAACGGCAGAATACAGTCTGCCTAAAAAATTTCCAACCGCAACTACAGCGCTTTGAAGTAAGGCATCAAATTAAGGAAAACCCATTACGTCAGTCATCATTGAGTTATTGTTTCAGAGAGTCAGATATTTCGATAGTGCCACAAAAACTCTGCTCAATGTTTCTGATATGGTCGTCTACTGGGGAACACAGCAAAACTTACCGCCGTCTGGTACACCTGTATGTGGTTTCATGAAGGATGAAGGACCTTGTGCCAGGCTAGGTTTGTTAAACTCGTTGCAGGTTTAGTTATTCATCAAAAATCTGACCTTACGCAAGCAATTATGCGTAACAGGTTCGGCGACCATTGGTGGCATTGTCTGCGGGATAATTTTGATTGTTCTGATCTTGGTTTGCATAATTCCGCCTTTTCGGTAAGACCGTGACACTAAGCAATGACTCATCTTTTTAAGAGAAAAGGTATATTTACTTAACTGCCAGTTAACGAAATTTTGAAACCGGTTAATAGATTAATTTTTTTTACAGCCGCTTGCAGAAACCGATCGTTGATGAAAACTGGTGGGTAGTGGATTTGCATTACTTGAGCCGAGCAGTGGAAGTCGGCAGTAGCGAAGTAAGACCCTAGGTTTTATGAGATAAGTACCGAACCTGATGTGATAGTGTAAATTATGGTTCAGTTTACCTGACTTACAAAATAGTACTTGACCGTGTCAACAGATTTCCGGACGTAGTCACCCGTACTCGTTCAAATCCAATTTGTTGATCAACGCACCCATGCGCTACCGCGGGATACACGTGTGGGCAAAGGCTGTACAAATCAGTAAACGCACGGTATTACTGCCATCGAGTAATGGAATTATCAACATCAGACCGGAGTTCCGCCAGCTGATTTCAGAGGTGACCTTATCTTCCCAAGAAACTTTAAACTTCTTCCCATTTAAAATGCAACAACGATTGCGCTCTTTAGATTCGCTTACTCTCAAAGCAATACGCCAATATCAACCCATTAATCGGCATCGGACTCGGGCCCATTCGCTTAACGTATCTGACCGCTCTTTGCCAAAGGGGAAATCTCGGTGACCTTATCGAGGAAGTGTCACTAGACTGGGGATTGAAATGCTCGCTGATTGCTGATCTCGTTGAAGTCTGTTATTAAAGTTTCGCTGCACCTTTTACTTTTTTAGCTTCATAGTTTTCTTTAGGGTGTTGCTGCGATTCATCGTACCACGATTCGTCGCCACGGTCATTTGCGTCCCTCAAAATGTCTGATCGACAGCCGCCTGGTTCTAAAGATTAACGAAGCCGGGTTTTATGATACGCTGCACGAACTGCAAGTTGAACTGATCAACCCCAAAAACTTCGAAGCTATTGGAGAGATTCTACATAATGCGTGGGTTGCACCGGAATTAAGGATTCAGCTCATTGAAAGCGCCACATTTGCGCATATTGCAATGCAAGCCGAGCCGCCGGCTGATGTGTACGCTGTCGGCGGACTGATTAATTATGTACTCTCAAATCACACCGAGACAACAGGTACATAGTAGCTATTTTAATCATTAAGCTGGTTCGAACATTGCCTCGATGACACAACTCAGTTTCTTTTCTTGTTTTTCATGTAGACGAGAAGCTAGTTGATTTTGCTTACGCTAATAAACACGGCATTCCGCCAAGCGCTGTGCCCACGTTATCCACGCTTTTATATGAATGCCGCAACGTGAAACCAGAAGATAGACCAAACATTTGGCAGGTTAAAATGGAAATTAACAAAGTGGCTGACAACGCGGGAAAACTATTTGATCAACTGGTTAAGCGACTGGAAGACTACGCTGTGCAGTTGGAAGCTGCTGTGTCCCTTCGAACATATACGCTCAAGCAGGAAATGGAAAAATGTGATTCGCTGTTAGGAGAGATGCTTCCAAGGCAGGTTTCACCTGGCAGGGAACCGTTTATTCTTTATCTTTACCAATTATGTAAGAGCTTTATAAATTTAGGTATGTGCTTGTCCAGCTGCGCATTGGTCATTTGGTACAACCGCAGATCTTCCCTTCGGTGACCATCCTCATGACTGGGGTCGCCGGTTTCGATGAGTTTGTAATCAAGTCTCAGAACAATCCTCTAGATTTGGTGGTGTTCTTGAACACCATGTTCACAATATTCGATTGCAGTATTGCCAAATATGACTGCTACAAAGTGGAGACGATATCAGAGTCGTGCTTGGTACAATAAATATTACTAAACTACTAGCCATAACTGTGCTCCTGTCCGCGATCCTTAAACAAATTACTGTTACATTCTGCAGGTTGTTAGTGGTTTGCCGGTAGAAAATCACGGTGATCACGTGCATATTATCGCTAGCCTGGTGCTAGAAATGCGGACCGAGTTCGAGCGAGGATTTCCGGAAGGTCTCCACCTGAAAGCAGGAATACATAGCGGTGAGGGCAATCGCTGTTCTGTTTAGGCTGAAACATTTTTTTGACCGATCAAAATCAGCAAGTCTTACTTGCGGGTAAAATGTTTGCTTTATCTAGGTCCTTGTGCTGCTGGTGTTGTGGGCACCGCTCGACCGCGTTATTGTGTGTAAGCAAATCTACAATAATCGAGGGCAAAAACTCGGAGAGGGCAAAACAGCTTTTAATAATTTTAGTCTGCGCTTTGTACGCTGTTCGAGTACATCACGCCAGAATTTGAACTGAAGCCCTGATTAACGGCAGCTTTGGCTTGTTTAGATTTGGTGATTCTGTAAATGTCACCTCGCGGTTGGCGTACTCCAGTAAAGCAAACAAAATCCATATTAGTAACGCTGCGGAAGAGCTTCTTGGATTTGACCCCAGTTTTAAAGTCACTCGGCGTGGTATGACTTACTTGAAAGTGAGCCATGCTTTCAGTTTGTAATGCAGGGAGTCATCGGTTTCTTAAATTTGGAGCATAATGAATTCATGGCAACGTAACTTTTTAGGGAATTGGATCGGTAATGACCTTTTGGCTGGAGGCTTAATGAAGACCATGGATTTTTGATATGCACGTATTATGTACTGTTGCCTGCTGAATAATGTAGTAATGTTGTGCTCAAATTTCGATCAATATCACTGAAGTGTGTTGAGGTAAAAAGGGACGAGAATTAGCCCTAGGGGATGGGTACATTAAAGATTTGGCAGCTTTGCGTGGCCAGTAATATGACTAAATAAATAACCATGTGCTCCTAACGAGCCACGCTTATTCGTCTGGTAAAATTATGAATTGCTTCCATTGAGATGTGCTGGTGAGGCAGCCGCAATAAAGTGCGTGATTTACTACTATCACTTTGTTAATGCTTACGGTAAGTTCACTATGACTGTATGCATCTAATGGTAAGTTAAAAATTGCCGGCTGCCATTGCGTATTAGGCTGTCAGTGAAGTACGTAATTGTGGCCCGTCGGTTTCGTGAGCATTACTGCTTGCAAACACACGACGATCACAGACTTCGAAATTATATTAATTTATATTGCAAAACTTGCAAAAAGTGCCTGGGAACTTGAAAGCTGCTTCTGTTACAGGCAAAGATAACCGTGGCACTAGCTAGAGGCAGCACTGTTTCCGGTTGAAACTGCCGGAAGCTTACCGCCGGCGGCATGATGCTACTTAATTAAAATAGGCGCATGCATATTTTACTTGCCACTAGAGTTCGTAAGTCGTCAAAATGACGAAGCGTAACGATAGTTAACGAAGCGGTTCGTCAAGCTTCGCGCAGGTTTTCGGGGCCAAAAGACACCGCTTCGTTAAGCTTCGTTATTGCAACTTATCTTTTCGCTTAGTCTAGTTATTACTGGTACTTTCGTTCGCTAAAACTTTCGCTAATTTTTTCGGATTTTTTGGTAATTTCTGGCAGATTTTAAACAAATCTGTCTGTCAGCTTCGCGCTTCGCGCGAAATTTGATTATTTTCTTTAATTTTTCCAAAAATTATTGCTTTTAACAGATTTTGCTTGGTATGAACTGTACATGAGCAAAATTCAGACTCAGTTTTGGTAAGTATTTTTTCTTTTAAAAATTTTTCGCTCAGTTCCGTTTTTTAGTCAACAAAATATTTTCCGTTACCGCCAAGTTTCGTTAAATGATTTGGTAAAATCGCTAAGTTTCGTTATTATTTTTCGAAATTCACAAACAGTTAAGTTTCGTCAAGTTTTCCAAAAAGGCTGAAAATTTCCGTTTCGCTGCTGAAATCTTGACGATTTACGAACTCTACTTGCCACTTGCCAGCTGTACTTTCAAGTTTCAACCTCATTCATTCCGGGCTTTAAGTTATCCGATAAAACTTTTGGTGAAGGTTATTTTTACAAGTAATCATCCCTCCGTAATTAATTATTGTGATCTGATACACAACCTTACCCCGGCAAGGATACTGGTAAGTAGTGTTCACAGCCGAGCACAGTACTGCGGACACTGGACAGACGGTCCTAGCTGCAACGCAGCAACAGTTTCCACCAAACGCACAGGCGCAGCCCATGTTGTCCGTTCCTTACTCGTTTCTTATTCATCACTGGCCATGTCATCGGAACAACCCCAACCCTGTGCTGAATCGGCCAGCGTCCGCTCTTCTGTGGAGGGCGCTTTGACGGAGCGACTCGCTATCGGACTGCAGGAGCTGAAGAGCAGTGGAGTGCTGTGCGACGTGGTGCTGAAAGGCGCGGAAGAGTCAGCCGTCGGGATTCCCTGTCATCGTCTGGTGCTCAGCGCCCAGAGCAGCTACTTTCGCACCATGTTTGCGTCGGATTGGAAGGAGTCTGCTGAAAAAGAGATTCGGCTGCGGAATATCTCCAGCAACACGCTGCAGAAGTAGGTGCTAAATTTTACTACGATGCCAACATCCGAAAGCCTCAAATTACCCTTATTCGTACTTAAAATTAATATTTACCTTACTTTGTCTTTGCACATCACTATAAATAATGAGAGTTAATATCCTGTTAATTTTTGCTTTTCTTGAACGAATTTTTAAATTGAAAAGTATAAAATGGCACAGTATTCGTGAAAGTTTTCTTTGTCACTTTGTGTGTCTCAGGTTGGTCGATTATGCGTACACAGTGATGATTCCGATTGATGATGGCAATGTGCAGCCACTTCTCGCTGCGGCGATATTTTTTGACTTCTCTCCCGTCGCTACGCTGTGCTGGAATTATTTGGAAGAGCACATGGATGTGTCCAGTTATCTGCAGGTGTATTCGTTGGCCAAGATGCATAATAATCCGCGTTTGGCTGAGAAGACCAAAGGGTTCGTGTTGCACCATTTCGTGAAGATTGCACAAAGCGCTGAATTCTTGCTCGTCGATGCGGCAACGGTAAGTTTTGGTTTCTTGGGACACTCAGAAACTTGAAATTGTGTGAGTGCGGTCATTACGCGGATGTCCTTGATATTATACAGATTACAAGAAACAGCCTCGGCTTCGCCTCCGCGTTTCTTGGGTTCTAAACTCCTAGGCCGGTTTACGGATTGTTAACTTAGAACGGATAAATCTGAAGAGCTCGATAACAAAAATTTTATAAGAAAATGGATGTTTTAGTTTCGTGCAGTCGAACGCAATTACTTTGACTTTACAGATCATTTTTTAGTAAATTTTCGTAGCGAAACCCCATCCGAATCTAATCACCCACGAGAGTACCACATTACAAACTAAAAGGACGCTAAGTCTGGACAATGGTGCTCCCACTAAGGACTTAGCGGGCCCTGTTCTATTTTGCTCAGTAATATTGCAGTTTGGTCATACGTTCACCTAACGGGCTCCGTGCACTGGATAGCATTGGTAGCTCGGTCACCCATCTACCTAACGGGATCTATGCACTGGACAGTAGTGGTAACTCGGTCACGCGTTCACCTAACGGGATCTATGCAATGGACAATATTGGTAACTCGGTCACTAGACAGTAGTGGTAGCTCGGTCACTAGATCACTTAACGGAGTTTGTGCACTGGACAGTAGTGGTACGGTACATCGGTCACTAGATCACTTAACGGAGTTTGTGCACTGGACAGTAGTGGTAGCTCGGTCCCTAGATCTCTTAACGCAGTTCGTGCACTAGACGGTAGTGGTAGCTCGGTCCCTAGATCACTTAACGGAGTTTGTGCACTGGACAGTAGTGGTAGCTCGGTCCCTAGATCTCTTAACGCAGTTCGTGCACTAGACGGTAGTGGTAGCTCGGTCCCTAGATCACTTAATGGAGTTTGTGCACTGGACAGTAGTGGTAGATCGGTCACTAGATCACTTAACGGAGTTCGTGCACTTGACAGTAGTGGTAGCTCGGTCACGCGTTCACCTAACGGGCTCTGTGCACTGGACAGTATTGGTAGCTCGGTCACCCATCTACCTAACGGGATCTATGCGCTAGACAGTAGTGGTAGCTTGGTCACTAGATCACTTAACGGAGTTTGTGCACTGGACAGTAGTGGTATCTCAGTCACTCTTTCACCTAACGGGTTCTGGGCACTGGACAGTATTGGTAGCTCGGTCACTTACTCACCTAGCGGTTTTTTGACGCACTCAATCACTAGGTGAGTGACTGACCGAGCCCCACCTGTCCAGTAAGAAAAATCGCTAGGTAAGGAGAAAAATCGCTAGGTGAGGAAGTAACCCTGCTACAACTACTGTCCAGTGCACAGAGCCCGTTAGGTGAGCAAGAGCAAAGCCCGCTCGATGATTTTCTCACCTAGAAATTCCGCTCAGTGGGCAGTTATGGTTTTTTCGGCCACTCACTTGTCTAGTGATTTTTCTTACTGGTCAGTGGTGGTAGCTCGGTCACCCACTCATCTAGAGATTCCGCTCAGTGGTCGGTGATAGTGTTTCGGTCACTCACTCGTCCAGTGATTTTTCGTATTGATTTTATATTTGATATTTTATACATTTTATATCGGTTGATTTTAAACGTGTTTCGAGCTCGGCAACACCGGCAGCAATGTTTGAATAACGCGAGTGTTTGAATAAGTACAATAGTTTATTTATTTTTCGGTTTAATTAGTGTGATAATTATGTCAATTGGTATTTTGTATTGTATCTAGGCAAATATTTCTAAGTTTCAAGGTGACCTTTAAAATGGGTTGGATCAATCTGGTCTTGATGCCGGCTCGATATTTTCATAAAAAAAAAACACATGCCGGCCACTTCTGAACTATCCCGGATCTAATGGCGTTGTCCGTTTATCCAGAAGTTTTATGATTATAGAGATCTCAAAACTATGGGGCGCCGCGCGTAGTATAGATCTTGTACTTAATAATAACATGAGAACAAACATGCTAACATAAAGTAGGTACAAGACAAGACAACTTTATTCTCCCAGATTTCTTCTAGCAGGGGCACACCATGCGTTGTGCCGTATAATTAATAATTAATGATTTAAGAAAGAGAGTCAGAACAATTTGAGCATACCTAACACTGGTAATGTTAATAAAATAACAAGTGCCGGTCGCGCTAGCGCGCGACCAGTTGTGTTTGAGGTATGGAAGAATGAAAGAAATACAAAATATACTCGTACTTCGTAACAGCAATAAAAAAAATTTTGAGAAATATTTCAAACATAAAAACCTCTGCGAGGCCAGCTACGAAAATATTTTAAACATGTAGAAATGTGGAAGTTTATTGATTTTCAAGCTTTCCGGTTAAATTCGACCAGTTTTATGAAAACTGTGAAAAGCCTCCGTAATTTTTCTTTTTTCATGGTTCTTTTTAACGTTTTTAATGTAACTTTATACTGCCGATCCAAAGTACTTACTGAAAACTTGAATTTTTGGGATAATAATTAAACGGTGATAAAATGGATGGAGTGGATCATTTACACGATGCCCATAAAAAAACATTTTTCAGCGCAGAATTGATGGAAACTTGTGGGGAACAGTTAACGGTCGCCCAAGGTGACCTCGCATGCTGCATCTTTTGCTACTACTGTAATTGTAAGATTTTTCAGCCATCAGTCAAGTTCTTCGGTATATATTAAAATAAAATAAATACATATTTAGCAGATTTCGAGGTAAGTGAATGCCCAAGCTACCACCAGTATCACAGCCGTACGAGAGTCAATACAAAAACAGGCCGCGGGCCGGCCTTTAGATATTTAGGAATTACATATAAATTAGACAATTAAGACCGTGAGATATTAAGGTACTCAGACATTTCTAGACATTTTGAAATTTCGAAACTCTGGAGGCTCAAAAAATTAGAGGTAACGGCCCCGCTGCGCGGGGCCGAGTCGAAATATTTAGAAATATTTAGAAATCCTTGAAATGTAAAAGCTTTGGAGGCGACTTTGGTGGAAAAATTTGTAGTTATTTTGAGGTATCCGAACGTGTTTTTAAAAGCGCCTTAAAGGTTTTAAGAATTTATTACAAAATTACAATTACAATTTTGATGGAATTGACAATTTAAATACTCGTAACTATACAGATCTGTAGTTTAGGTTGCTAAGCTGCGAAACTTGTATTTGCTTACTCGATACGTTTCCAGAATTTACTGGAAATTTCTAAGAACTTGAAACGCTAAGTACAGGAAGTTTGAAAGGGATTTTGAAAACGTTTCGGAAACCAAAATTTTTCTCCAAGCTGCAGGTAGGAAGCTTTGGAAGGTGCTCTATTTTATAAAATTAATAACTTAATGGAAAAATCAATGTTGATTTAGGAGATAATTTCCAAAAGTAACAACCTTTAAGTACTGACTACCTTTAAGTACTATCTGTACAACTTTTAAAAATTTTTTCAGACCTTCTCCAAAACTCAAGATTTTTTTTAAGATAAAGGTAGGAACGTTTCTGCAATGCTCTATTTTATAAAATTATCAACTTATTGAAAAAATCAATCTTGATTTAGGAGATAATTTCCAAAAATAAGGACGTAAGGATATTTGAATCTATTGATAATAATACACATAACAGAGTACGTTAACATAGGCAGAAGAGAATAGAACGCAAATTTTGTGAATTTAGCTGCATTATATGTGTACATTAACGCTTCACGGAGGCAACAGTAACATTTCTCCGCTAAATACTTTGCGGCTATCTTTCAAGACCTGGTTAAAAAAATTGCCTAAACAAAAGAACAACGTTTTCTCTTTCTCCGTAGTATGTTCCGCATTGTTTCTGTCAGGCCGCCCTCGGGTACTGCAAGGCCAAAGGCAGCTAGGCGCTCCTGTAGCTTCTCTTTTTGTGGGGAATATGCCGGGCATTCATTTAGAGCATGACACTCGTCCTCCACAACCCCGCAGAAGTTACATAGTCGTTCCTCTCGCGGTAAACCGCTCCATCTTCCTGTCTCCACAGCAAAGTAGTGACCGGAAGTCAGTATTTTCACCCAGCTTCCGCTAATCCTCATAGACATGGTTTGCAGTAGGTGCACTTCTCCGCTCTCCGGTAGACACTGAAACATAAAGTGCAACCTGCTCCTGGCAGCATTATCCTGTACCGATTTAAACAAATTCGTCCGGAATTTTTGCTCGAGTCTCGTTATTATATCATCTGAATTCGGTTTCGCTAACTGTTAACAAATTTTTTGGACGGGGTTTGCTAAAATTAATTTTGATCTCATCCGGAAATTCTTTAAGCGCTTTTTTTAACCAACATCGCGATCTGCTTTTTTGCAATCAAAATACTTTCTTCGAATGCCGCTCGTAGAAGAGTGCCTGAATTTGCGCGGCTGAGCTTTTCGAAGAAGCGCATCTGCTGTCTAATTTGTCTCAGACTTAGTGCGTTAGATTCGAAAGATAGAGAATCGCATCGGTGTTCGTGGTGCTTCGGAGGCTGATAGTCCGTTTCGCAAAGTTGATTTGTACTTTATCGGTTTCGAAGTTTTTACCGCATAATCCCGACCCGCATGTCGCTATACTTCCTACAACCGCTTCAAAAATCGTTTGCGCAGTTTTCCACGTACACCCAGTTTCTAACCCTGAAAGTTTCTGTACTGCCATATTATAACCCCTCTTAAGGGAAGTGGGCCGGTACATGGTGCTAAATTCCTGTACATGCACGAAAACTTACACTTTCGCGCACTCCCAAACACATTTTTGTTTCTGATTATGATATTTTGTAGCCAGAAGATTTGTATAAAGCGGCGTGAAAACCGTTTGTGCGCGCAACATCCGGTTCGGGAGTTATGGCTGCTAGAAAATTCCAAAAAGTTTAAATGCGTTCAGGTGTACCAGAAGTCTTATTATGGGCCGATCTCCCTCAAATTTTGCACGTAAATGCACATAACCATGAAGATAGTTTTTACACCGATCCACTGTTCTAGCATGTTTTTCAAATTTTAAAATGAATTTCAAAAATTTTAAAATTCATTTTAAAATTTGAAAAAACTCATGGAACTCTGGATCGGTGTAAAAACGATCTTCATGGACATGCGCATTTACGTGCAAAATTTGAGGGAGATCGGTCTATAATGAGACTGTTGGTACACCTGAACGCATTTAAACTTTTTGGAATTTCCTAACAGCCATAACTCCCGAACCGGATGTTGCGCGCACAAACGGTTTTCACGCCAGTGTATACAAATTTTCTGGCTACAAAATGTCATAATCAGAAACAAAAATGTATGTGGGAGTGCGCGAAAGTGTAAGTCTTCGTGCATGTACACGAATTTGGTACCATGTACCGGCCCACTTCCCTTAACTCGCTCTGCTAAATGTTTAGCTGACTTTTTAAGGTCACATTGCTCGTTCAGCACGAAGCCCAGATACCTAAATTCTTGAACCTGCTCTAGGTACAGAGTACATGCAAATAGTGTACAATATCGTGACATTTTTTTAATTGGATTTGCGTTTTTTTAAATCCTTTTCGCTGCTCGTTTGGTTTTTAAATAATTGGACATTAACGACATAATAAGAGAAACGCCGGCGATTGTGTTGGGGCATGTGGCCAGCCTCAGCTATACACCGTAGCCGGTCCGACTAACTTTTTATCGTTTATCGGCACACCTAGATACGTACAGACTGCTTGCACTTGCTTTACCATCCGCTCGCACGCTGTGCTTGCTGGTTTCCCACACATGAAAAAATCATCGAGAAAATGTAGGAACGCATCACTACACGTCTTAAAAATCCACTCAAGTAAACCAGCAAATTTATCGAAAAGGTATGGACCCGACCGAAGACCGAATGAAATGACTATATCGTAGTAAAACTTCCCCTCCCATTGATACCCTAGCAAATGCCAATCCTCTTGCCTAACCGGTAAAATTCTGAAGGCACTTTCAACGTCGATTTTTGCCATAAGCGAGCCCCTTCCCTGCCGCATTACTAGTTCTACCGCATCGTCTACGCCTACATATTTTAATGAGTACTTATCTTTTTGGATGTAGTCGTTGACACTGCATCCAAACGGTTGTGACAGATCCATAATGACGCGGTGTCCTAAAGGCCGCTTCGGGCGCAGTCCCAGTGGGTTGGTGACAAAATGCAGATAGGGCTCAGTAGGAAACGGGCCTCTCGCGTGGTTTGCCTGCACTTCTTTGGCGATCATCGACGCTATAACCTGCGGATCATCTAATGCTGAGCGGGCATTACAAGTAAAGCGGCGAAACTGCGGGCCCAAGTAGCCGACCGCGAAACCAAACCTAAAGCCCTGCAAGAGGAAACAAACAGTTTCGCGATCGTTATTGTGTACCAATAACTCAGCGAGTCTCTCGACGGAGACCGGTGTGGTCACTTCCGGGTTTGGCATTGTGACCGTTGCCATGCTTATGCTGAGCTGCATCGTGTTCGGCGACGGGGTGGTCGGTGGCGCGGCATACTGCGCACTTGTGGCTGTAGGGACAGTTAGCTCCTCTGGTGCATCTCCCGTTATTCCAGTTCCTGCACAGGTCTGGCGGGATGTGTCGAAAGGGCCGATCCGCCTTGATGTCCTGTCGACCCTGTGCTGAGAATTGGAGCTTCTTGGCACAGTCCTGCTCGGTATGGTCCGCGATCACGCACTCGCGGCATAGCTGGAGATGTGCGCGATGTGGGAGGCGAGCGACGCAGCGGTCCAGTAGGTTTCGGTCAAGCCGGTACCAGTCGTCATAGCTTGTGTCGCGGGTGCGGCCGGCACGGAAGGTTTTATCGTACTATAGCCACACTGCAGCCGTGTACGTGCCCGTCAGGTTGGTGATGGTAGCCTGGTATGAGTCTAACGGATCTCTAAGCTCAGGATGATAATGACTACGTACACGACGAAAAACAATGAACGCTTCGCACCACAATGTAAAGGATGTAATCGTGACCTTTCGCGGTTTAGAATCAGATAGTACAAAATCACTATCTCTAATCTCGATCTTAGCTTCGCCCTGGATTGGTGACATAATGCTATTCGCCCGCAGCAGCTTGTCTAAATCGACATTAACCGTAAGGTCATACAGTTCTTCCAGACATTTATCACTAACAAGAGGAAACCCAGCCGGCAATGGTGGTGGTTTCTTACTGTTTGTGGCTCCTGCGCTTGTGCCCGCGGACGTCGATGGGGACAGATCGTTGACCTTTTGTGTTAGCTGGGTGAGATGATTCTGCTGGGAGAGCATCAACTGAATAAGCATGGCGGTTTCCGTTGGCTGGGACTGGACGGCCGTTGGAGGCGTGGAAGGACCCGGTAAAAGCTGTACCTCCGGGTTCTTCTGTGCCAGCAGTGACTCCAAATGCTGTCTGGCGGCGGTAACCTGGGCATCGATGCTGACTGTGGTTCTCGTGCTTACCGTGGCGTTGCTGTTAGCAGGACATTCGCCCGAGTTGGGAATCATCTGCGCCCGTGGACGTCCCTTGCTGGTCGCTTTGCCGGTGGTTGGAGAGCGTTGGCGTTGGTTCTTCTACCTCGTCTCCCCTACATCGCGATGTTAAATGGCAGTGGAATAACTTCCAGTAGTTGAAAGGTCACATTTAAGCGTTAACTGTTGCAAAAATTATTCAATCCGACACGCGTGCAAACCGAATGAAATGACATCCATCACCCAACGCACATGAACAATCTTTCGCGAAATGCTATCAAAGTAAATAGGTTAACTCCCGCTGCCAGTGAAAGGGACGGAGAGGTAATAGAGGATTGGACAGGCATAACTGGCGATGGACAGGCAAGGGCGGGATCAACTGCAACGACAAAGGGCAGGCAGGCGATCCGCTGGTAAACAGGACGATTCCGCATTCCACGGAGATAGAGAGGAGGTAGTCATCAGGTCCGTGCGAAGTCCAAGCAATTGTCCATTAATGCCCTGCTTTAACGAGAAATCAGGTTGGCCGGCGTTTCTCTTACCGCGTTAAACAAAGTTAGCGCACCGGCGCAAACTTCCATTTTTATCTCCCGGTATACTACATATTTATGTATTTTTGGAATAATTGTCATTTTGTGTTAGACAAGGTTTTTGCATCGGATTTGTTTGAAATGCTAATAGTTGCTTGCGGGTTTGGTATTCAAGAGTCCAGAATTGGTTTTGAGACTTCTGCACTCTTGGTGTTTTTCGCGTATTTTAGATCGTCGAGCTGGCAGCATCTCATGACTTGTGCGTTGAAAGTGAGGACCAAGTGTTTGAGGCAGTGAAGCGTTGGTGTGAATACGACCAGAGTGGACGTCAAACGCAGCTGTCGGATGTTCTGCAGTACATCCGTGTTCCATTTCTCTCTCCCAGGCGTTTGGAAAACTATTTTTTGGTTCTTCTTAATGGCTTCATGGGCTCTAGCGCTGTGCATAGTCCACCTCAGTCTACGGTTATCCAAGAACTACCCGGCCGGAGAAGCGAAGCAATAGCATCTCGATGTCGGCCTCGAGAATCATACGGTAGGCCGAAGAACATGACAGTTTATTACAAATTTTTTGTTGCTGTATCAGAATAAACTATTATGAGTGACTTGTTTCATGAATCATGGCAAATTCATTGTATCAGGATCGCGATCATGTGAAACGACGAGTACAGATCCAATACAGATATGCAGTTATTGAAAACATGGTATCGCTGTATCACGGAAGAGATTTAATGGTTTTTTGAATTTTTGTCCTTGTGTGCTGTCTGCAGGCTTACAAAAATTGACTTGGAGTGGTTGTAATTTAATAATAAGGTTATCGTGGTGCTCGCATGTAGTTTAATAAGTGCTGTGTTTAATAAGTTCTCATGTGTGCTTTTCATCGTGATGCTTCATAATTTTTCTGCCTCTCATCCTCATCCATTTTGGTACTTCGTTTGTACTTGTATTTCGATACTTATTAGGTTAATCATCATGTTGATCGTTGCCACTAGTTTTCTTGGGTGAGTATATCGTTATTTTTAACTTAGGTTGGCCGAAAGTGGTCGTATGTGCTGGTGGCTGGGATCATGAATTGAACAGAATGGATGCAGTACAAGTTTTCAGTCCATCGATGTCGGCCGTCTGGCTCCTCGACAGATCAAAACTCCCGCAGGCCGTTGCTGGATGTAGCATGGTGGTTACGGAAAACAACTCGCTTGTCATCTGTGGCGGATTCGAAGAGAATGATGTATATATCACGAAGCGAGTCTGCCAACTGGACTTGTTTCGGAATGAGTGTACTGATCTGGCACCGATGTCAGTCAGTCGTGCTGGTGGTGGCGCCGCTACTCTTAAAGGCGGTATTTACGTTGTTGGTGGCCTAAATGCCGAAGATAATATTCTGGCAGACATGGAATGTTATGACTCGGAACAAGGCACTTGGCAGTCTGTGGCTGGCCTGCCGTTTCCTTTAATATTTTTTGCCTTGGTTGCTTCCAAGGACCGGCTGTACGTTTTTGGAGGGAACGCACAACTAGACTCAGGGCCTCTTAACTCGACCTTCTGTTACGATCCACAAGTAAATGCGTGGAGTAAACTGGCTGACATGCCAACGGCGCGACGACAGTGCAGGGCTTGTATTGGTTCGAATGGCTTGATTTACGTTATCGGTGGTAAGAAAAACAGAAGTGTTAAATTTTTCTGAGTAAGTAGTAGTTATAAAGTGGAGATCCGGAAGCCGTGTCTGGCTTTGCAGGTTGGGATTCTGACCAAACTTCGCGCTGTGTAGAGGCTTACGATCCTGTCAGCAATCAGTGGTCGAAGAAGAGTAAGTAAATTTAAGCCTGTGGTAGACGTATTGAAGGTACTCATACCGTAGACTGCTATTGAATCATGTGTACATGCGAATTCAATTTTATGCTGTAAACATGTCTTAGCCATTTTTTGGGTGCAGGCGATACAATCAACGAGCACGGCGCAGCTGGATGTGCGTATGTGGATGGCAAGATTTACGTTCTGGGTGGGTGTTCCGATACTACCGATTCAGATATCGAGGTGTACGACGAGGATGCAGATGTGTGGAGCCTACTTCCCTGCCGATTACCAGCGGCCAAAGCGGACTTCGGTTGTGCCGTTATGACTGTGAAACATGGTAAATTGCTTAACGAATGCTGTGATTTTGGTGATTGAAAGTGCACTCATTAAAGTTGGTTATCTTGATTTTTAATTAAAACTCTGTGAACAGGTGATAATCAGCTGAATTTGAACTTTACTCAACAATGAAATGGGATTGAAGAAAAGAAGTGCGGTTTGGAGCTTCCAGTGCAACGTTTTACGTGGAATTGTGTCTTTTGAGTTTGTTGTGATAAGTTTTCCAGGCTTAGGCCTTAAATAACATTTACTTTGAAGCAGCTCTAATTAACTGGAAAAGAAGGCTGTTGCCTTTTAAGTTGCGCCCCAGAGTATGCGAGGAAGAGTGGCCTCCCCGTTCACCCGTGCTCTGGCGGCTGTTATGTTGTTTTCTTGTTTTTTTGTGCTGTTTTTACCATCTACCAGATTCACAACCAGTAGATTTTTCCGTTGCTGTATTCCGTGGTCTGAGCCGTTTTCTCTGGCTTTTGCCCCGTAGAAATCTGCTGCGGTGACGTTTGAGGTGTTGTCAGTGACAGGGATTTAAAGGTATGGATTGTGCTGGCGTGTAGTCTCCGTTTCTGCTCGCCCAAAGTTGAACTAGCCTCTCTTCTCTTGTCAGAGGCGTTTTGGCTGTTTATGATTAAAATAAAGCAACACTAAAGAGGTCAAACAGGCTGGCTACGTCGGCTGGTCAGCATTATGAAAGATTTTTTGCTAACGATACCGTACTTTATTGGTAAATATCCAACTCTATACATATATGCAAATCTCTGGCTATGAATTAGTGTCGATTCAATTAAGTACACACAACTATAGGAACAGCCACAACCGATTTTACACACCGTTTTTACAGATACGTTAACTGGCAAAGAAATCAAACGAACTGCTGTGAGAATGCTAAAAACGTGATATTAATTATTGTATTACTGTCTTGGGAAGCAGCGCATTGCGCACCGCTCGCCGTGTGGAAGTATGACCTGTGCAGCGATGCGAGTTGCTAAAAATGTAGCAAACTACATAGCAATGCGATGTGAAAAAATGATAACCATATCGAGCAGTACTTTGTCACAACCGCTATAGTAGTATTTAAATGATACTTCTTAGGCGGTAGCTCTTCGATAATTAAGCGAACCAGTCGTACACCCCTCAGTTCCCAGCTTTTCCTGACGTTATCAATGCATTCGTTCCCTTGTGCTGATCATATGCCGTTAAGCAAGCACTCGCGCGACACTCGCCAGACGTTGCTACATGCCATACGGCGTACTGATAATAATGTACACGGCAGCGTCGAATTTCGGCCCATCATCCAGGAAATTTCCCTCTTTACACGCGGTGGTGGGTGTTGCTTTTCTAAGTGTTTTGCTTAGCTTGCAGCACAAGCAAGTATACAGCTTGTTATGGCAGTATAATTGGTGCATCTGTGCGTTGTAGTGATTTTCTTTGCGAATGTCACCCAAGAGTTTCTGGTAAAGATATTAGACGACGCTCTTGGGCAATAGCTAGAGTCGGTGACTGCTCTCGTTTTTTTCTTAAGGAATTACTTGCAGAACCTAAAGGACGAAAACGCGCAGAGTTAGCCAACCTTTTCGAAACTGCTTCGTAAAAACTAAAAAGGCTGGGTGTTCTAGGTTTTTTCACAACGCAAGCACCTGTGACTTTGTCGCAGTAGTCGGATACACGCCCTTCCGCGACGAAAATAAATGTACGCATCATAAAAACAGCCAGTGCGCCATGCGCCGAATCAAAACAAATTGAAATCAACCGCACAGCTGATAGTATGAAAATCTCTCAGCCGGACTTGCAACGCGCAGAAGGCACCACTGCAGTTTTCGCCAGCGAACATTTCCCTGTGTCAGCACACTGTACGACCTCCACACGATGGCTTTGGAATTATCAAACATCCCAGCGCAAACTAATACCTCACAATCAGAGAAATACGAGACCATCGATGTGCACTGTCAACACGGTCAGGTCAGGCCGCGCTCTGCCGTTGGCGTTGGTGTACATAGTGATGATACGATTCAGTGGAAGAATTCTTTTATCGCCATCCACGAATACGTTTCGGCCCAAGCAATGACCAGAGTAGAACCGTTGATTACCTCGTCGAAATCTGTTGCCGCTTTTGCGGAATGGGGCAGGTGTTAGTGTCTGATGGTCAACCTACGCAATCGAAGAAGATGAATTTCGGTTATTTAATAACGCCGGACAGGAGGTGCCGCAGTGCTTTCCATAGGCTTCTGACTTTTTTGGCTTCTGTAGTGTCTTTTTAACGAATGACACTGTCTGAAATCTCCTCCCCATTTGAAAGTTAAGCACAGCAAAGACGACGTATATTCATGTTGTGAGTTTTTGTTCACTGATACTCTTGAACAGATAGCCTGGACGCAGCAAAATCTTGTTATTATTGTATGTTTGACCAAAGTTTCGCATTTGCATTACTTTTGTCAAACAATATTAGTACACTTGTGCCAAAATTGTGATACTTTATAAATAAACGTTGCGCCAGAGAATTTGTTTACATACATGGAGTGACTGCCATGTTGTCGAAGCCACGTCTTTGACGAGTGCAGTCAAATACTGTTTGTTATAAACTCTGCACGTTCCTTAAATTTTTATGTCATTTAATTTAAATCCAGCGTTTGGGAATTCCGTAAATTCTCGCTTTGAGAATATTGTATTCAAACGAAGCAAACAAAATTATGTAATTACACGAGCGAAATATCTTCAAATCCCTACTAGTACTAGCATAATTATTTCTCGTATTAGCAATACCATAAAAGAGCTTCTCGGGTTTGCTTTGTGCTTTTAAAACAGTCGCCATGATGCGACATTATTGAAGGTGCGAGTAACTCACTCATTACTTTGGTTAATTACCACAGAGTGAATGTCAGACCGGCATTCCTTACTTGATTTCTGCTACGAAGAACGGAAGACAACATTCTATTCCAGGGATTCAGGGAATATAATCAGATCGGGTGGGGTATACTGAGTATATTATTATCTGGTGCTTGATTGATGATGCTTGCCCCCGTATGTAATAATTCACAGAATAAATTATTAATAAAAACCTGAGAATGCCGAATCGAAAGTCAGTAAGATTATTACGGTATTAAATTATCCACGAAATTAGCTTCTTTGCCGCTCCTTTTTGATTATGAGTAATCCAGTATATCCTTAATCCTTATCCTCCTTCCCTAAACACTCCGAGCACAAGCACGTTAACGTTAAATTTTTCAGGACATTGCGCAGGCAGAATGGGATGACTTGCAGAGCAAATCTTTTTCGAAACCACACATTTGCAATTTGAAACGATTTCCATAATTAATTTTTCCTATTCTAATACGCGTTCTAACTCTACAGTGGGTAGGCAGCGAAAATCGCAACGAGGCCGGGCAGACATGCAGTATCACCAAACAGGTACGTACTGCTGTACATACCATCTGTACGCGAGTAGATACTTAACTGACAACACTGGGCGCGCTGTATGGGATTTTACTCATCGTCAGTAAATTTACAAAAGGCTGCGCCTGCAAAGACAACATCTAGATAAAAATCCCTTCCAGTTAACAAGAAAAGGAACACTTTCCCAATACACTTTCATTCCGCCTTGCTCGTTAGATTAAAAATGTAAACGGGTGTTACGCCAGAGGAATAAAACTGCAATAATTTGCACAAAGGCACCCTGTCTTCGCACCGATGTGTAACCGCGTACACGTTTCATCCAGCAACTGAACTGCCTTTCTCCTTAATTTCTACATGGTTCGTGACCTACTCAATGCAATTGCCGGCACGTCTTCACGCAGCCTTTGAATGCCCCGCATGCAAGGCAACGCTCATCGGATGCCTTATTTATTTTCAAAGTAGCCTCGTCCACAATCAACTACGAGTATATTACCAGATGCAGCTGTAGACACAGAATTTCGTGATTAAACGTACGAGACTGTCAGTGATGAAGCTGTGGTTGTACAATTTAACGTACCTACTACCATATTTTGGGCATAATTCTTCCAAATTCATTTCTTCCTCGGTGCAGTGCAAATTATTTTTGCTCGCCGGAATATTGCTCAGCAAAGCAGCTATTGTTATAACGATGCCGAAAATATTCTGCCCACTGTTTGCCTTATTAACATTTTGTACTGGTGTCCGAGGTATTCTAAATGCGACTGTGATGATCCATGGAATGTGGAATTCTATCTACTTACAAAAATTACCCTTCACCGCGCCTGGTTTTGAGATGGGCGCGGCAGCGGCTAATGAAATATACGCGAACAACTTCAACATCCAGCTGGAGTTTGTATCATCCGATTTGGTTCAAACTTGTCCGGATATTTCCCCAAATTTCTATCAAATTGCGGACCGATATTATGGCGTACCGGACGAAGGATCGCGCGTCCTAGCGGTTATGTACGCAGGTATACATATATTTGGCTAAAACTAGCCGAACCATATCACACGTAATAGTGTAACAACAAACTAGGTTGGTAAATTTATACGATACGATGATTTATTAAACAGTAATGCCGGTCATTATTTATTGATCCCATGATTTCTCTTACGTGTATACATGCAGTACGTTTTCGCCTAACATTGGATTTTAACAGTTCAAAGTCATTCCAAGGTGCTGTCTTTTTGTAAAAAGCGCTGAATGAAGACGCGTTTATATTCAGGGTGTGACCCAGCCACAACAGCAGCTGAATTCGGACGAGGTGTGGTAAATCCGTCATGAGTCTCATGACCAAGCTACCCATTCCGCTCTGTACAGATACGAATACTAATAAAAACCAATTTTTTGTTTTGCAGAATGGAATGTGTTAACGATGAATATGTAAGTTTTTGCTTCCCATACGGGTCACAGTAGGTTATTCATAAACGTAATGAATGCTTCTCCTTTCATTTCGATATAGTGGCACAACATTTTCCCAGTTCCGCAACCGAACAACGTACCCAACCACGATCGCTTTCGGTTCCCTCCAGTACGAAATATACGGTGTGATGGTGGGTCAGTTGAGTATCGCGTACAGGTGGACCAGCGTCGCCGTTATTTATGATGTCTCTGGTGTGATTTTGTTCCAATTACGAGTGGGGCAGGATATCCTTCGCTACATGCGTCAGCGTTACGAACATATGGATGTACATGCATTTCCGGTTAATTTGACAACGAGCGTGGATTTCCCGTCAATGATTAGAGAAATTTCCCTGCTTACTCGCGGTAGTTTTTTTAATTATTCCCAATGCTGTGGATAGCTCTTCGGGACTAATTAATTTATGTTTATGCTTTACAGTGGTCTTTTTTGCGGTGTCTTCTAACTCTACCCAGCAGTTTTTGGTACTCAGTAGGGATAGTGAATTTTGGTAGGATCATACTGATGATAGCTAATATCGCAAATTTTGACGTTTCAGGTAGCCTTTTCGCAATCCGGTGAATTAAGGGAAGAATATGTAAGCATTATTAGTCATTAATGTTGTTAGAGTTTCTCAAATTTTTGCGTACGTGCGGCTGGACGTGGTATTCTTATTAATGGTAAGTGGTATATATATATGATTTACTTAGGTGTTCCTCTATCTGGATTATGTGGGAAGCATTAAAAGTCCGTTGTATTTCAACTACACAGATGATACTGATGTAACTGCACTGCGCTCTTCGTTTTTTTACAAGTAAAATTATGAGGAGCCTAATTATTAAAGTAGCTCTTGTGACGTGTATCAGGTCGCTTCTGCATTGTGGAAGTCAGTGTTTGTTGTCACCATCTGTTACGAGCATCCCGGTGCGATTACCGAGCTTCGACAAAGACTGTACAATCTTGCCGTGGACAAGTACAACGCAACATTCGTTGGTCCTGACGTAAGCCCCATATATGAACAGCTGTGTAATATATGTACTGTGCAGTGCGCACTGTACCGGGTGGCTGAACAAAATGGCCGTCTTCGTTTTTGGCTTGTTTCTCGCGAACCGTTAACCACATCGCTAACAGTTTAAACTCATTCGATAGAGAATTTTATTCACTATTGAAAACAACAAAATTTATTTTGAAAAATTGAGACACGCTCGTTAACAAGGGGGCCAACCAAAATCATGTAAAAATTTCTCGTGTCCCAGCTCGCAGAATTCAGAATCTTGCGGCATTTCCTTCCCGTAAGAGCTTTTTACATTTTTCCAGCTGTTTTATCTAGAAAATGGCATCGTTTTCCATTCAAAAAAAATTTGCTGACATAGTCCTTGCGCCAAATGTGCTTTACAGTTAGATTGTTTCGGTACTTTCGGTTAGAATGTTTCGGTTTCGGTTTCGAAAAAGCTGCAAGTTTTGTTACCTGATTTTTTTATACATTTTCGCTATAATTTTTTGTTGCACGACCTGGCGCATCCAAAAATGTCGGTTTAGCTGATAAGGGTAGCTAAGACATTGGCCTTGCAAAAACGGGTTTAATCTAGAAAATTTTCTCCAAGTGTTCATAAGAAATTGGTCTTCAAAATTGCTACTTGCCCATTTCACGAGAATTTCATGTGCGTGGCCTGAGCCCTCTCGTTTCCTGGCCGAACACGGTCACAAGAAAGTCATAGCTCTTAGCAGTAAAAAACCAAGGAACAACTTATCTTCCAAAAATTGTAATGTAACACACAGTAATGTACTTCTGTAAATAACAGGAATTTTTGTTCTAAAATAGAGAAACTAGAATTTTCGTTTCCGGGACATCCTTAAACTCCACCTAGTTTTCCAAAACAATTTACTATAAAATCAGACCTTGACGTAAGGTTTACCTAACATAAATTTTGTACGTCCTACAGACTGCTCTTTCGAATAAAATTAACCCATTGGCAATCAGACTATAGACTGAGCCAGGGCACCTTGGTAAATTAGACGGCCATTTTGTTCGGCCACCCGGTACATCTCCTGAATTCGACCACTTACCGTCATATTATTATATAATCGCTGAATCCTTTTTAGCCAAACGAGTACATCACAACAGCCTATACATCGGTTCTTGTTTACGCCCAAGTAAGACAATGTCTTCAACACTGCCTGGAAATACATTAAATACACGAGCGTGCTTAATAGGTCTTGAACGAGACAATCAACGCCGGATATGACCCGCGTGATGGCAGCCGTTTAGCCGCTGCCATGCTGAACCGTACCTTCACGTTTCCCGCTGTGGGAAGCGTGTATGTTGATGAAAATGGCGAACGGCAGAATATAGTCTGCCTAAAAAACTTTCAACCTCAAGTGCAACGCTTTGATGTAACGCCGAGAAAATAAAATTCATTACGTCAGTTATCCATGAATTATTTTTCAGAAAGTCCGATATTTTGATAGTGCCACAAAAACACTGCGCAATGTCTCTGATGTGGTTATTTACTGGGGGACGCAGCAGAACGTATCGCCTTCTGGCACACCTGTATGCGGTTTCACGAAGGACGGGGGACCTTGTGCAAGGCTAGGTTTGTTGATCTCGTTCTATTTTAACTGCAGTGCGAACTCATCAAATATCCAAGCTTACTCAATTGTACATTATTGTGCGCACAGGTTCGGCGACTATTGGTGGCATCGTCTGTGGAATAATTTTGATTGTTTTGATCTTGGTTTGCGTAATCCCACCATTCCGGTAAGATGCTACCGTAAGACCAAGTAAATGCTCTTTTTAAAGAGACAAAACATATTTAGCGACTAATTAACAGAATTTCGAAACCGATTCATAGATTGCTTTTTTCTTCTTACAGCCGTTTACAGAAACCAATTATCAATGAAAACTGGTGGGTAGTGGATTTGCATTACTTGAGCCGCGCAGTGGAAGTCGGCAGTAGCGAAGTAAGAGCACAAAGTTTTAAAAACAGATACCAAACCAGACATGATACGTGTAAAGAATGGCTCTGTTATCTGACTTGCATACTGGATATATATATAGTTTTAATTCAAACCAAACGAGTACATGGTTTAAGAAACAGCTAAATAAACAAGAGCTCAGTAAACATATCCGCTCTCTCTGCGGTGCCCAAAACAGAGGCGGCGTTGCCGCGTTGTATCTCAATAGACAATCGCTGCCGAAGAAATTCGTGAGAGCGGACTTCTCCTGAATGGGTCCGTAAACGCTTTCCCAGTTCTTTGATGATGGCAATGGCCGACGGTCCCCAAGGGCCCATTGTCTCAAAAGCGATGGGCGCGAAAATGTAACGACCGACCAAATAAGAGTATAAACTGGTCTTCCTTTCCTCTGCCTGAACGGCGGCCGATCCCGCGTTTGCCGATGTAGACTTGATGTGGGAAGCGGCAACCGTATCAACACACGTAACATCCCAAGCTAGACACATGCCCCTCTGCCATGCAAATGTTGTGCATCCATCTGGGCGTCTGCTACTTGTGTTAGAAGTGCCGCGAGGCTCCAGTTTTGCAGGGATTCCGGCTGATACGAATGCGCGGCATACGACACTGTTAAGAGCACCATGCCGTGGATGCCTGCCGGCGGAAAAAGAACACGAAAGACCGTGATGGGCGTAGCAGTCGACAGGCTTGTAACACTTCGCGCAGTTGTGCGGTTCGCAGATCTTAGCGCCGAGTCTGAGCCCGACGGAGATTTTCAGCGTGTCATCGTCGAGCAGGTTGCCGATATGGGCCGAAGGCAATGCATTAAGCCAAATACCGGCTTCCGGTCTCGACTGAGCGAGTAGACGCGCCTTGTTAACCTCATCGTCGCGGAATACTTCTAACAATGTAGCGAGAGACACGTTACACAACGGGAGGTCCCATGCTTTCTGTGACTTTCGGAAATCTGGTGAAGGCAGTTCTGTTAACCGGGCATTGGTTTTCCAAATTTCCAGCGCTGTAGAGACATCGACGGCCGGTCGATTAGGGAGCAGTAAAGACACCAGGTCGGCAACGGAGTGAATCGAAGCCAGAAAGGCTGGGAGTGCTAATTCCTCCGAGCGACGTAAGCCAATACCACCTCTGCTAACCGGGAGACTCGCCTGTCGCCAGCTGGGATAGTCATCGTGATTGGTTCGGACGTTGCACAACTGTTGGAAGCAGGAACGCAAGACTTCGTCGATTTTATACAATTGCTCTGAGTATTTCCAGGCATTACTACATCTCAGCATGTATACGATCTTTGGTGCCCCGAGGCAGTGGCGTAGAAGGAAAAGCGCGTGATGACGTGGGAGCAGCTGCATCCGCTCACACACCGTGGCCAACGATTGCGCTTTCTCGGCAAACAGGGGGGCGATCGCGGCGTCCAAGACAGGAGCTCCAAGCAAAGTCAGACTGGAGCTGGACATTACACGGACACCGGGGTGTTGGGCAAGAAAATTATCTACTGCTTTCTGCTGAGCTGTCTCCGACCCGCCAGAAACGTATAGTTCACACTTTGTGACGTTTATTTCCAATCCAATTCTCCGAGCACCTTCAATAACTCGAGCAAAATTCTCCTGTACACTTTCTGGGAGACCGCCAAGCGTCCCGTCGTCAAGGTACCAAGCGTTTAATACTGGATCGTGTAAACAGATCTCCGGACGTAGTCACCCGTACTCCTTCAAATCTAACTTGTTGATCAACGCACCAATGCGCTATCGTGGGATACACGTGTGGGCCAAGGTTGTACAAATCAGTAAACGCACTGTACTGCTGCAATCCAGTAACGGAATCATCAACATCCGACCCGAGTTCCGTCAGCTGATTTCAGAGGTGACCGTTTCTGTCCGAAAAACGTATTTAAAGTGCGATAATTATTTTATTTAGTATTCTGTAGATTCGCTTGCTCTCACAACAATACGCCAATATTAACCCATTAATCGGCATCGGGCTTGGACCCATCCGCTTGACGTATCTGACCGCTCTCTGTCAACGGGGAAACCTCGGTGACTTGATCGAGGAAGTGTCGCTAGACTGGGGACTGAAGTGCTCGCTGATTGCTGATCTCGTTGAAGTCTGCTTTTAAAGTTTTTCCTCTAACCGTTAATTTTTCAGCTTCATGTTCTTCTTCAGGGTGTTGCTGCGATTCATCGTACTACGATTCGTCGTCATGGCCATCTGCGTCCTTCAAAATGCCTGATCGACAGCCGCCTCGTTTTAAAGATAAACGAAGCCGGGTTCTATGATACGCTTCATGAACTGCAAGTGGAACTTATCAATCCTAAAAACTTTGAAGCAATTGGAGAGACTTTGCATAATGCCTGGGTTGCGCCAGAACTGAGAATTCAGCTTATTGAAAGCGCCACTTTTGCGCACATCGCAATGCAAGCCGAGCCGCCGGCTGATGTGTACGCTGTCGGCGGACTGATTAATTATGTTCTCTCCAATCATACCGAGACAACAGGTACGTAAATGTTCTCGATTTTAAATTTAAATGTTGCAAACACTGCTTCGATGAAAATTCGATTTGCAACAGAATTTCTTGCGTTTCATAGATGAGAAGCTTGTTGATTTTGCTTACGCCAGTAAACACGGCATTCCACCCAGCGCTGTGCCTACGCTGTCCACACTCTTATATGAATGCCGCAACGTGAAACCAGAAGATAGACCAAACATTTGGCAGGTTAAAATGCAAATTAACAAAGTCGCTGACAACGCGGGGAAATTGTTCGACCAACTGGTAAAACGATTGGAAGATTATGCGGTGCAGCTGGAAGCTGCCGTGTCCCTTCGAACATACACACTCAAGCAGGAAATGGAAAAATGTGATTCACTGCTAGGAGAGATGCTTCCAAGGCAAGTTACATGACCAGTTGGCGGTTTATTTTATCTACATAAATCTTTCAACTTATTACAGATAGTATCTTCTGGCACCAAAGCTTTGCAGAGTACAATGTTAAAAAACACACTATGCGTATTGTAAACTTCTGATTACAATGAAACAATCATCCGCAACAGATACACCCCAATCACAACAAGAAAAATTCTTCTATACTGTCCTGCTCGGGAATCGTGCCCATAACGCATATCGCATTCCCGCGCTGTATCTGTATAGACAAACGCTGCCGAAAAAACTCTTTGGCGCGTTTCTGGCCAGTGGCAGAAATTAGGCAGCTTCCAACCTTGTCCACCAGTTTCTTAGTGCCACCGCTCCACGGTCCGTGAATCTCAAACGCCGCCGCAACGAAATCGTATCGTGGCATCAGCCAGCTGTGCTTCGATAACTTTCCCCTTTCGGCTTGCTCCGCAGCGGCTCCAGCGTTCACCGAGGTGCGATCAATATAGGAGGCCGCGAGTGTGTCAACGTAGGTAACATCTACAGCCAGTGGTTTACCTCGTGCCCATGGTACTAGAGTGATGACGTCCGGCCTTTTGTTATCTTTAACCGACAGGCCCTTTGGCTCCATTCTGGCTGGAAAGCCCGCTGTCTTAAGGCCCCGGGCGATCTCACCGCTAATACCGTCGTGCCTTGGCAGTCTTCCTGCTGAGCGCTTGCAGCGAAGTCCATGCCGGCCCAACTCATCAACTTGCATGCCGCATACGCAAGCGTGAGGAGTTACAATAGGCGCTCCCAACCGTAAAGCAACGCTGATTCGGAAGGCGGTGTTGTCCAGTAGGTTTCCGAGACAGGCAGCGGGAAGTGCGTGAATCCAGATACCGGATTCGGGTACTGATACAGCTTTGAGATGCGCGACTTGGTCCAGTGATCAACGTAACTGGGTTAATTCGGAGAATGTCGCAAGCGTAGCGGGCGTGTCCCATGCTTTTTGAACGTGACGAAGAATTTCTGCTGGAAGTTCATCGGTCTCCGCTTGCAGTTTCCAGGCGTGTATAACGCAGGTTACATCCGTAGGCGGTAGCAGTGGGCACAGTCTTGAGATCAGTGGGCGTAACGAAGAAGCCGAAGCTGACCAGTGCCACATGACCAGTGCTTATTCGTTCTCCTTTGTGATTTGTGAATTATACCGATACATTGTTAATTTATTATTTAGGTATGTGCTCGTCCAACTGCGTATTGGTCACTTAGTACAACCGCAGATCTTCCCGTCGGTGACCATCCTCATGACTGGGGTCGCCGGTTTCGATGAATTTGTAATCAAGTCTCAGAACAACCCCCTGGATCTGGTGGTCTTCTTAAACACCATGTTCACAATATTCGATTGCAGTATCGCCAGATATGACTGCTACAAAGTGGAGACGATATCGGAGTCGTGCTTGGTACAATATCATTGAACCAGCGATCGCTATTTCTGTCCGCGATCCTTAAACAAATTACCTGCTACATTTTGCAGGTGGTTAGCGGTTTGCCGGTAGAAAATCACGGTGATCACGTACATATTATCGCTAGCCTGGTGCTGGAAATGCGGACCGAGTTCGAGCGAGGATTTCCGGAAGGTCTCCACCTGAAAGCAGGAATACATAGCGGTGAGGGTAATATGTAGCTGGTCTGTAGGTCGCTCCCATTTCTGAGCCGATCTAAATCACCAAGTCTCACTTGAGGATAAAATTTTTGCTTTACCTAGGTCCGTGTGCTGCTGGTGTTGTGGGCACAGCACGACCGCGTTACTGTGTGTAAGTAAATCTACCATAGCCGAGGACAAAAACTTGAGAGGACAAAGTAGCTGCTTAATATAATCTGCACTCTGTACATGACGGCAGAATTTGAACTGAGGTCCCGTTTAACTGCGCTTTTGGTTTGTTAGATTCGGTGATTCTGTAAACGTCACCTCGCGGTTGGCGTACTCCAGTAAAGCAAACAAAATCCATATAAGCAACGCTACGGAAGAGCTCCTTGGATTTGACCCGAGTTTTAAAGTCACTCGGCGTGGTATGACATACTTGAAAGTACGTCACACTTCCACAATTCTGTGCATGGAGTAGTCATGGTTTTTTTCATTCCGAAGCATATGTAACAACGCAACTTTTCAGGGCATTGGATCGGTAATGACCTTTTGGTTGGAAGGTTGATGATGTCACCATGAAGTTTTTTATATGCACGCATTCTGTGAAGTTTCTGCTGAATAATGTTATGCTCAAAATTTCGATAGATTATAATGAAGTGGCTGAAATAAAAAGGAAGAAAATCAGCTTCAAGGGAAGGCGTTGTGTGGCCTGTAAAAAACGTAAATAATCTTGTACTGCTAACAATCCTCATCTGACAGAATTGTATAATTTCTATCGAGGTGTGCAAGTAAGGCAGCTGTCGATGAAATGCGTCGCACTATCGATTTGATAATGCGTACGGTAATTCTCTTTACAATTTAAGTAAGAACTTACTTTACTGCGTCTGCATGCATCTGAATTAAAAATAAACATTGCCAGCTGACATTACGTGTTTAGACTGCGACAATGAAGTTAGTGTAAAGTGTGACCCATCGTTCGTGAGCATGATTACTTACAAACACCAAGGGCCCGGTGCGCTAAGCATCTTCGGTAGCGATTACGAATCCGATTAAGACATTTTCTCTAGAAAATTTCTTAATCGCTCGGGTTTTTGATCGGTTTATTAATCGATTTAACACCACAGGTGCGCAAAACCGATTAAAAAATCAGGCGGTACGAAAATTTCAAGGAGTCAAATAGAAAATTCGGCAACATGGACCCCCAAAAAGCACCCCGGATCAGTATCCCTAGTTAGGCTGTCAGACATCGTAACTGCTAGCGAAACAACCCCAGAATAACCGCTAACCGATTAAAACTTTTACCGATTAAGAAAATTCCGAAAATTTCTTAATCGCTTTTGCTCAACCGGTTGCGATTGAGATTTTGTGCAACCGGAAGTGTTTCGGATCATTCGGGAGGTGCGGTCGCTTGAGTCAGGATGAAAAAGCGTTAATCGGATCGGTTTCTTAATCGGTTTTGGAGCTTACAAGCTAGCACACACTGCCCCAAATATTACAAAATTCTTAGACGTGTAATAACAATGATTAATTTGTATCGCAAGACTTGCAAAAAGGGTTTTTGGAATTGACAGCTACAGACTATGTGCAGTAAAAGCTACTTTCGGCAGAAACAAGGGAACTGCTTCCGGTTGAAATTGTCGTAAGCCAACCGCCGCCGACGTGACGCTACTCGATAAAATAGGCACATGCACTTTCAACGTCAAAGTTTCAAGTTTCAAGTTTCAAAATGTACAGTAGTTGAAACTTGAAACTTTCAATTACATTTTGTGTTGTTCAACATATGGTTCAACTACATTTCGTTCTAAGTCTTCCGATAGAACTTCTAGCGAAGGTCTCGTTAGTTATCCCTCCGAAATATTTGTGGTCTGGTACTGTACGAAAAGTGTACGATCTCACCCAGGCAGGGTACTGTTCACGCATGAGTGAATAGAATACTGACTTGTGCTGCAAAAGACTGGACAGACGTTGCTAGCTGCAACAGGTGCCATTAAACGCGCAGTCGCAACCCGTCTTGCAGATTCTTGGTGTTTGTTCCCCCTGAATCGTTTCTTATTCATTATTGACCATGTCATCGGAACAAACCCAACTCAGTGCAGAATCGGCCAGCGTCCGCTCTTCTGTGGAGGGAGCTTTTACTGAACGACTTGCTGTCGGACTGCAGGAGCTGAAGAGCGGCGCAGTTCTGTGCGACGTGGTGCTGAAAGGCGCGGAAGAGTCAGACGTCGGGATTCCCTATCATCGTGTGGTGCTCAGCGCCCAGAGCAGCTACTTTCGCACCATGTTTGCATCAGACTGGAAGGAGTCTTCGCAACAAGAGATTCAGCTGCACAATATTCCCGGTAACACGCTGCGCAAGTAGGTGGAAACTGGAAAGGTTCTGTACAGTTGTAGTGTAGTGGCTACGCGCCATATTAGCGCGTAGCAACCCGCATGACTGTGTTGACCTGTAGAGGACGCATTTTATGTGGTACTACGAGTATTTCCATTATTATCATTATTACTCAGTATCTATCCGGCCAGAGTGGCACAATAAACATCTGTGCCAAGACGTGACAATTGGCGTGAAGTGTAGTATTCTCTGAACTCTGAAGCGGGAAAGGAGAAGAGGAAAGCGAGCGCTATATAATAAGAGATCGAAAATGACGACCACAACCGATCAATTGACCAAGTTCAATCCGGAAACCATGGACTGGAAGGCGTGGAAGTTTTTGTATGATAATTATACTGTGCTGACCGACCTTCATACGGACAAGCACCGTGCCTTGCTAATAAACAGTCTGGACACGAAGGCCCTGCAGCTTTTAGTTTCGATGTGCAAACCCAAGATGCCGTCCGACTTCACACTGGGTGAACTGGTCACGAAGCTGGAAACGGCCTACGCCCCGTACACAAACCAAATAACCGAGTGGGCGCTGTTCTTCAGTCTTCGGCAGGACGAAAAAGAAAGCCTGGTGGACTTCGCGACACGTTTACGTGACAAAACGATCCTATGCGACTTTCCGGCAACAGTGCTGGAGAAGAATTTAAGTGCTGTGCTCGTGGCAGGCGTCAAAAGCGACGCAACAAGACGCTACCTAATGCTGCAAGAGCTGAAGACGTTCGACGCCGCCCTCCAAATTGCTATCAAATATGAAACAAGCGTGAAAGAGGCGAGAAAAACTAATGTGGAAGAGAATGTGGTGAACTAGTGTTGCCGGAAGTGCTCCAAATTGCATGTGAAAGAATTTCGATACCAATTCCGAATAATCGGAATTCAAATTCAGGTATTTCCAATTCCGAGCAATCTAAATATTTTTTATTAGATTTCCAAATACAGTACTCGAAATTTAAAAGACCGTAATTTGAATTCCGATTACTCGGAACTCGCACTGCCACATTTTGAATTCCGAGTAATCGGAATTCAAAATGTGGCAATGCGAATTCGAATATTCGAAATTTAAACTACGGTAAAATAAAATCCAAATATTCAGAATTGAACGGGACTTTTCTGAATTTCGATTTCTTTGAAATTTATTTAACACTAACAGAATAGAGCAGAATCTTGAGATTCTTACAGTAGATGTACAAGTATTTTACTGTATACGTCTAACTGAGGGCGGTGTAAAAGGGAAACCGTTACTAGTATGTGCACACCTCGCGACCAGGTAATTATTATAGCCACATAGGCACCTTTTCACCCTGTTTATTACTTACAGGCTCAGTATAGACAAGTTTTAAGAATACATTGATATACGAGTTTTGCATTATGCGAACTGTTGAAATCCGTTATATCTGTACTATAATTTTACTGACTAAATTCACATCTAAAGTGACTCAAGTAAAGCTTAAATATCATCCCGCATTCGTTTCTGGTTGGTACCCCCGGCCGGCAGTTCTTATGAGGTCCTGGGTATATTATAAAACAAAAAATAAATTACAATTATTTCCATATACGGTTTTGCTTTTATTGCTGCACTTTTTTAGAACTATTCTTTAGTACTCGTACTATAACTTTTTTCTCCCAAATCCAGGTCTATTAAAACGAAAACTTTTCGCACGCCTGTAAAGAGCTAAGGGGCAATTAAATGGTGTGTTAGTGGTCATTTTTAGGAGGCTTATATATATAGGAGGCATGCACTTTCCATAAATTCATCAGTCAATACTTTTTGCGGACTTGGCAACCGTTAAATGAGCAAGAAGGTGTTTGTTACGACTTACGAGTAAGCAGACTAGCTAGGCAGAACATATTTGCGCGATCAGGGTTAGAGATCAGTGGCACTGGTAACTCGAACCTCGCACAAAATCTAGAATTAATGAAGTGGGTCTGTCATGAGGGACCAGTGTGTGTCATTGGGATGTACATCCTGATGTATAAATAGGAGAAGCAATGCGGATGTGGTACAGCGATAGTGCATTTGTGTTTAATGTATTTAAGTTGCTGTTGTATCAGGTAAAGGTCATAATTCAATGTAACAAGTCGTTCTTCCCTACCGCACACACCCTTCTGTGAGGAGGAGACTCGGAATTTATGAAGAACAACGGCGCCAGTTACTCCGATGCCCTGTGTTCCGGTGCTAGTGTCATCACCCAATGCCCAAATAAAAGCTGGCCAAATCATTACTGTACACGTCGGCGCTGTAGTAGCCGCACCGGCCCGCAGGCAGCCGTAGACTGCGCTAACGCTGACCGATGAGTTTTGAGCCAACAACGCTAGATGAGCATGGATCAGTTCATTTGCGACGGTGAAAGCCAGAATAATGTCAATTTAAACGGAAACCTGTTTTTTGTTGTTATTTTTGCTATAGAAAGTTTATTGTACGCCGAACTGATAAAGGTACATCAACGTTTAATGACCACGCCCTAAAATTTTCCGAGCGCTCGAAATTAAATTCTGCTGTCATTTAATTAATAAAATTATTTCGGTCATAAATACGTAATCAGTATTACTACTTCTATGTAAGGTATCGCATCAAAACTTCCAGTTCCATAGTACGTAGTTTGATGATAAATTATAATCAAAATATTAAGTAAAATTTCTTTTAACAACGGATTACTTAAAATTCATATGATATGCATTGCAATTCCGAATATTCGAAATTACAACTGCGTCCTTTTAAATTGCGATTACTCGGAGTTGGAATGCCTGCAATTGCAATTCCGATTACTCGGAATTCAAACGGTAGTGTATTTGAATTTCGAATACTCGAAATTCATTTTAGATTGGAGCACTTCCGGCAACATTAGTGGTGAACAACATTAAGAAGCGAGAAATAAGAGTGAAGAAAGAGGAGAAGAGCAGTAGAGAAAAGAGACAGGAAGAGAATGATGACGAAAGTGGAAGTGAAGAAGAGATGCCGTCCCGGCGGAAATGTAAAAGATGTGGATCCTGGCGGCATACGCCAGAAGAATGCTGGTATAAAAACACCAGATGCAATGGTTGCGGCATGAAAGGCCATATAGAGAGGGCATGCCAGCAGAAGGACAACAAGAAGAAGGAAAAGGTCAATACCGTCTACAATGTCGAGGAAGATTATTTCGACATTTTGCCATAATGTTCTGCTTTTTCACTTCATTTTAAGGGTGAAGATGTAGTGTAGTGGCTACGCGCCATATTAGCGCGTAGCAACCCGCATGGCTGTGTTGACCTGTAGAGGACGCATTTTATGTGGTACTACGAGTATTTCCATTATTATCATTATTACTCAGTATCTATCCGGCCAGAGTGGCACAATAAACATCTGTGCCAAGACGTGACAACAGTTTAACTAGCTGCAAGTTGCAACTACAGATACAGACCCACTGAAAACTGGATCTCATTCATCTCATGTATTTGTATGCGTGTAATTATGTAATGCACCTATAAATCATTAGAATCATAAGAGTCCTTTAAACTGTTGTTTTTCTTTTGTTCTTAAGTAACTACGTCTGCATTTGAGTGTGTCGCAGTATTTTCTTTATTGGTCTCACTTGTCAGGTTGGTGGATTTTGCGTACACTGGACAGATTCCTGTTGACGGCGATGATGTGCAGTCACTTCTGGCTGCGGCCATCTTTTTGGATTTCTCTCCGGTTGCTGCGCTGTGCTGGGACGTTTTGGAAAAGCACATGGATGTGTCCAGTTATCTGCAGGCTTATTTGTTGGCCAAGTTGCATAATAATCCGCGTCTGGCTGAGAAGACCAAGCGGTTGGTCCTCCATCATTTCGTGCAGATTGCGCAGAGCGCAGAATTCAAGCTTGTCAACGCAGAAACGGTAAGTACGTACTAGTTTCTGCAGGCATTATGAAATTTTCTATACTTCTGATCGTTCGAAGAATTTGATATGATAGCCCTCCTTACTTCAGATCAGTAATTATATTTGTAGCAAACGATTAGAAAAGAAAATACAATGTTAGAATGACGTTGACATTAATTACATGACGTTGACATGGTTATTTTACTAACTGTTAATTACAGTATTATTAGTGTTATTACAGTGGACTGCGAAAAGGTGTTACAAAGCGCGCAACCAAGCACTTTTCTGTACTCAAACAGGCAAATTCGTGATTGGCCATCGGCCTGCTGGTATGAACACTTGCACCTTGCTCATTTTCCAACGAAAACCATCATCCCATACCTCAAACGAAAGAGAAAAAAATTCTAAGAATTTTGATAGCAAACAAGTTGTTCTTTAGGAGATCTAAGAGAAAATCGACACACTTAAAGTTTATCGTAGACATAGCATAGGATTTGAGTCCACGGTTTGGATGCAGTTTTCACACGGAAATCGTATGCTTTGTCTACGACAAACTAAAATGGCTCGATTTTCTTTTAAATCTCATAAAGGATGACATATTTAAAATCTCATAAAGGTCCAGAAAGCATGGGACACACCTGCGACGCTACATGCCTTTTCCCGACTGGCAGCCATAAGGACCACACAGGAGGAAGTCGCCCACCTGAAAGCAGTATCAGTCCCGGAATCAGGTGTGTGGATTCATGCATTACCGGCAGCTTGTCTCGGTAATCTTCTGGAGAACAATGCCTTTCGCATAAGCGTCGCGCTGCGACTGGGAGCTCAATTGTTACTCCTCACGTGTGCGTATGTGGCGACTTGGTGGATGAACTGGGGCGGCACGGGCTCCGATGTAAACGGTCAGCAGGCAGACTGCCACGACACGACGGCATAAGCGGGAGATCGCCCGTGGATTGAAAACGGCAGGTTTTCCTGCCAGAATGGAGCCAAAGGGTCTGTCTTTGAAGGATAAGAAAAGGCCGGATGTGATTACTCTGGTACCATGGGAGCGTGGAAAACCGCTGGCCGTGGATGTAACATGCGTCGACACACTCGCCGCCTCGTATATGGACCGTACCTCTGTAAACGTCGGAGCAGCAGCTGAACAAGCGGAAAGGGCAGAAGCTGACAAAACACGCCTGGCTGCAACCTCGGTACAACCTCAAGGCAGCAGCGTTCGAAATTTACGGGCCATGGGGATGTGGTACTAAGACGTTAGTGGATAAGGTTGGAAACGGGATAGCTGCTGCAACAGGCCAGAAACGAGCGAAAGTTTTTTAGGCAGGGGCTATCTATTCAAATACAGAGAGGAAACGCAATATGTGTGATGGGTACAATTCCCGACCAGGATAGCATTGAGGAAGTGTTTTTGCTATGAATATTCTTTTTGTTTCAGTACTAAGTGTGTACTAGCGTGTGATACTTATTAAAGGTACTTATGGCATATTTAGTATCGAAATTCTTGAAATTGTTTTCTCTTTCGTTTGAGATATCGGTTGATAGTTTTCGTTGGGAAATGCGCAGGGTGCAAGTGTTCAAATTCTTGCGCGTTTTATGATTACTGGTCATTTGGTCTTGGCCATTTATTTGGCTTGGTTATTCGGTCGCGGACCGAATGTAACAGGTTTTCGCAGTCCACTGTATGATGTGTGACATTAATTAATTACATTTACATTTATATTCTGTAGTTAAATGTTCGGTATTTTAGTCGCTTTAATTTTCTGTGCGCTCTGGTTTTTGATAATATCTTTTATTGCTTGCTGTTTTTGTCAAACGAGATTTTTTATTTATCACACGAAAGTACTGGCAGTTGTTTGCACGAACTGGGGGTGTTAAGAGCTGCGATGGCTGCCCTGGTTATACATACCGTGTCTTGCCCATATTGCAGATCATTGAGTTGGCTGTATCGGATGACTTAACGCGTTGAGAGCGAGGACGAAGTGTTCGAGGCTGTGAAGCGTTGGTACGAATACGACCATACCGGACGTCAAGCGCAGCTGTGGGATGTTCTGCAGTACATCCGTGTGCCCTTTCTTTCTCCCCAGCGACTCGAAAATTATTTCTTGGCATTTTCTAACGGCCTTATCAGCTCAGCCGCCGTGGATTTTCCATACCAATCCAGCATCGATGAATTACCCGGCCGCAAAATCGAAGCGATATCACCTCGATGTCGACCTCGGAAATCATACGGTAAGCCGAAGGGTACTGTGAATTACCTTACCTTACAGTATAGTTTTGCCGCAGTATTTTTGTTAGCATCCAGCTAGATTATGGTTGCTAATTACGGCTCGAGGCATTGCGTCGTAGATAGCGCTTCAGTTGCCTCCAGGTAATCGATAGCCCAAAGCATGCATTCGGTAGGCGGTAAGTTTGCCAAAATGACTGAAAAAGCTGTTGGATTAGAATATTCTCCGAGTGCTCTACCTTGAAGTGCATTTACCGTTTGCTTTTTGGGTTGGAATTTACTTTGTCTTTAATTTCCAGGTTTGCCGAAAGTGATAGTGTGTGTTGGTGGCTGGAATCTAACCGAGGACGAATATTTGGATGCTGTGCACGTTGTCAGTCCATCGATGTCGGCTGTTTGGCATCTCAAAAGATCAAAACTTCCGCAAGCCGTTCTTGGATGTGGCTTAGCAGTTGCGGAGAACAGCAGACTTATTGTTATTGGCGGAATTGTGGACAATTCTTCACACGGTACGAAGCGAGTTTGTCAGGTGGACTTGCAACGGAATGCGTGTACGGATCTGGCACCCATGCAAGTCGGTCGTTTTTACGGTGGTGTAGCCGCGCTGAATGGCCGTGTGTACGCTGCCGGTGGCTTTAGCGACGCATCGACGATTTTGGATGCCATGGAATGTTATGAACCGGAGAAAGATGTTTGGCAGTCTGTGGCTGCTCTACCGCTTCCATTAGCTGCTTTTGTCATGGTGGTTTTCAAGGACCGGCTGTACGTGTTCGGAGGTTGTCTCCAGATGCGAGCAGAGCCTGTTAATTCCACCTTCTGTTACGATCCGGAAGCTAATGCATGGAGTAAACTGGCGGACATGCCAACTGCACGCAAGTACTGTAGCGCCTGTGTGGGTCTGAATGGCTTGGTTTACGGTATTGGTAGGTAAAAAGCGTTATCTACATGTTGATAAATAAGAATAACTTGCTTCGAACTGAACCGTGATAGCCGCTGTGCCTTATCATAGGTGGTCTAAAAGGCTTACGTTGCGTGCAGGCGTACGATCCCATCAGTGATCGGTGGTTGAAAAAAAGTAAGTACAACCGCTGAGCAGGTGTTGCAGTAAGAGGAACCCTCAGTAACTGTGCATTTTTTATTTCATTTGTTTGGTATGACGCGTGTCAGTAATTTGTGTGGGTGCAGGCAATACGATTAACCAACACTTCGGAGCTGGATGTGCGTGTGTGGATGGAAAGGTTTACGTAGTGGGTGGATGTATCAGAGCTACCGGTTCGGATATTGAGGTGTATGACGAAGATGCAGATACATGGCGCCTACTTCCCTGCCGATTACCCGCGAACCAAACGAGTTTCGGGTGTGCCGTCTTGACTGTGAAAAAGGGTAAATTATCTCCTCAAATGCCGTGATCTCGCAAAAGTAGATTGTAAACTCTTGTGCGAAAATGTTCCGGGTTGATTATCAGGATTTTAAATGGAGTTCCGTTTATTAGGTCAAAGTTTGGCTGGTCAGTTGATTCTGAGTTCTGATTAGCAATGAAACGGCTGAAGTGAGCGTGGTGAAGGACGCCTCGAGGAGCTGCTAAACGCAGTAGCATGATTTTGTTCTATTGTTTTTAATTCTTGTGATAAATCTCGGCTGAGAATAAAAGTTTTCTGCTTACTTGAAGCTGAGTTGGAAGCGGATCCGAATCATCCGATTAACTGAAATTAAAAAGCGAAATTGTGGCGCTTTATTTCATTCTTAATTTGGCAAAATAAGTTTCACATAATATCGGCAAATCTGTTGGGTTTCCAATAAATTTTTGATGCAAACGACAATCTGTTTTCATAATAATGTTTTTAATGACGTTGACGCTATCTACTGCAACCATTATGTCGGTCTACTAAGTCTACTTTGGTACTTTACTGGCAAAAAAGTCAAAGCGATTAAATAATGCTAGCGAGTCACCTGTTATTTGTGATTCCGAAAACATGTATCGCACGCCGTGCGGAAAGCCTCACTGGCGCTAATTGTTAAAAATAGTCACATGCTCGCCACATCAAGCACTGTGTCACGACCGAAAACATCGAAATAACACTTGTAAGGCGGTGTCCTTTCAATAATTAAACGTGCGTAGTCGTACTCGTACACCCGCATTTCTCAGCTGTTTCGTGACTTAATCAATGCATCAGTTTTCCTTGTGCTGATCAAGTGTCATTAAGCTAGCTCCCACATCCAGACAACCTGCCTCTCCAGCCGCTGTGTATGTGGCGAGGTATGTCATCCGATCTGAACGTCATTCCTTAAAGGCGAAAAAAACAGCGGCATACATTCTACTAGATTATGATGGTACCGCGAATATTCGCGGCAACGCTATTATTTCTGATTCTTTTAAGTGATGCTCACAGCGCTTATAATGTTAGTTTGATGATTTACGGAATGTGGAAGCCGCCGTTTTTACAAGCGTTACCATTCACGGCACCGGGATTTGAGCTGGGCGCCATCGCTGCTAACGATGTTTACGCCGGAAATCTTAATTTTCAACTGAGCTTTGTTTCCTCTAAATTGGTGCAGATTTGCACGGATATTTCAGCAAATATTAATCAGATAGCGGAGCGCTACTACAACACAACCGAAGAAGAATCGGCCGTTAAAGCTTTATTTTATCCAGGTACATATGACATTTTGCTCTACTTGTTTTGCACAAAGCATACTTGAAGTTTGGAGCTTATACCCCAACGTGAAGTAGTACCTAAATTAAATTTCAGGGTGTGATTCATCAACAGCCGTAGCTGATTTTGGGCGAGGTTAGGATTAGTGGATTTAAATGCGGCATAATCCTCTAACATAACTGACAAGATTTTGTCTTGCAGAATGGAATATTTTATCAGTTAACATGTATGCTGTGGTATTATAAGAATCGTCCCAAGATTTTTAGCTGAACTATACAAACGGTGCATAATTTACTCCTTTAAACAGTGGTGCAACGTTTTCCAATACGCGAAATCGGACCACCTACCCGACCAGCGTCGCATTCGGACCGTATCCGTACGAGATTTACGGTGTCATGGTTGGCCAGTTGAGTGCCGCTTACAAATGGCCGAGTATTGCCATTGTCTACGATGTGTCCGGCATTACGCTCTTCAACTTGCGGGTGTCTCAGGAGATTCGCCGCTATATGCGCCAGAATTACGAGCATATCGATGTGCACGCGTTTCCTGTTGACGTACGCGGCAGCGTCGAATTTCGGCCCATCATCCAGGAAATTTCCCTCTTTACACGCGGTAATGAGCGTTGCTTTTTCTAAATGTTTTGTTTAGCTTGCGTCACAAGCTAGCATAACTGGTGCATCTACTCTTTGCGTTTTAGTGATTTTCTTTGCGATGCCAGCCAATGTCACCCAAGAATTTCTGGTAAAAAAAGATATCACAAGGCGCTTTTGAGCTATGGTGCCAAATGTTGTGAATAATTTACAAGATGCCATTTATTTAGATGGTCTTTGCGGATTCCGGTGAACCGAGGGAGGAATATGTGGGTGTAATTTAAAGAGAAAACCGCGTATGCCGGTTATTTCCAGGAAGAGCACCAACTAACAACTGCGTGCTTGTTTGTTGTAATTAACCGATATATTCACATACGTATAGCAAAGTTATTTTTTAAACTGATTAGAAGAAACAACGAAACTGTAATTCACAACATATAAACTAATTTTTAACTTATATTCTTGATTTTATTTACATGTTTCTACCACTCTAGGTGCACATCTACTTGGATTTTGTGGGAAGCGTTAAAAGCCCACTAAACCTGGACTACAACGCTTCCAGTGACGTAATGACGCGTTTCTTTAATCCGGCACATTTTGCTCACTTTTTCTTCTGTAGGTGGCTGCCTCGTTATGGAAATCGGTATTTGTTGTGGCCATCTGCTTTGATCATGATGATGTAAAAATGGTCGCATTACGAAAGGAATTTTACCGAACCGCCATCGACAAATACAACGCCACTTTCCGTGGTCCCAACGGTGTTGTAAGCGCTCACGGTGCACTTCCCGTTTTTGCACAGGTAAACCCGCAAACCACAGTTCTATTTTTTTTAGGCAAACGAGTTTATTACAACAGCCTATACATCTATTCTGCTCTACGCACAAGTAAGAAATATCGATTTTCCACAATAATTATTAAATCCGGCAATCACTTGTACACGAGCGTGCTTAATAGGTCTTAAATGAGACAATCAACGCCGGATATGACCCGCGTGATGGCAGCCGGTTAGCCGCTGCCATGCTGAACCGTACCTTTACATTTCCCGCTGTGGGAAGCGTGTATATCGATGAAAATGGTGAACGACAGAACACGATCTGCTTATACAACTTTCAGCCTGAACTGCAACGTTTTGAAGTAAGAATGAACTTATCGCCTCAAAAAAGCGCAATTTAATTAATGGTAGTGTCCATGAATTTTCTGTCAGAGAGTGAGGTATTTCGACAGTGCAACACGGACACTGCGTAATGCTTCTGATGCTGCTGTTTACTGGGGAACACCACACAATATACCGCCGCTTAGCGAGCCTGTGTGCGGTTTCACGAAGGACCGGGGACCCTGTTCGAAACTGGGTTCGTTATAGCTCACAATTGTCAGCAAATGTATTTAATAAAATAATTCGGCTTTTTTTCCTTGCAAAAAAACATTGCGCCTTTTCGAAATCGGTGTGCAGTCGCAGCTTCTGTTTCTAGTGTAAATATAGGCTGCAAAATTGAGTGCAAATGCTGACGACTAGCGCAAAAAGTGAAGTACTTTCGACAAATATGGCTGAGCTTTCGGCAAATATTTCATTCATCGCGCGGAGCAAATACGGTGTGAATACGTATTCTCCTGCAATTTAATTTTCTTGTGGTTTTTTTTATTTCGATACAGGATCTTCGACCCTTGGAGGGATAATTTCCGGGATAGTACTGGTGGTTCTGGTTTTATCTTGTACGGTCCCGCCTTTTTTGTAAGACTCAACTGTGTATTAATCGAAATATACGTGATCTGATTTTAGTATCATATACCAGCCACTATATTTCGGCGTGGTATACTTTGGCAAAAGAAAAATTCTTCCTCCTTTATCTCCAGTTTACTCTTTTAGACGGATGCAGAAACCAGCAGTGGATGAAAACTGGTGGGTTGTGGATATGCATCATTTGAGCCGCGCTGTCGAAGTTGGTAGCAGCGAGGTACAGTACCTACACTACGGTTTTCACAAGCATCGAAGCTTTAATCTGCCACAATATTTTGGCAGATTTCTGGACGCAGTCACCCTTTCTCTTTCAAATCCAACCTGCTTATCAACGCACCTATGCGTTACCACGGGATGCACGTGTGGGCAAAGGTCGTGCAAATCAGCAAGCGTGCCGTTCAGTTGCAGTCCAGCAACGGAATTATTAACATTCGACCGGAATTCCGCCAGCTTATGACAGAGGCATGAAATAGCTATCCTGCTTTTATTTCGTTGACAGAATGCAGGTGCATATTTGCATATTTCTAGATTCGGGCGTTATCGAGGCGATGTGCCAACATCAACCCGCTCATCGGTATCGGACTCGGGCCGATCCGCTTAACCTACCTAACTGCGCTCTGCCAACGAGGAAATCTTGGTAACCTCATCGAAGAAGTGTCGCTCGACTGGGGACTGAAGTGTTCGCTCATTGCCGACCTCGTTGAAGTACGTTGAAAAGTCATACCTGTTTTGTCTGTACGATAACTCAAAAGATTTTGTTTTAGGGTGTAGCTGCCATTCATCGTACAACGATTCGCCGTCATGGTCATTTACGCCCCTCCAAATGTCTCATCGATAGTCGACTGGTGCTGAAGATTAATGAAGCCGGTTTCTACGATACCCTTCACGAACTACAGGTGGAACTGATCAACCCGAAAAACTTCGAAGCCATTGGTGAAACACTGCATAATGCATGGGTTGCGCCTGAATTGAGGATCGAGCTCATCGAAAGCGCCACGTTCGCCCATATCGCCATGCAAGCCGAGCCACCGGCTGACGTGTACGCTGTTGGAGGATTGATTAACTATTTACTGCAAGATCACACCAGCAGTAAAGGTATTTTGGTATAAAAGAGTTCATGTGGCGATAGCATCAAATTCTTTTTTACAATGTCGAAAATTTTGACTGCTGATATAACAGCGCCCTGCAATCGCGGCGCCAGTATTTGTAATTTCGTATCATTTAATTTATCATTACGTATATGTATACTCGTGCCAATGCGAAATGTTTTTCGTCATAGATGAGAAGGTGGTGGACTTTGCTTTCGCTAGTAACCACGGGATTCCGCCCAACGCAGTACCTTTGTTATCCACCCTCTTGTATGAATGCCGCAACGTTAATCCGGCCGATAGGCCAAACATCTGGCAGGTGAAAATGGAGATACACAAAGTGGCCGACAATGCGGGAAAACTTTTTGATCAACTGGTCAAACGATTGGAAGATTACGCTGTGCAGCTGGAGAATGCCGTGTCCCTCCGCACCTATACGCTCAAACAGGAAATGGAGAAATGTGATTCGCTGTTAGGCGAGATGCTTCCGAGGTATTACGCTGCGCCGGAATTAATTTACTGCACCGACGCATCTTTTATACGTAGCAATAGTTTCATTATTATGATAATTCTCTACAGTAGGTGTTGTGTTTTTTTTTCGCATCTTTATTAATAATCGCATAAGTTCTGGTAATAAAGAAAGAAATACGCTATCTTATTGTATTTGTAGTCCGTATTTTACGGACGCCTTGATAAATATTTCTTTCTTGTAAAAGTGGCTGTGTATAAACAAATTTCATGTTTAGGTACGTCTTGGTACAGCTCAGAATAGGTCATCTGGTGCAACCGCAGATCTTCCACTCCGTAACTATCCTTATGACTGGTGTTGCCGGCTTCGAAGAATTTGTCATAAAATCCCAAAACAGCCCTCTGGAATTAGTGGTTTTCTTGAATAACATGTTCACGGTCTTCGATTGCATCATTGCCAAATATGACTGCTACAAAGTGGAGACCATATTAGAGACTTGTTTGGTATCCCGCAAAATTTCTCATATTTGTTTAACTTTCAAAATGAGCGTCGTAACTGTGAAATTACTTTTGTGCAGGTGGTCAGCGGTTTGCCGGTGGAAAATCATGGCGATCACGTTAACGTGATAGCTAGTTTGGTGCTGGAAATGCGAACAGAGTTCAAACAAGGATTTCCGGATGGGCTTCACTTGAAAGCAGGAGTTCACAGTGGTTAGCCGGACAAATTTTAATATTTTTTTAATAGAACGTTTCAGCATTCATACCCAAGACTTTTGAAAAAATATTATTATAGTATATTGAAGTGCGCTGACGATAATTATTTACTGTCTGTATCGTTTTTAGGCCCGTGTGCAGCCGGTGTTGTTGGAACCGCCCGACCACGCTACTGCGTGTAAGTAACGGGTAAATTACAAAACACATGCTTAGTCTGATTGATAATGTGTGGTTTAATTAAACTCCAAGATTCGGCGATTCCGTAAATGTCACTTCAAGATTGGCCTGTACCAGCAAAGCCAACAAAATCCATATTAGTAACGCCACAGAAGAGCTGCTGGGATTCGACCCCAGCTTCAAGGTCAGTCGGCGTGGGATGACTTACCTGAAGGTAACCAAAACTTTATATATTACAACGGAAGCCTGACGGTGAGCTCCCGTTTACTGTGGGTTGGCTACACGCCGCGCCACGCCGCTAAACAGACCGATGTTGGTGGTCTAATTGTTTGCAATTAGGAACCAACAATTAGCTTATGAACAGGAAATGGTCTTACTGTTTTCCTGGAAGAATGCTGCGTAATTAGGTGGAAGAACGAGAGGTTATTTCGACCGAACGAACGACAGAATGTCCATGGACAAGTTTTATTCAAATTTAGGAAGTTACTCAATTACCGACTGATCAGCGTCCAATTTCCCATTTCACATCACACCGTTAAACACCGTAAACACACTAGCCAGCTGTGACTCATCATTCCGTACAGACTGACCAATCAAATAAAGTTTTAATTATTTGAACTTAACTACAGTCGCTATAATATCTGCTGAAAATATACACGACAACATTGCGCTTAATATGTAGGGTATCGGATCGATGATGACCTTTTGGCTCGACGGCTGAATAAAGTCGTGTGTGCAGCAGAATTGTTGGATATTCTTGGATCAAATCAAGAAGGCAGCTTGCATGCATTAATTTTACAAACCTCGTCACAGAAATTGCTGATTAAAACTGAATTATCAATTATTTTTCGGAAAAGGCCACACGTAACATGTACGAAATGGCCCATCTAGATCTACCGATGATCTAGATCTGCGTAGTTTGTTGCAAAATATTAAAATGCAATTCGAATAATAGTTTGTTTGCATATTCACAGAAAGTAGAGCTCTAGCACCGAATAGAGCTGAAAAAGAATTTCTCGTCCCAAGGGTAATGACCACTGACAGCAATGCACGCTGCACGTGTTGCAAGCGTGCGTTCCGCAATCCGTGTTAAAATCCAATTCTCCGGTACCGAACAGTTACTTTTGCCAGCTGTTTGATGTTTCTTGGTGTTACAGATACTGAGCTATGTATCGCCAGGGTTTACTGTAATAAATTATTAGCCGGCAAACCAGACGTAATTAGAGATATACGAGTAATACAACTAATACGAGTATCTTTCGAATGACCTCAGTGCTTTTTCTTAATCAGCTTACCTGTCTAGAATGAGCACAAGCATGCCATGTATGGGCCAGATTAATTAAACAGCAAGGAAACCACGGACGGCACTGCAGTTACTATTTGATGGGATAGGTTGCGTCAGCCACTGTCTCCGTATACTGCTCCGATTAGGTGTTAACATTTCAAGTTTCTGTAAGTTTCCAGTAAGCGTGGATGTGGCAAGCGGTAGCGCTCGATATCCACACCCAACTCACAGTAATTACTCAACTGGATTTTGACGAATCATGAAGAAGGATTTGATTTTAAGTATATCACAAAAATTTTAATTACGATATTGCTACGCCCAGCATCGTGCACGCTCTTCCGTTGCCTTTATCCGCAAAGTTTGCGATGTGCAGCAGAGCATCTGTTCAGTTAACGTTTCCTGAAGTACAAGCTGATCGTTTGAAGTTTCTTACTCCTTCTGAAAACATTTTAATCCACCTAACTTTCCACTATTAAATTTCGGAATGGTTATTAACAGGTTATCTTGTGCCATACCGCTGTTTTTTCTCTTTAATTTTGTTACATTATTCGACGACGGTGTAAGTGCGTTGAATGTGACTGTTGTGGTTTATGGAATGTGGATGCCGCCGCTGCTACAGTCTCTCATCTATACAGCTGCCGGCTTTGACCTGGGCTGGCGCGATACGGTGAAAATGTTGGGAGAAAGTAATGTGTCCCTTACAATTGATTACACCGCATCAAAGGACATTATGCAGTGTCCCGATATCTCCGCTAATTACTATCGTGTCGCGGAGCAGTATTATCATGCGCAGGAGGATCCTAGTCGTGCGCTCGGAATATTTTATCCAGGTCAGATTTGTCTAATCAGCAGATGACCTGGTCACGCGTTATTACTGAAAGGCTTGATTTGTGCTGTAGTCATGCAAGAAATTGTCCTGCTTAGATTTATAGCTTGATACGGTTGCACAGATACATTAATAAACGGGGCTGCATTAACATTAAAATAATGATAATAATGACTTCTGCTTGGATTTGTAGCTTAATACAGTATCTCTGTGTGACTTACACAGACACATTAACGAACATCTTGTATTACCATTCAAAAAATGATCGTTTAATTACAGGATGCGATGCAGATACGACGCTGGCTGATTTTGGGAGAGGTGCACAAATTCAAGTTTATACTTATAATAATGATTTTTTGATCGTTGATAACTGACGTCATGTTCTTACTTCAAACAGAATGGAACGTTTTCACGCTTTCCAGGTAACGAAAGTTGTTTAGCACTTCGGTAGACGCAAATCTCGACCATCGGGATTTTTGCAGCAACGCATTGGTGCTAATTTAATTCTATAAAACTGAGGAATATCAAAATTAATTATAAAACAACTATACAGAGTGTATTGTAAGCGCAAAATTGGTTTGTGCGATTTTTAGTTCGTGCAACATTAGAGGGGTTTTTAAGCCCACCTGATTACCTACATGAGTAGGTGTTGTGTACTTGTACCGCATAAGCCAAATCATGTTTGTTATGGAAATACCCGCAACTTTGCGTACAGTCGGCGTGCTAATTGGTCGCTGTTTCAGTGGAACCACGTTTTCCAATTTACGAAACCGCTCCATTTATCCTACAACAATCGCCATGGGGCCGATGCAATATGAGCTGTATGGCCTGGTCGCTGGCCGTTTCCTGCAGGCTCACAACTGGACGAGCGCGGCGCTGATTTTCGATATTTCCGGCTTGACGGTGTATAATCTCCGTGTAGCAGAGGCGATCATTCAATACTTCCGCCGGTATTACGAATACATGGAGATGCACGCATTCCCAGTTAATATTAGCGCTGTGACGGATTTTCCCAGGATTATCAGAGAGCTATCTACGTTCACGAGAGGTAAGTAGCTAACCACATTAGGTTTCATAATTATTTTGATGCAGCTTCGAGTGGTTGTTGATAAGGAACTCGGTTAGCATTAATATACTGCGAATGTCAGCTAATTATATTTTGCAGTTATATTCCTATCGATGCCGCCGGAATCAGCGTCATTATTTTTGGTTAGTATCATATGTACACCACACTGATCACGAGCTTGCATTAATGGAAAAAATACGTTTCACAGAACGAATTTGCGACTTCCGGAGAGTCAGCTGAAGAATACGTAGGTGTCACGCAATCACATCAAACCTCCATGTGAGACACTGAGAACTATAATTAAACATCAAATTGAACTATAAGGTGCGGGTGTACATTGATATACCAGGAAGTTCGACCAGTCCATTGGGAAGATCGTATATAAACGATACGGTAGGTCAGTGGCTTTAAACAAAAGCGCAAAACAAACCTTTTTGAATTACCATGGCAAACTAAGAGCTTTTTTTCATAATGTGCCGTTTTGACTGGTAGAAATCAGTCTTCTTGCAACCTCCCGTCTTGTTCTTGACCATATGCTACGATCACGAAGAGCGTGATGTCGCCGAACTGAAAAAAGAAATGCAAGATTTGGCAAGGCGAAAGTATAATGCAACCTTTCGTCCTGGAACCGGGGTACGTACTGTACAAAATATTTAATATCAACCCCGCGTTAAGCTGCTTCTTCTATTTCAGCCAAGTGAATTAGTTATGACCGCCTATACGTCAATCCTTCTGTACGGCAAAGTACGGCACAAGCGGTTTTTGTAGAAGGCATGAACTTTTGTATATTAAAAGCGAGTTTGCATTTCCTAGGCAATTCAGGAAACTCTGTTAGGTGGACAAGATCCGCGAAACGGGACAGCAGTTGCTCAAGTAATGCAGAACCGCACTTTTGCGTTTCCATCGGTTGGCAGGGTCTACATTGACGAGCAAGGAGAACGGCAGAATATCCTGTGCTTCTTCTCGTTCCAAAACGATTCCCGCACATTTGAGGTTGCAACCCAATAAGTCTAATCAAGGGAAACAACCAATGATTTTGTTATGTTTTCCGTCTAGAAAGTGTGGTACTTTGACGGTGCAAGAAAGAAACTGCGGAAAACAAATTTTTCCATTAACTGGGGCACACCCACAAATGCCGCGCCACCGAATAAGCCGGTTTGTGGATACCATAAAGAACTGCCGCCATGTCGCAGAGGTGAGTCACTTATTTTTACTAATTGGAAGACCAACAACTACATTGTTCGTACTCGTGAAATTTTGTAGGGTGGTCAACAGCAGCAGCGGTCGGACTTGCTATCGGGATCATCATAGCCGTACTGGGAATTTCGGTCTGCGTATTTCGGTGCGTTTCACTAGCGAATATCAATCGAAATAAATAATCGCACTATCGGTCGGCAGAAAGAAATTAATGCACGCGGGCCACAACATTTTAATAGGCACGTGCAAAAGACACCTACCGATGACGAATGGTGGATACTGAAAACGGACTGCATTAACAATGCAAAAATTGCAGCAAGTACGAAGTGTCCGGTGTCCGAGACTGGAAACTTATTATTGTATAAAGGAGCACCGGTATGGAGTCGAACCGTATTGGTTTTATCGAAGGCGAAATTGCCACATGTTTCTACTGGTGATATCCACATAACAACTGCGTTCAGAAAAACCATGGCTGAGGTACAAAATTAAAATATTTCATTTTTTCAACAATCTACAGCAAATACGGATTGATTTACTTATCGGAATTCAAATGACAACAGGTTCGGCTTTTAATGGAACGCTGCCGAAATATTAACCCTCTTATCGGTTTGGATTTGGACATGTACCGCATAACGTACATGTACGCTTTCTGTCCGCGTGGAAGTCTGATTGACGTCGCTCAGGAAATGCACCTAGAGTGGGCCTTGAAAAGTTCCCTCATCTCGGATCTTGTCGAGGTACAAGGCGGCCATGTTTATCGCGTAAGGTTATGGAAACCTGAAAACCGGTGCAATTTTAGGCTGTTACAGCCATCCATCGATCACCGCTTCGTAGTCACGGTTATTTGCGACCTTCGAAATGTCTCATCGATCGATACTTTGTACTAAAGATCGGAGATACCGGATTGTACAGAAGCTTAGTGGATTTGAAACTGGATACACTTGACGATGATAAAAAAGATATCGTGACCTTTGTTGCACCGGAACTGCGAGGCAAAAACCACGAAACCCTTACGCAACGCCACCCATCGGTTGATGTGTTTAGCGTAGGGGAGTTAATCAGCTACATTCTCCATGACCACGACAAAGGTCTGCAGCACGGTTTCTAAAGCTTGCATATAAAAACATAACAACAAAATTTTGTAGAAGAACTGTCCACGTTTGCCGATGATGACCATGACTATTTGGATACTTCAATTAAAACACGGATAGTGTTGGATAATATCGTCCAGCAGTGTCAGAGTGACAATTCTTCACTTCGACCGTCAATTTACGAAATTAGGAAAGAGTTGTCTAAAGTTATAAGCCAATCGGGACGTCTCGTTGATCAAATGGTGGCGCGGCTCGAAGACTACGCGACTCATTTGGAGAATGCCGTTACACTGCGCACGCAAACTCTAAAAATGGAAATCGATCGATGCGATGCACTCTTAGGCGAAATGCTACCACGGTATCACAATAATTGCTTGTAATGAAGATTAGCTTCCACAATTTCTACAAATATATTATTTTTTTTAGGTATATCATTGTACAGTTGCGGATCGGGCACACCGTGCACGCCCAAGAATTTCCCTCTGTGACACTGTTGTTTGCCAGTGTGTCAGGATTTGACGATTTCGTTATTCATTGCCAAGATAAGCCCCTTGAGATTGTTGACCTTTTAGGGTTTACTTTTTCCACTTTCGATCGCATTATGGCTAAATACGATTGTTATAAAGTGGAAACGATCACAGACAACTGTTTGGTAAGGACGTGGATCATTCAGATCTGCCTTTAAAGAACTGATGTTCTATCGTTCGTTAAATATCGGTAGGTTGTCAGCGGCCTGCCCATGCCAAACGGCGACGAACATGTGCACATTATTGGAAAGCTGGCTCTTGGTTTGCGTAGTGCCTTTATCTCACAGATATCCGCAAAACAGTTAAATATTCAATGCGGAATCCATACCGGTACGCACAATATCTATTATAGATTAGCTGTTTACTTTGATGCTAATTTTAAGCAAACTACAAAAACCTTTTTTGGAGTTAAAATTTAAACTACGAGAGATTTAATTATCCCTTGGCTTTAGGATCCTGCGCTGCCGGCATTGTTGGAACAGCGCGACCTCGATACTGCGTGTAAGAAAAGACTTTTGCAGTAGAACAGTCAAAGAATTCGACAGAATTTTATTGCGCAGCTTTGGAGATTCCGTTAACTGGGCATCCCGATTGGTTACTTCAAGCCAACCGGGACGAATTCATGTTAGCACAGCAACTGTGAGTCTCTTGGGAAGGAGCAATATATTTCGCGTTTATGAGCGGGGTGTGACAAAACTGAAGGTACTCCGGAGACGGATCTGGATGCGTATGATGACAGTTCATGGTGGTTGTTTTGGTGCAGGGCTTGGGAGAGGTCACCACATTCTGGTTGGAGGGATGATGTCATACTCCGCTTGTAAATCATGTTGCATGGGAAGTGAAATCATTTCGAATAAATAGGTAATCGTGGAACGTAAAAATTAGCATTAATTTGATTCGCATTGTGATATGGACATGCACAGAACTCTCGGCTGTGTTACGCAAACGTTAACAGTCTACAAAGTTTCTTTACACTTGAGCGCTGAATACTTCAACTATGAAGTTACAAAACTGGAGCCGTACGATCTTGTTGTGAGCCTTCGTTCGCGCTGTGTTTTGAACCGCAAGCACGAGCACACAACGGACAAACCAAAACAGTTATACGTCAGGCAAAAACAAAAAAAGTTATACGTACAGTACTGTAATTAGTGTCATTTATTCATGTCCAACATTATATATTGAAAACCTTAAGAAAATATCACTTATTACTCAGCCGTTTATTCAGCCATTTACTCAGCCATTACTCATTTATTAACTAATGTCACGTACAAGCAAACAATCGTACAACATCGACCAACTGCACAGTGTAACGAACCAAAAACAGCTGGCAATTTCAAACATAAGCTGCCAGAATTAACAACTATACCATCATATCTCTTTTTTTTACTCTAGGACTTCAAGTAAATGCGTGCTAAATCTTAAAACGGAAGTATTAAAACTCTCGATAGACGCTACGGAAAACAGTATGTCCACCACAGCTACTCGAGGCGTCCTTCTTTCCCCGTCCATCGTTAACGAGAATTCAGGCTCAGCTGGCCAGTTAGACACTGACCTATTTCATGAAACCTAATTAATAATCAGATAACCAGCTGCACACATCTCTCTCGCCCAAGTACAGTTCTCTCGTACTTCTTGTGGAGTGTGGGCTTTTGAATATTACCGATATCTTAGAAGGGCGGACGCCTGCGACAGGAGAACACTGCTGATTCTATAAATGAAATTTAAATATGAATTTCTGAATTTACTGAAGATACTGAAGAAATAAAAATCTGCCGATGACGGGACTCGAACCCGTGCCAGCTGCGTCTGTAGCCGTCCGTCTTACCACTGATCTACACCGGCTGCATTATCAAATCTTCTTAAGATTTTAGCGCACTGTGCGACTGCCTATCAGATATACATATTACCGTTTGGGCATTTGTAGTATTTATTATAGTATGAACTTTTCAATTTACCCTTTTTTAAAGTCATCACCGCACAACCGAAACCCACTATAGCCTTTGGCAATCGGCAGGGAAGAAGACTCCAGGTATTCGTTTCTTCGTCGTATACCTCGATATCGCGATCAGTAGGTCCCGAACATCCACCCAGAACGTAGACCTTGCCATCCACACACCCACATCCTGCTGCCCAACGCGCTTTAATCATGTCGCCTGCATCCACATACTGATTACCACGTATTCGTACCAAAAGAGAAAAAATCTGAAGTTCGAAAATATGTAAGCATGCATGTTGTTCCACCACAACAGCAACAACACCAGTGATCCAGTTAACTATAAACTCACTCTTTTTCGACCAACAATTACTGGATGGATCATACGCCTCTACGTAATGCAAATCACCATCGGAACCTCGGCCACCTATAACGATGCATGGAGTTCGGAGTTAGTGCTGCCTATATGTAAAGTTGTATAAATATATTATTTAGTGAGATAGTGAGATTCGCCCGTAGTGAGATCGGGATGGGGAGATCGGGATGGGGAGTGAGCAAAATAGCTGCGCCCGTTCATTTCACAGCCTGCACCCGTTGCGCCCCCCCCCCTCTTCGGACTTCACCACGACCCTGAACCCGTTCGACAACAAGTCAAAGTCTACTGGGTGTCTAATTCCAAAACTTACAAACATTCCACACAAATTCAACACGGCACCGCGCATGCGACACGGGCGCACTGGTAGTGGCGACCGCTGAGCCTTTAAAAAACCCCATGGATTTGGCTCCCGCGCGCCTGTTTCGGGCGCAGAATAAATTCAGACGTTAGCCGAGGAGGGAAGTGCGTGCGTCCGTGCGCACACCCCGTCACTACGGCCCTAAATATATACGGAAGAAACGTATCTTTCATACCAATAACGTAAATCACGTTATTCGGACCAACACAGGCGCTACAGAAGCGTCGTGCAGTTGGCATATCAGCGAGTTTACTCCAAGCATCCGCGCCCGGATCGTAACAAAAGGTTGAGTTAACAGGCTCTGCTCCCATCTGGACGACTCCTCCAAACACGTACAGCCGGTCCTTGGTAGCCACCATGGCAAAAGCAGCTAATGGATGCGGTAGAGCAACCACAGATCGCCAAACATCTTTCTCTGGATCATAACATTCCACGGCATCCAAAACCGTCGCTGCGCCGCTACAGCCACCCACAGCGTAAATGCGACCGTTAAGAGCGGCTACACCAACATAAATACGACCAAGGTGCATGCGGGCCAGATCCGTACATTCGTTCCGAAACAAGTCCAATTGGCGAACTCGATGCGTACCATGTGAACCATTTTCTACTACTCCGCCACAAACGATAATTTCGTTGTTCTCCGTCATCGCCATGCCACAGCCGACAACTGCCTGTGGAAATTTTGGAGCATCGAAATTCCATACAGCCGACAACGACGGGCTGAAAACGTGCACTGTATCCATTCTGCCGTCGTCTTCATTCCAGCCACCAACACACACAACCACTTTCGGCAAACCTTGCAAATTAAAAAGAAAGATCTACCAGCCCGAAGAGCAAAGTATAACCCGAAGGTTAGCCGGGCTCTACGGAAGAACCCGGAAAGTTTACCTGGACAGAACAAAAAAGTTTTACAGAAAATTTGGGCTTACCGTGTGATTTTCGAGGCCGACATCGAGATAATATCGCGTCGTTCTTCCGACCGGGCAGTTCTTCGACAGCCGTGGACTGCGAGGGGTAACCTCCAGCGGCAGAGCTAAGAAGGCCATTGAAAAGAGCCAGAAAATAGCTTTCCAGACGCTTGGGAGAAAGAAATGGCACACGGATGTACTGCAGAACATCCGACAGCTGCGCTTGACGCCCAGTCTGGTCGTATTCGTACCAACGCTTCACAGCCTCAAACACTTCGTCCTCGCTTTCAGCGCACAAGTCATCAGATGCAGCCAGCTCAACGATCTGAAACACGCAGAAGAACTACAAAAGGACCGGGAAAAACTGAAAGAAATTTTGTAGTTACAAAGTTATTTTTGTTTTGCTTATACCCTACTGGATTGGTAATGCAATAAATAAATTACAGAAAAAACAAAAGAGCACAGCCGTACGCGGAAACAAAGCGCCAGGGCCGCCAGCAAATAAAAGACTAAAAACAATTGTCAGAAATCAGATAATGTCACCAATCGTTATGACACTGTCACACTGGCATTATTGTACTAATTATATTCTTAATGCCCGAAGAAGTCTGTACCGTTTCTGCATCGACAAGCGAGAATTCACTGCTCTGAGCAATCTGCACGAAATGACGCACGACCAACTTTTTGGCCTTCTCGGCCAATCGCGGATTATTATGCATCTTGGCCAACGAATAGACCTGCAGATAACTGGATACATCCATGTGCTTCTCTAAGAAATCCCAGCACAGCGTGACTACTGGAGAGAAGTCCAAAAATATCGCTGCAGCAAGGAGTGACTGCACGTCGTCGTTGCCGATAACGATTTGCAGAGTGTACACAAAATCCACCAACCTGTAGTCACGCAACGAAAACAAATGTCAGAACTTAACATTCAAACTTAACTTACTTTTATTCAAATTAATCAAATATCAAATTTCTATCAAAAGTAAAGACTTAAAGGAATGTCACGTGCCAATCCGGGTATTAAATGTGCGAAAAAAATAAGTCAGTACGAAACGGATCTCCAAAGAGAAGTGCGAAAAAAATAAGTCAGTACGAAACGGATCTCCAAAGAGAAATCCTAAGACCATTACTGATTACATTACAGAAACGCTAGTACCCTTACTTCTGCAGCGTGTTACAGAAAATATTGCGCAGCTGGATCACTTTTTCAGAAGACTCCTTCCAGTCCGATGCAAACATGGTGCGAAAGTAGCTGCTTTGGGCGCTGAGCACCAGACGATGACAGGGAATCCCGACGGCTGATTCTTCCGCGCCTTTCAGCACCACGTCGCACAGCACTCCACTGCTCTTCATCTCCTGCAGTCCGATAACGAGTCGTTCCGTCATGGCGCCCGCCACAGAGGAGCGGACACCGGCCGGCGCCGCGCTGGCCTGAATTTGTTCAGATGACATGATCCTAATGAGGATGTGTGGTAAGCAAAGAGTGCTGAATGATCACTAAGGAACTGGCACATCTGACGAGAACTTTGCTGGCACCTGTTGCACTAGCACTGTGTCTGTCCACGGACTTCAACAGACACAAGTCGCTATTCTTCACTGGACAGTACCAACCAGTATCCCTCCTTGAATACGATACTCGTGCATTTTCAATAACAAAGCACAATTACTTTGCAAAGGTACAGGAGAGTGCATTCATTAAAAGTACGGTATGTATCGCAAATCGTAAAACCTGGAACCATCAAAATGAAACAGCTGTGGCAGCTCGACAAAGTGCCTGGGCCTAGTTGATTGTAGCGTCACCCTGCCGGCGGTTGGCTTTGCGACGTTTTCAAGTTTCAACCGGAACTGGAAGTGGTGTTACCGCGGTTGTTGTTAAGTATTTCTGCCAGGATAAGGTCTTAAGTAATTCTTTGAATATTTTGTTAACTCACCTTCTTACAGTTTTGTTTTCGAAACGCAATAAACTGTGTTACTATGAAGACCGTTCTTACGCTGAATCAGAGATCAAGATTTAAAAAGAATTTTTGAAAAAGATATCGGAACTCTAATTCGGTGGAAGAACGGTCTCTAAGTTTACTGTGCTTCCATGTAAAATTTGAAGAAGATCGGTCTCTAATGAGATTTCTGTACACGTAAATGCGTTTGAACTTTTTGGAATTTTCTTACACCCATAGCTGCCAACCGGATATTGTACGAACAAATACTCGTAGTTAGACTAAGTTCTCACGCTTATGTATATAAATCTTTTGGCTACTTAATGTCATAAAAACAATGCAAAAAGGGGTTTGGGAACTGGGATTACTCGACAGCGAAGGTCTTCGTGCCTTTCACAAATTTGGTACCAGGTCACTTCCCTGAAATGATTAAATACCATAAAGATCAGTACCATTTGCCACTTCGATTGTAAAAATTAAGTGGCCATCTGCAGCATAGAAATTTAAGCCGGACAAAGAAGAGACCTTATTTTAGAAAGAAAAGAAAGAAAATGCTTTTATATGTGACTAGCTGCAGGATCACAACGATACCATGATTTATTACCATCCATCAGTCGCAACAAATAAATCAAGTAATTAACGAATAAAGATATAAACTATTGAATAGACTTGTACACTGGACGTGCCCGAGGTGAAATCCTACAATGTAGGACTAAATGGTCGCATAGCCAGCATTCTGTACGCAAGCCGTGCAGTGCACTTGTACGAAACGGATATTTTGAACTCAGTGCTACAGTGCACTCAGCACTGCGCTGCATTCGTACTGAATGTGGAGATTTTGGGTGTGCGACCATTTTGTCCTAAGCTGTACATGCAGAACCAAGTACGGCAGCACTCGTGCAAAATTTCAGCTGCATTCTAAACATGTTCGTCACTGTAAATTATCCGATCACTCCAACCAGAACGTCTGCATTTCGCCTTTGCCCTAAAAAGAATGGGTTTTTATTTTCGTCTCCCTAAAAGTTGAAGTAATAGAAGAATGGTCCAGCCAGTAGGAGTAGTAGAATGACCTTTATGGTCAGAGTGCCACGTAACACAAAGCGAAGGTTTTTCCGGTGGGAAGCCAGGCGCTCGGCGGAATGGCTCACATGGACCTTCCCAGCTATCGAAAGAAGTGTTAAGTGTTTTGTTCTGTGTTATAAGTCTACTGCGAACGCGAAATCAGTTTTCTACACGTCTGAGAAACCAGATATTCACGCTGTCGTCGTCCTCGTCGCTTCTGACGAGAACATATTCATTTCTACGTTTCAGACTATCACTACTATTAAGTCTTATAAACTGTTGTTCTCTAGCAATCATAATCACAACAAAGTGAGCAAACATTAAAAACAATAAGCATTCGTATAAAAAAGTTTGATATAGGGTCTTTACCTTCCCCATGGGTTTCCATGCGACTAGCTGTGTTGACGGTGTCACCAAACCTGCACGGTTTGAAAAAATCAAAACTGGGTTTTTAATCTGACCAGCAAAGGGACGTACAGGCAGTATCGAGGCATTTTCCGGCCGATTACTCCAGCGACAACCGGCCCTTTTTCAAATAAAAGACTCTATTACGAAAGTCCAGATACGTAGCACGGTAGCAGGTTACTCGCAGTCGTGAAAAACGCTTTGTTACCAGAATTAATGCCGACTCGAGCGCTTAGCTCTTCGGCAGCCAGGCAGCTTCTCGCAGACGTTAACAATTGTAACGACAGCATGCACAGTTCAGCTGCGTGGTCCGTCCCGTTTGGTGTGGGCACTCCGCTTGCCACCTTCAGAAGCAGTGAATTATGGACAGTGACTTTTCGACAGAACCACTCTGTCGTGCTATTAGCCAATTACCATGTACGAATCATTGATGGTTTCCACTTTATACGTATCGTACAACCCGAATATCCTGTCGAATTCCGAATACACGCTGTTCAGCAGCGATACAATATCCCACGGTGAATACGTGGACAATAAATGAGAAAATCCGGGGATATCACTAAACAGTACGGATGCGCTGTCGAACGTCTCCGGCAGGGTTTCTTGTTTCATGCGCAATTTGTGGACGATGGACCTAAAGAACCATTACAATTGGCAGTAAGTTAGCGTTTCTTGTTTTCTGACTTTTGTTGTTACTTTGGCAGCATTTCTGCCAAAAGCACATCGACATTATCCCGTTCTTCCACCAAGCTCCTCGTCTTCTCTATGACGATGAACTCTAGCTGCTGACTTTGCTCGTCCATCAGCCGGATAACGTAATCCACAATGTTTCGCGGTAAGCGCAGTTGACCGAAGAGCTTCTTCAGCTGCCAAATTCTGGGACGCAGAGCTGGATCAGTCTGGAGGCACTGCTCCGTCAATTGACTCCATTTCTGTTGTATTACCGATTTTCCTGCGCCTTCCGCATTCGTTATTTCCATTTCTGTTAAATAAACATTCAACTGCAGATCTGGTTATGTGGTGCATAATACTGTATATAATGTACGTACTTCGATACGTTAAACATTAAACCTACGTGGTATCTAGTACCTACCAGCCTCACTGCCGGTTGGTAAAAATTAGATTCCGGAAGTTAACATGCGTTGGCTCGTATGCTTGCAGTGAATCAATTACGTATATTGGTTCGCTTACTTTTATTTCCGTTGAGCATCTGGCTAATGACTCCAAAGTTCCGTGCATCCTCAGCCCGAAAATAGATTACCTTGTCGTAAAGCGTAACAAACTGCAGTACTACCGGGGATTTTCCCAAACACTCCAGTAACTGGAAACACCCCAGTTTAGCGATTCTTAAGTTATAGCGGTGGTTGATAAAGCATGCTTCAGGAGAAAGGTCTCCATGGAACTGCAGTGTGGAGGAATGGATATACGATAAACCCTGTCACCAGTAACGCATTTCATAACAGTTTGTGCTGAACACATGCAGGACCTTGCGGTACAGATGGCGTACCTGTAAAAGATCCCACAGCAAAGCCAACCGAATGGTGTCATCACGAAGCACAGAACGTGCCTGCAGAACATCGTTAATGTTGCCGCGCTCATCGAATTCCCACACTAACCAACACGAGTCTTTGATAACGTTGATGCCGTAGAATGATCCGATATTTGGATGCGATAGTTTCAATATCTGTCGAACAGATTACCGTTAGACAGGTTATGAAAGAGAATAAAAGCGAAAATGCAATAAAAGAGAAGAGGCAATAAAAGAGAACCAAAAGCAACGGCCAGCATTTGTTAAAACAACTCTCTATCCATGTACATAGTTTTTACGTACATCTAATATTATCGCTCGAAATTTTGCGCTGTGTACAATAACGGATTTGGGTATGTTCTGCCCAAGAGGAATTGTCAACGAGGCATTCAGGAGCGCCGATGATACATTTGAATCCTCCAGCAATACCGCGGAAAACATTCTGTCATTCGCCCTCTTTCTGTTAGAAAAACAGGTCGACGTTATTGGGTTTGTAGGCGAATAAATCGAAATGTTTAGCACTTAAAAGTTAAAATGAAATTATTACTGGTTCATAAATTAATACTGAAGCAGATTTCGTAGCACACCTGATATAGTAGGCCGTAACAAAGGTCACGCACAGCATGACCATCACGACCACCACAGGCGCAATGATTTCTGCAAGAGGACCAAATACACCATAAGTCTTCGTTATTTGGCATAGACGCCACCTGACACACCGAGTTTCATGGTGGCACAACAGTAGTATCAATGTGAAGCGTGATAAAATTTCTACTATCTATTACAATTAGGTGATTCCTAACCAGTTTAAAAAGTCCGGTGGGTGGAAAAATAATGCCCGGGGTGGGTCTTTGGAAATTCAATTTATTAATATAATTTTTTTGCAGCTCTTTGCAATGTACTAGTCATAACTACTAAGCTATCGTTACTCTAGTGTAATGCTTATGTCTGAAACCTTAGTACGGATAATAAGGAACGAGCGAACGACCGATTTTTCCAATTTTTATTTTTCACACCAACACAAACAAATCTCAATCAATTTGAATAGCATTATCATCCGGTTGGTCGTTCTCGTCCTGTTGGCCATCGTTATCGCTGTCCTCCAATGGCGATTCGTCTGCAAACGTATTTCATGCTTTAACGTGCAACACAAGGAAAAGCTTTTTATTTACCGCAAATGAACGGTTCTAGCTCCCAGTCCTCCTCAGAGTCGTCATCCGTGTCGGTGTCGTACGCGGTGATGATAAACCGGGTGACCGTTGGGAACTTGTCAGCCAACCAACGGTCATGTCCACGGATGTCGCACAGGGCGTTGGCCTCCACATCCAGCGAGCGCAGATGGGTCAGACGGGTCAGCAGCTCCAAGTCATCACGAAAGGCCAGCTTGTTGTTGACCAGGGAGAGCTTGACCAGGTTAGGACACTTGTCGGCGATGATGTCTATGTTGTCCAGGTGATTATCCCCCAACATCAGAACGCGCAGGTTAGGCATGTACGGAAAACCGTCCAATGACCACAGGTCACAGTCAATCAGACTCAACTTTTCCAACCCGTTCTGGAACTTGGAGAACTCAGGCAGGATGCTATTCGGCACGCGTTTACCATCCAGTATCATCTCACTCGTAGTACTGTTAAGCACACGAAACAAATTGCGGAAAGCGTTTTCCATTACCATAGTAGAAGCCATTGCTGTAGAAAGAAACTTTTATTTATTTTTCAAAAAAAAACGTACGACTGCAGTTCACTGGGTGTACTGTTTATATGGATAGCTGCATCCTTTTTCAATATTACTGTAACAATCAATAATAGCACTATACATCATCATCATTAATTACCACTGTAACGATCAAACATTACCACTGTCTGTAACAATCAATAATTGCACTATACATCATCATCAATAATTACCACTGTAACGATCAAACATTATCACTGTGATGCTAGGGAGTAACTCCAAATGCACATATAAACAGCACTGCATCTGAGAGATCGATACTCCAGTTTTGTGAAAGTTTTTAAATATAATGAGCATACTAATGTGATTATCTGGAATGACGAAGGTAAGTCAAATAGTAAGGTTACGTATCGTGCTGTTCCAATAACCGGTTTGTAAAATTTTCCCGACTCCTTCAGTAATTATAATAAAAGCAAATACTATAAAAAATACAACATAAAGTATTACTAATAAAATCTTTTCGCATCGTTGAGATACTGTACGTAAGTCCGGCATCATACACTGAAGGTTGGCCATTTTCTTGTACTTAAAGTAAGACCCAGAATCCTTAAATAGATGTTTTGCAGAAAATGAATTTGCAAGAGCGACTGCAGACATTCAGTAGATGGCCATTGTCCTATGTGTCCCCGTTATCTTTGGCACGTAGTGGGTTTGTTTATACGGGAGTAGACGATGACGTGGTCTGTACTATGTGTAAGACCGTCTTGGGTGGATGGAGCATTGGGGATAATCCGGCGCACGACCACAAACTCCTGTGCGAAGAATGCCCGTACGCTGCAATGGTTGAGGATGGAGACTATTACGTACCCTCCATGACTAATTACCGTGATCGTTTTGCTACGTTCGCCGAATGGCCGGAAAGTTATTCACAGACTCCTAAGCAGATGGCTTTGGCGGGATTCTATTATCTGGGTATCACGGATCGGGTGCAGTGCTTCTGTTGTGGAAAGAAGCTGGAAAAATGGAAGCCGCAGGAGGATGCTTGGACTGAACACGCAAAGTGGAACCCGACATGCAGATTTTTGATTGAGCAGAAAGGTCAAGCCTTCATCAACGACGTTCAACGGTTCTACCGCCTGGACCTGAGTATGATAGTATTCGGAACGGAAGACGACGAGCACGAGGAATTCATTGTGGCGAGTGCGCTGCAGCAAGGGCACTCGTACATGCACATTATCCAAGCACTGCAGGCCAGGAATAAACCACCGGGTAAGCGCTTCAACTCTGTCGCAGAATTGGTACAAGCGGTTAAAGATATCCAAAATCGAGAGACGGGTAATGCTCCTGATGACGAATCGCAGATGGATCATGAATGTAGAATATGCATGGATAAAAAAGTGACGATGGTTTTTGATCCGTGTGGGCATGCGGTGTGTTGTGGAAACTGTTCGAAAAAACTAGAGAGCTGTCCAGTATGCCGTATTAGAGTGAAAAAGTACATACGGTTGTATTTTGCATGACACTCATTATTTAAGCGCATGAATGTATTGAATGGCAGTAAAATTATCATGTATAGCATCATTAGTGATTACCCGCGTTTCCGTGCACCTTTCGGTATGTGTATATGTGGCCCAACTATGTCTGGAAAAACACAGTTCACATTCTCTTTAATAAAAAACAGCGCTTTAGTATTCGATAAAGTACCATCAAAAATACTATATTGCTACGGTGAATGGCAAAACGGTTTTGATGATTTAATTAAAGAAGTTCCACACATTGAGTTTGTCAATGGTTTAGATAATTTATTTACTTTATTGCAATCCATCGACAGCGAGCAACATACATTATTAGTTATTGATGACTTGGCCAGTGATCTGTGCAAGGACGCTCGTTGTTCGGATTTATTTACGCGGGGAATCCATCATAAAAACTTGTCCGTTATTCTCCTGTTGCAAAATTTGTACAAGCAGGGAAAATCAATGCGTGACATTACCCTTAATTCACAGTACCTGGTACTATTTAAGAACGTTCGCGATATCAACCAAATAGCACTACTGGCTCGACAAACGGGATTAAAGCACATGATCGACGCTTATGAGAAAGTGACATCGGAGCCTTATCAACCGCTAGTTCTCGACTTACGGTCAACTTGCCCGGATTATCTACGGATACGCTCCCATGTTCTGCCTTATGAACAGATGCGGATTTACTTAAAACGGAATTGTGCCAGCCTGCCAAAATGTCCGAGCGCGTTAAAGCCTTAGCACCACTTGTAATAACGCTGCAGAGTTTAAAACCCAAACAGCGTAAGGTTTTGATGGGTTACTTATCCAAGTCCCAGTTAAAAGCCATGGAGGAAGTGGCTGTTAACATTGTCAAGAATACTGTGGAATTGTCGCCAGCCCATTTGGACAAGTGTAAACGCCATCGTAAAGCATTAAAGCTGATCGCGTTACGACGATATCCGCTAAAAGAAAAACGTAAAATTCTTCAACGTGGTGGTTTCATTGGAGCTATTTTGCCTGTCATTGCCGGTGTGTTAACATCGCTAATTGGTAATGGATGAGTACTATATTGTTCCGCGGCGCATGATGGAAAACCGCCTGCATAATCAACTGCAAGTTAATAAGGAACCACCGGAAGCGCAAAGCGTTGTAACTTTGGACGGTCTGGTTGCCAAAACGTTGCATCGCACCGATATAAGTGAATTTGAGAAGGCCAGTCAGTTAAGCGATATTTTGGAGCGTTTTCTAGCATTGAAGCAGAAAGCGCTTCCCGATGAAAACCCACTGGTTTTACCCACGGATGTGGCTAGACAGTCACCACCTCTAGCCACCGAGAAACAGGACACAGGCCCATACCGCAAACGTGCTCGCTCCGAAGAAGCAGAAGACCTCGCGCAACGTAAGCAATCAAAGCAAGCGCTCTTTCCCGCTTCTTTACCGACAAAGGGACTGAAACGGAACCACCCTGACGAGTCTGTCGGAACATCAAAAGCGGCACGCATTGCGTTGTTCCCTCCCACGTTACCCAAAAAAGGTCGGAAAAGAAGAAACGAAGGAACCGAACCGCAGCCGCGGAAGCAACCCCGTAAGCCGTTGTTCCCTTTGACCACTCCACTGAAGGGAAAAAAGAGAAAACCGGTTCATACGGAACCCGGGGAAAAAAAGCTGCGATCGCGTACTATTCAAACGGGGAGTGGAAAACATAAAATTCGCTGGATTACCTTAGCATAATGGCCGGACTGCTACCTAGTGTATTACGGTTGTGCCGGATATTTAAGATCAACTGCGTATCAACATGTTGCAACAATGGAGAGACTGATGAAAAAATATCTCAACCCGCGCGACCCCGGCGGTCTTGGAGGCGTCGAAAGGTTTCGAAGAAGTTTAAAGACCAAAGCCAACAAACGGAGAGCGGAGGAGATTCTTCAGGAGATCGATGCCTATACTGTAACCAAAGAAAACCGGAGGCGCTTTCGGCGGAATCCCATCGTGGTGACCAACCTACGCCAGCAGTATCAAGCGGATCTAGCGGATCTGTCCAAGTACTCTAACGAGAACGACGGATACAAACATTTGCTGTTTGTTATTGACTGTTTTTCCAAGAAACTGGACATCCAACCCATGAAAACAAAGACGGCTCGGGAAACCAAGGAAGCTTTAACACGAGCATTTGAGAAGCTTGGTGAACCGGAAAAGTTGCAATACGATAAAGGAACCGAAGTGCTCAACGCCACGGTTAAAAAATACCTCAATGAACGCAATATACAGTTTTTCACGTCGGAAAACGAAGACATCAAGTGTGCCATGGCAGAGAGGGTAATCCGGACCATCAAAACGCGTATCTTTCGCTTGTTTCGTGCACGCGTTTCCACTCGATACATCGACAAGCTGCAGGATTTGGTGCACTCGTACAACCACTCAAAACATCGCGCACACGGTATGCGCCCTGTTGACGTGACCCAGAACAATTCTTTGCTGGTGTATAACAAGCTGTTTCCACCAAAAATCACGTATAGTCCAAAGTTTAAAGTGGGTGATGCGGTGCGGATTGCCGTGCATAAAACCAAAGTGGAAAAAGGCTATACGTATCGATTTAAGGAGGAAATCTTCTACGTAAAAGAGATCCTTAAACACTCTGTACCGGTGTACCGCCTGCAAGATTACCAGGACAAACCTATTAAAGGAACCTTTTATGAAAACGAACTGTCTAAAGTGTCCCGACCGCACCTGAAAGAGCACACTATTGATCACGTTGTCAAAAAGCGAGGAGAAAAAGTGCTAGTACGCTGGTTAGGATACGGACCTGAACACGATTCTTGGATACATTCATCATGTTTGAAGGAGCGCCCTTCTACGTAACGCTGCCGAGCGACGTGGCGACTGACGCCAGTAATACGCCATCTAACTGGACAACGAAACTGAAACATCCGATTACATTGAAAGGAAAATGGGAAATGGCTCTTGTCGAACTACAGTACTTAAACTCATTCTATACTTTACCAGTGGAACAGAAAATTCAAGTGCAGATTGTTAAAGAATTCCGATTAAAAAAGGATGATACCGGATTTATCGAATCTGTGGACTACGTGGTTCATCAGGACGAAATTACCATTCCACCGGGAAACTTTAAGAATGCCGAGTTGTTATTGCAAACCATCAACTCATTGGTACCTAAAGTGGGACCTTATATGGTGGATGAAACGGTGCACGCTGACAAGAGCGCTTTATCTCACGATCGAGCCTTCAACGTACAATTTCTTACTCCGACCAACCATCGCGTGAGGCTAAACATTGGAAACGACCGGGTATCAGTGGTTTTCCCACCGGGATCCACAACGCTGCAAAAGATTTTGGGGTTCGAAACCAACGAATTTAAACCGGATGTACCAGTCGAAAGCCACGGTAATGCGATGGGACCCTTTCCCATGGAAACAAAGACCAGCAAAATCAAATACCTTTCGTTCCTGACCAAACCTCCTAATCCTAAACTGAGCAGTTTCATTTCGGAAAGACCGGTCAATACTTTGTTGGGGAATCAAAGCCTGTTCGTGTATAGCGATGTGGCTGACTATAGCCTCATTGGAGATACCGCAGCGCAGTTTTTACGCTCCGTGCCTATTAGAGGAGAAGTTAACCAGATCGTGGAAGCACGCTTCGACATTCCGCATTATGTTCCTGTTCTGCGCCAGCACTTTGAGACCATTCACCTCACAATTGCTAACGACTTAGGGGACGACGCTAAATTTCAGACTGGAAAGTCCCTAGTGAAGCTCCATTTCCGACCACAAAGACTGTATTAAGAATGCCGTTCGTGGCGTACGTGCCGGATCCCCGGCGGTATGAAAATGTATTTGTCAGCCAAACGGGAGGAAGTGCCTTGATACGATATCGGGGAACTCTGCAAAACGGATCGGGATTCCCGCAAATCCTAAAAAATCTTTTTGCCAAGCTGTCGTCTTTTGCCAAACCCATTTTGCGTAAAGCAGCCCCACACGCCAAGGCCGCACTAGAGGCGGCTACCCCCCACTTGCAAGAAGCAGCGACCGGGGCTATTAAAGACGTAGCGTCGCGGGCGGGAACAGCAATAAGCAAGCGCTTTGCCTCTCAAGAAGGAGAAGGAATCCGTAAGAAACGAAGACGAGTTAAACGCAAAGTGCAACGGCTACGACGCATTCCACCAACCAATATCCCGGATTTCTTATAATCAAAATGGCGATGTTAATGATGGAACATTCCGAACCGGCAATGCAGCTGGAAAACCAACTTTTTGCTCTGCCGGCTACCCTAACTGATCGCTGGCGAACCGAGCACGAGAAACTGAACCCTACCACCATTTTGACGGACAACGGATCGGCGGGAGATATCAACTTCTTCATTCCACCCAGTACATCAGGACTGCTTAGTCTGGCCGACATGATCTTGGAATTGGAAGTGGGTATTAAAGTACGAAAAACCACTGGTGAATGGGAACTGGTCAAGTCAACTGACGGTGTTGCACCGGTCAACAACTTTCTGCACTCGCTGTTCTCATCATGCCATGTAACAGTGGCCAATCGCTTGATTTCCGATGCTGCAACATTCTATCCGTACAGAGCGTACCTGGAGTCGTTATTGTCACACTCGGTTGAGGCACAAAAGAGCCAGTTAACCTCCGCCGGTTTTTATCTGGATACAGCAGGCTATTTTAACGACGAAAGTTCCAACAAAGGAGAAAAAGACCGAGCAGCTTTGTTTAGAGCAGGACAGTACGTGCAGCTTTCGGGTAAACTGTTTTCGGACTTGTTTGACCAAAGCAAACCCCTTTGTACTGGAGTGCCAGTAAACATTCGACTGGTTGTCAGCCGTCCGGAATTTGCTCTACGAGTGTGGGATACAGATGCTACTAAAACTTTCAAGCCTTTTATCCGCAACGCCAGGTTGTCGGTGCGTCGTTATATTCCATCACCAGACTTTCTGACAGCGGTGGCCGGTGAGCTTTTGAAAAAAACTGTCAAGTATCATATTGAACGCGTCGTTATGCGCGTTTCGGACATTCCCCAACGAACCCAAAGTACCGTCGTGAGCAATCTCCAAATTGGTCAAATTCCAAAGGTCGTGTTTATTGGATTTGTGGACAGCGAAGATTTTCACGGATCACAGAAAAAGAATCCGTTCTACTTTCAGAACTTTGGTATAACGCAGATTAGCGTTGAAGTGGACGGGCAGAGCTATCCCACCAAGCCGTATGTCGCCGACTTTGAACGAAGTCTGTCTCTGGAATGCTACGACGGCTTGCTGGACACGCTGGGTCATCGACCAAGCTTGCATGGAGGGCTGCCATTTACTCGCACCCAGTACAACCAAGGATACACACTATTCGGGTTCGACTTAACACCCGGACACACTGGACGTGGCCCATTGACTTTAATCAAGCAAGGCAACTTGAGTGTATCGGTGTCATTTGGGAAACCACTTGGATCAACCATTATGATGGTCTGCATGCTCATCTATGACAGCATTATCGAAATCAATCAACACCGACAGCTGATTGCGGACTTCTCAACATGAACACCGAACAAATAACGACAGCACTACGTGGTAACGCGATTACGGCTAGCAGCTTCCGGGGAGTTTATGCTAGTGACCAAGTACCTTGTTCATTAGAACCGTACCCGGGTGCGTGTGTCGTCAATACGGAACCGGCTAGCCAGGATGGCGAGCACTGGATTGCTTTCTACCAGGAGGAAGACGGAAAACTAGAAGTCTTCGATTCGTATGGAAAAAAACTTGAAAGCTACTCGAACGATTTTCTATCTTTAGTCCAATCTAACGCTATCGTTTCACAGTGTGAGCAGTTCCAGGCTGAATTTAGTACAGTATGTGGTCAGTATTGTTTGTTCTTTATTTTACGACGTTGTAGTGGGGAATCCTTCACTAATATTGTTCATTTGTTTACCGATAATAAGTTAAGCAACGACAAAATGGTGTGTCAGTATGTCAATTCTTTTTTCGGTATCAGTACAGCACTACTGGATGGCGCGTTTTTGCGGCAAATATGTAAACGTTTAATAAAATAAAAGGCCAAAAGAAAAACATTACGCATTGCTGGGTATGTAGAAGAACAGCAGAATGTTATGGAAATAACAGAAAACAATAAAAAACAGATGGAATCGCATAAAGAGTAAAATAGTATAGCAAAACAGCAAACATAATGAAATGCAAACCTAATCAGCATACCAGTTCAGCTGTGCTCGTAAGCTAGCAGTCGACCAACGTGGTCGCGAATTTGGTCTTCGTTGGCATCCATGAATCCAATGACCGGCAAGGTCAGAGCCTGTTCGACACCCAGCTTGTCTAATTCGAATAAGATGCCCTTCACAATACCCAATTCCAGTAGGCGATCCAAAGCCCCGTTCCACTCGGCGTCAGTCGGTCGGTACTCCTCAGTGTAATGCTTCGGACCTGTTCCGTCATCCACTTGTTTGACCAATGGCACCATCGCTTCGGCGATTGGTTCGCACAACAGATTATAGTGTAAACCTTGCTTATCCGGGTCAGGATTACCTTGCTCTTTCTGGATGGCGGCGATGTCCATGAGCAGCTGCTGGTCCTTCATGAGCTCCTTTAGCGCATCGTAGCAACGTTCGCCAAAAGAAATGCCGTACCGCGTAGGAATGAAGTCTCCGTCCTTTTTGATTTCATAACGTCGAATCGTTGCCACATTAGAGTTATTGAAGCGGCTCCAACCAAAATACATACCACCGTCCAGTGCAAACAAAGGTGTCAATTTCCCCGTTTCCACCGCATTAGCACGAGCAGTATCATCCATGTCCGATTTTCCGGTCAGCATCAGTCCACACAAACGCAGAAACCCGGCTTTGGACAGCGAAATGTTCTTTCCCCAAGTCGGTTTCCAGGAGCTGTCCGGTTGCTCTTTCCATTCGCCAAAGACAACACGAATGGCACTCTTGGGGTCATCCGTAACACAACTAACATGAACAAACTTGTCATTACCCAGACGGTACACTGGCTTCCCGGTATGCGTTTTAAAGGCAAAACGTCGGTGATGATGGACCAGGGGTTCGGTTTGGTTTGGCTTGACCTTTTTCACTGCTAAAGGTTCCTCCAGTGTGGCCTTGCGCCGCTTGGTAGCTTGCGCGGTCGCCGGGAATGCAGGAAAAAACTTCTCCATGCTGCAAGTCTAAGTTTAAAGATGTTTTAAAAAAGAACAAAACTGCTTTGTGGATGAGAGTTGTGTGGTACCTTTTATATCGTGACGGGATTGCCAGCGCCGCATGGCTATTCCAGTTGTAACATTTGATAGTTACAAAGCGTAATTATTGATAGTTACCGTGGTAATAAGTGATCGTTACTGGAGATATAGTTACAGTAGTATTGATTAATTGTTACCGGAGTAAGGTTTCATCTTGATAGTTGTAACAAGGAATCATTACCGAGTAAGGAAAAAACATTACTCGTGTCACTTTTAAAAGTTACCGGTACAGTAAAGGTAAAAGTATAACTATAAGTACATTTTGTTTAGCACTGTCATTTGCAAATTTAATATGGCTGTAGTTTGCATTTTAGATGCGGACTGGTTTGTTATTTCCGGGAAAAAATACATCAAACAACTAGCCTTTTTTTGTCCTGAAAAATATGAGCAGAGTCTCTACACCTTTACATTACCGCGGTTTGCTGCTCAACATACGGCTGGTCTCTGTAAACAGGCTCGTCATTCGCACGGTTTGATTTGGTATGCTGCAGGTGACTATCGACACAACCAGATAACGTGCGCATTGGACGACATGTTCCAGAAAATCGGTCGCCCGAACAAAGTACTCTTCTACGCCAAGGGGTCGGAAAAGTGCCAACTGCTGGAGCAGTATCTGCCGGAAGTCAGAAATCTGGAAAACATCGGATGTCCACAGTTTTGCCAGCTGACCGACTTACCTATCTCAACATTACGGAAGGCTGTACGATTTGCTCTATGGTATCACTGCGATGCCCAGAATCACGAATGTCGTTGCCGTTGCGGACTTAAACACTACCCTAAAGCTGACGGAAATTGAAAACTCTCTGCCCATGGCGCAGTACATACCGCATCGATTTTCCGGCTTACTTATACGAGTACTTTCCCCGTATAAAGCTCACTGTCAACTGTACCAGAATGGAAAGATTACGGTTAACGGAGCTCGATCAGAAACCGAAGCTTTTGCACTGGTAGAACGATTTGCGTCAGAGTTGAATAAAATTGGTTATCAGTGTGTAATTTCACGTTTTCGAATTGTGAATATTGTCGGTAATCATGTATTTCCAAACAGAATTCACATTGAGAAATTTAGCAGTTATTTCCGTTTAGAATACACTCCTGAACTGTTTAGTGGACTAGCTATCAAACTACCATATGGTCGTGCTGTTTTGTTTCCTTCTGGAAAGTGTAATTTTCTGGGGTTAAAACATACGGATGACTTGATACTAGCGGTTAATTACGTCCGGAAAATGGTCGAGCAGTTTAATAACAATAAAAGCGCAAGCTAACAAACAGTGTATCCGAATGGCACAGTATTATAATTTGCATCTAAAATCCGACGCTTATCATACGTCACTTGAAATCGCTTAATCATAGAAGTATTTCGTATAGTTAAAGATGATTTAACACGCTGGAGAATGTCGGGATATTGCACTTCTACAGTAGACCGGTTTTCTAACATACTGAGCATTGTATGGTAATTCAGTTGCTCACTAGTCCTTCCATTGATAGTAAATCCTTTGATCTTCACAACACTTTCACCGTCGTTGGTCACATATGCGTACGTTTTGGCACCAAGGCTGACGAATTGTACAATATGTTGTCCCGGCTTTAGTTCATTGGTCAGATCGCCCAAAAAGATGCCTGTAGGAGGATCGACGACACCCGGTCGGCTTACAAAAAATATTGAATCTACAAAATTTGCAGCTGTTTAAATTCAAAAAGAAACTTGTACAGGTTACCAACCTGTATCGAAATATAAAAGGCGGTCTTTCACCATGTCAATGTACTGGTACAAATGCAACCGCGCCCAGCAGGTGGTAAAACTGCAAAAAAAAATTCTGAGTAGTACAAGAATCGAAACACATATCGGAATACTTACGCTGCTAGAATGACGTTGGTATTAGGATTGCGTTCCACAAATCCGGTTTCGCTCGTATACGTTATCTGCACTATGTCATCGGTAAACAAGTCCCAGGAATGAACGTGGTGCCTCCCGGATAGTAGCATGTCGTAAAATTTCTCCGGCTCGCTAATATACATGGTGTTTAACTTGTTATCTTGCATTCCCAGACGCCCCCAGAAACTACAGTAAGAGTAATTAGGATATATTTTTAACACTTTGTCATGTTATTACCTGTTTAAACAAAGCTTTGCCAGAGCTCTTAAACCGGGATTGACTTTGATTTTATCGTAATCCAGTTCCACGTTTTCGTGCTCCTTAAAGTCCGCCATGTATTGTCTTTTATCGGCTTCACTTTCAACTCCTGCCGGCCATCCGCTGGATTCAGTTTTAATCTTGAGAAATTGATTGATATACTTTTCAAACAAACGGTCTTCAAACTGATCGAAATGCCAAACTTCGTATATTTTCACTATCTGGTAACCATGGTCGAGAGCTGCATGAATTTCTGGTGTGCACCAGGTTCCAGTAAGACTTCGCTGGGAATCGGCATGCTCACACTTTGCATTCTGATGATTTTCCATGCACGTTCGGCATAAAGGAAACGTGAGCTTGTCTCCCGAACGGTAAGGTAGCAATGGAAACAGCAGGTCGCCAGGTGGCAAAATTTCACAGACCGCAACTCCGAAGTATGTCCGAATATCCTGGAAGTCTTTTCGGATAATCTTTGGATGACCAATCGGGTATCTTTTATTTTTATTGACGTAAGGGTACTCACTGTTAACATCTAAATAACAAATGCGCTCCCCGTTTTTCGCTTCATGGAAGAGTTTGGCTGCATTCGTTCGCCCGCCGTAGAACGCGTCACGCGGGTCTAGTCGATTCATGAAGGAGAGACCTTGGACAAATGCTCGCATTTCCGAATCGGACTTTAACTGTTCATCGTATTCATGCTCCCAGATGGTAGTAATGCTGTACCCCATTGCTTTGATGTAATCTTCCCGGTCGAGGGTCTCTTTATAAATCTCACTAGCCGGAAGATCTCGAAACGGATGCATTGTTGTTGGAGCTATGCATTTTGGACAGCCATGGAATAAACATCCATAAAATTCAAATACCATGTTGGTGTCCTCGCGATAACCGTCCACGAAATAGGGACCAATTTTATGTTCTTTACCGGTCAGAACCGATTGTATGCTGCACTTGTTATCCTCTTCCATCCACGATAACCACTTCTTGGCCTTAATTGACTGATGTCGATTACGGGCGTGCGTACCGTGGGGTAATAATCCAATTTGATTTGGTCGAAGCATGAATGAACGCCAATACCGGTTGCAGAGTCCAGCAATAGTTAGCGCAGAGACAAACGGACATAGTCCGTTGCTTATGTCTTGAAAGAGCTTCCGAAACTGTTGACAGCACATACGCAAGACCGTCACGTCCATCCGGCAGTAATCTTCAAATTCTTTTCGAAAATCGAACAGATTGCTCTTTTCTTGCTTCTCTTTCTCGTACCAGACGCGAAAAGACTCTTTAGCTTTGGCGTTCATTCCCTGGTAACCGTATTCATCCATTGAGGGAAATGGCACGACTTTGTTCCAGTTCTCTTGGCGGTTGAAGCGGTGGGGGAATGTGCCCTTGCTGATATCCGGTAAACCAAATGTTGCCGGCCACTTCGCTAAACTTTGCGGATTGTAATTAATGCTGTCGCGAAATCGGATATTCAACTGCGGGACATCCAACTGGAGAATTTTTCCGCCATTGAGAATCACTTTCGGAACGACGCCATTCTTCAGTAACCAGTGAAGCAC